GAATTTAACGGATTCACGATTGATTTTGGTGGCTCTGTTGCTTTGTATGATTCTCTAACAGGGGATTCAGATAGCTTATGCAGTGCCATTTTCGATGAGGACACTTTAGCTTTACTTGGAATGCAGCCTGTTTGCAACGATGACTTTACTATAATTTTTGGAGAAAACCCTACAATCCAAGTTGGGGATACTATTCAACTCAAACCCATATTTCTATTACAAGGCTGTGGTTACAGATTTTTATAAATCCTACCAAATACCTTATAAATCCCATCTACTATAGATTAGTCTACTCATAAACCAACAGTCAGATTCACAGATGCTACCTCTCCAAACGTATGTTAACCATTAACTATAAAATTCGAAGAGTTATTTTACAATGGAAAATAGAAATTTAAGATATTATCCTGGAATCAAATACTCCCAGTCACTGTAGATCCAGTTATAGCCACAATAATGTCAAGCAATACTTTAAATAATAGTGACACTTTGATATTCCCAGATAAGCTGTTCTAATCGGGTGTTCTATATAAATTTGGAGCTCAGGTTGAGAGTTTTGCTAAATTGCAGAATCAACAGACATTTCAATTTTAGGCCTCACAACAATCAACCATTACTTTTAAATAAGACACCCTGATTGCTCAATACAACAGATTTTAGAACATCTAAATCCCAACGAAAATCTCATATGCAAATTGCATAGAGAAGAATCCCCCATAGCAGTTATTATATTATGAGATAATATTGAAAAATACGAAGAAGAAACTCTTAAATGGGACATTGACAGAAAATTTGATGGATGGATTCCAACTAGATGTTCCATTAGAATTTCCACCCTTTTATTTCAATTTCTCAAATCCTTATGTGCTGGTGTTTCATACTAAACTAACAAGACCTGACTACACAGTTACCAGCCAAAGCACATTCGAAATATTCATTGTTCCTTCTTAACCAATCTTAACAATAGTAGGAGGTAATAGAATGTTGGGATTTACATAAGAATTGTTCTTAAATACAACCATAACAGATAAGGATTTAACAGCTGATGAAGCTGCTAAAATGACATATACATGCAATTGGATATGTGAGGACATAGTAAATGGAACTGCATGTCAGAGTCAGATGAATGAGACCCTTGTTTTTGATAACAATTGCAATTAGTATATACCTCCCAGGACATTTGAACCTTATAAGGCTGTTAATTTTTAGGTGGAGATATTAAAGGAAAACGTTAATTACTCAACCAAAGTTTCCATCCAACTTATCGAATTGGATTTGCCTGCTTTAACCATCTAGGGTGCCGATCCTTTAGAGCTCCACAATTATTACGATGAATTCATCTTCAAACTCACTTATCCAGGCATTGATCCAGATGTGTTGATGTATGCAGGGGCTGTGATTTATGATCAAGAGGTATAGGCTACATTTCAATTCTATTATTTGGACTTCAAATTCAAAATTCAGGATTATTTCACTAGTTTTGAAGTAGCCAAAGGAAATGCCGGAAGGTTGAGATTATCTATCTACGACCCTCGATTTATCATGCCATCATTGAACACTCAAATGTTGACACTAAACATACCTCCTTAAAAGTGCGAATTAAGCTATGTGAAGAAGGAGAGCTTTGTTGAATTCTTAGACTATCTCGAAGTGAATGTCATAAATTGTAATGATGTCGATACTCCGTTAAAATATTCCGTTATGCTATTTCCAAACTAGTCAATCTACTAGTCAGATCTAGAGAACTCAAAATTCTATAATTACCTACTTGTTATTCCTCAACAGTTAACTTCCAGATTTAATCTAACACTTCCTTATGCCAACAGTGATGACAGTCTCATTGTTGTGAACATCTAAGATTAAGAAGGTGGAATTGCCAACATCACAGAGCCTCTAAAAGTCAAGCAGTATGCAAATCTAAGTGAGGACAACATTAGAAATTATCAACTAAGATTGCAGAGCTTTGATGAGCGTTTGATAGGGTATCGCATCATCACAGACCGACTTACCTAATTAAGTGGGTTGATTGATTATAAGGAAGAATTGTTTAATGAATTGCTGTCCATCGATAAGAACGATTCCTTCCTCAGCAATCAAACTGAAACCATCTACCATTCATTATCTAGTATATTGAGTCAGAATATAACTCTGATATCTCTGAATGAAACTCACTTACTGAATTAGTTAAACATTAGAATAAAGTTGGCAGCCACAGAACTATAAACATTAACCGAATTGCAACATAATAACAAATTGTCTTCCCCCTAAAATATAGAGAAAACCAATTATGTTAAGTAATATTACACATACACCAATATCCTATCATCCTACATTAATTACAGAGTCAATAAGAATGAAACTGCAACAGAAATCCAGGCTCAACTTGATTCCATGATCAATTACTTATAGGACATTAGTGTGGCCAATGAGCCTATGTACAAAGTGTCATCAAATTCTGTCAATATGAATTTTGGATTCTTAACATCCAAACTTGCAAATGAGGCCACCGGCTCAGCTATCAAGGATAATAGTAAAACTCGACTATTAGAAGCAGAGGCTGACACCTCAAATTCAAATTATAGCAATACAACCAATTTCTACAAATTCTCACAGACTCGCTTTATTGATAATCCCTTCTACAGTGCGGTTGGGTTCCCCAAAAACAGCACTGGCTATTAGGCTGTCGATCCTAAACTATCTATCAAGAATGCAATGGATAAAACAAAAAATATCACATCGAGTATGAAGATGAAATTCCCAACTACCAAAAAGTTGCCTACAAACACTTCAACTAAGTGTATAGCTCAGGTAGACTCTGGGAGCTGGAATGCAGATGTCTGTAAAACTAAGAAGGTTGAAGGAGAAACTATTTGTGAATGCGAATCCCTCAATCCTACTTCAATCATGGAATCCTTAGACTACTTGCTTGACAAAGCCTCCCAAGTATATTCATTGGACACTCTACTCGCATTTGCATCATTCCCCTTTTACAAAACCATCGTATTTTACTTCTATCTACTAATGACGGGAGGCTATGCTTATGTAGTCTATTGGGGAATGAAGGTAGATCAAGCCATGTATTCAAGGATAGCAATTGAGAAAGAAGCCTTAGAGTAAAAGATTAAAGAAGAGGAGGAGAAGCTAAAGGAACAAGAAAACAAATAAGAAGATGAGTAGAAAGAAGAAAATGATGGAGCTTTGCACATAGAACATATTGATACATAGAATGATGCCAATCAAAGCAAAGCCATTCTCGAGCATTAAGAATTTAATGATGATGTTCCACCCAACAATGAAGGCAAAAACACAATCTTCAATAGAAACAGAGAGCAACAACTAACTTAGATAGGAACAAGAGACCAGGTACAAACTTTGTTGGAAACTAATGATCATGCTAAATTAAGGCTCCCGAAAACCAATTCAATTCAAGGTAGTATAAAAGTGATTTCCGCTGCTGAAAATGGCCATATTGCAGTGGATATTTAAAATGCCACAATCAATTCTCAAAACTCTCCTTAGAGTAAAGTCGAGAATGCCGATAACCCACTTCAAAAGGAACCGGAAGTCACCAAGAAACCTGAGGAGGATCTAGTTTAATAATCCGTTTCCAAGTTAAAGGCTTACATAGAATATCTAAAGTATTTCCATCAGATCTTGTCTATCGTGTATAAGGATGATGAGGAAAAACCTAGGGGTCTCAGGGCATCCATAGTCTACACTAGTATTATGGGTAGTTTGGCTGTGCTCTTTGTCTTCGGGCAACCAAATAACATCAGTCTCACTTTGACTCTGGCTTTGCTTACTGCTCCTGTCAATAAAATTTATTAAATCATACTTGAAAAGATGCTGGCTCACAAGAAGAAGTCAGTAAGAATTGTTGGTGCTTTTGTTATGATAGTTACTGCTGGATTTATATCTTATACTATGCTTGCAGGTTTAGTACTGAGTGGTTCAGTGGAAACAGCCAACCAATGGAGTTATATTTTTATCGGTACTTTCAGTGCAGACAACCTGCTTTATTCTCCAATTCAGTTGGTCCTTTAATATGGCATTCATATGGGATTGATAAATATGCCAGCAATTTAAAGGCTATTGAACAAATTATTGGATAACAAAGCTAAGGAATTCCTTAGAAGAATATTTACTAGAAGAAGATGATGCATAGATTTTAATTTATTTTTGTGTAATTGATCATATTTTTATTAAACTTTATTTTAATTTTTATAAGCAAGGTTCACATCAATATTAATAATTATTTAAATGGTAATTGGTTTTAATACTCTAATAGAGTATATAACAATGGAACGTATATAATTAATTAATTTATAGGTTTTATTTTAATTAATTAATTGCAAAAGACAAATTCTTTCCTTTTTAATCCAATTTCTTAAAAAAATGTTCTTACACAGTTATTCCAGATAAGTAATCATAGTGATACTTTCTGATTATTCTTCTCCTTTTTTTAAATTTAATAGCTTATCACTTTCTTTATCAATTAAAAGAATTCAAAAGGAAACTATGCAATAATAGTAGATGATCAAGTTGCAGAAATTTATTTAGGAGAATGCTTAGTAGAAGAATTATAAGAGTAGAGCACTAAACCTCAATCTATATCAGCTAAAGAAAGTCTATCATTTCCATAATCAAATAAGCTGGAATACCTGGTAGAGATGATGGCATTATTGAAATTTATTTCTTGAATCCAGGTCTGGCTGTGAAATTGATAGCAGGCATAGTTTCCAGAAATTTTATCCTAGGTTTTACTTCAAGATGAAATTAGGAAATTCTTATCGATATCCCAGGTTCATAACAAATACCATTGCAATATTACCAATGTTGTTATTTTAATATTATATGAAGTAAAAGAGTAAAAGGATGAAATTAAGCACAAAAGTTGATGGTCAAAAATTTAGATTCATAAACTTTGGTTAATTTAATTGTTTAGGCACTTTTGTCTTGAGATTACGAAATTGTTCCAAAAACAATCTTAATAATTTCAAATGCAGACTTTTCTCTTATTTGGTCAAATAAGGTCAATGTTGGATGATTGGAAACAAATCTGGAATTTAATATTTATAAAAATCGAGATGATAAATTTAAAATAAAAAACAATCATGAACAAAATTTTAAAATGTAATAATGATCATTATCCTAGACATGAAGAGCTTGGATATCTTTGGGTAAAACATCCAATTGAATTTTAATGGATAGAACTAATATTAAACAGCAACTGGTGGATTTTTCTCCCTTGCTATAATTGCTGTTATAGCATTCTTCTTTTAACAGAATATCTTAAATTTCATTCATCGAGTTGATATTCATCTCAACGCTTAGACGATCTTCGATTTCAACCCAGACAGAATAACATTCAATGAGGATAATTACATGTTTGCATTGGCAGTTGACTAGACTAACTTCAATACACTCCCCTTCTTCAATATCACTCTGAAATAACGTACCTACACAAGATCCTCCGATGGCTCCTTAAATAAACAAGATAATTTCATAGATCTAATCCCATGCACCTAAGATCGATTTCAAAAGATCTTTAAGAATTAGGATTTCTCTGTTTAGTTTTCTTAATTAAAACTAGAGGAATGGCTATGTCCTCAACTCAATTATTCGATCTAATTAGGTGGCAGTTTTACAAGCGACATCTTCGAGTTTGTCAAAATAACTGTGAGTGAGTGCTCAAATAATTCAAATTCGAATTCCATTCTGTCATGGAAACCTCAATGTGCAAGCACTTAAGCCAGAGATCGTTATCTTCAATAAGAACGCTCCTTCAGAATTAGGATGTACATCTCTTCTATTAATTCAGGTATATGACTAATAATGTTATCAACCCCTTATAAGTGTAAAATGTGTCCCAAACCTTCTTAGATGATGAAACTTATTTCTCATTTCTACTTTAAACAGGAACAGAAGCAGATGTATTTTATTAGAAATACAATATCACCACTGATGACAACGTCATTCCTATTCTCAAAAAAATAGATGAAGAGATCATAAATGTCAAAAGAGCAGGAGATTTTAAGACCAAAATCGTTTAAAATAATGATTAGCAATTTTCAGCCATCTATTTGAGAAGAAGTCCTTACACCTAAATTGTTAAACGAGAATTATAAGATATTTCTGATCTGCTCTCTTATCTTGGGGGTTTTGCAAATATCGTTGCTCTTGTTTTTGGAATCCTCATCAAATCCTATAATAAATCAAGATGTATTAGATCAATCACCTATTTAGTAATGATCGATTTGGCTAATTATGTTTATGATTTCCCTACTAAGAGTATTAGCATTGCAGACTCCCAAGAAAGAAAGGAAATCAAGAAGGTTATAGCCAAAGCAAGAAGTAGAACCATCGTTAAGCAGCAAGGTTAGGATCAGGAATTACACTCTCAAATGCAATCACCTAAACATACATAAATTTAGCTATAATAAAATGATACAAAATAACAGGAACTATACAATATATCCAAACAAGATGAAATATACCAAGTCAAATCAGAATTGTAGATTACTAATCGCCAAGAAGAATAACTGCTATTCTATTAGGAATAAGAAAAAATTATACTAAAACTAGGTATCCAGGATCGGAAGAGCTACTTAACTTAGTAAATCCAGAAGATATTAAATAGAAGCAAGCCTATACTATTCAACTGCAAATACATTCTTTCTATGGTGTTTTGCTCTAAATTATTTTACGACCGCAACAGCATACTACTCCACAAAGCAATGTAATGAATTGATGTACTCATATATTTAGAAAAAAAATAAACCAAGATTTGGATATTTGTGTGGTTATAGACACGGTCAAAGAAATTAATTTAATTAAAGAATTATTGTTAACCAAAGATTAATTAGTTCTATTTGATTTTGCTCCAAAATAGGTAATCGATCTTTAGGAAGACGAAAAATCAATTATGACGAGAAGCTAAGGTAGTAATAGCTTGGAAACCATGAGATCAAATTCAAACTAGAAAGAAGTTTAAAATTAAAACAAATCAATTCAAGCTTACTATAAGCTATTTTAAGTAAAAGTTTCTTTGTATTTAATATAGGCCTATGATCATATTCATAAATAATTATAGTAGGACAACAAAATTAATGAGAAATTGATTGAGAAATTAGGACAAGAAGTTAGAGATATCTTTGACGTTTCCCACTTGATTTAGTGGGAAAGGAAATCGATTAAATGTCTAAAAGATGATATGTAGGATGATTCAGTTAACTCAGATCCTCTTTCTATAAACAACGTAGAATAGATCAAGATAAATGTCAAACTGAGTACATGAACTAGAATTATGTTAAAAAATATTCAATATTGAACTAACTCATTATTTCAAATTATTACAAAACTCAGAAGTTTAATCAAAATAAAATAATTAGTAATATTTGTTATAACAAGCAAGTATTTCTTAATCTAACGAGGATGATGATCTCAAATCAAAACAATCATGCTAATTAATTATTAAAGAGTAGGTTAGTTTCTCAAGAAATTGAACCTAAATTAAAGCTAAATAAGAATCATAGTTACTGTGAGATAAATCTAAACAAGGCAAAAGAAAAAAGAATATTAGATGAAGAAACATCATTTGAATTAAAAACACATAATTTGAGAATAGAAAATACTAAGATCTTAACTTATTATAATAATTACTTAATTTGAAATTTTTGGAAATATGCAAGAAGATCATAATCTGAAATGGGTTTGGAATACAACTAAAATAAAATGGAAATAGTAAAATTCCAATATCTAAATCAGAAATAAAATATAGTTTGAAAAATCATCAAAGCAGCTTATGAATTTTAAATAAGAAATATGGATAGCCAAAGAACTGATATAAAATAAATTGATATCTAGTAGAAAACCATAATATTTTGATGTATAAAAATAATAAATATCCAAAGTGTATTGAAAATGATTCTTTGAAAAACAAAATAATTCACTATAATATGATAATTTTCCCCCTTTTTTATTATATATTTATATTGAATGAATATTGACATATGTTTTGATACATAACACTAAATTACTAAATTAATGGAAGTGCTCGGTGAGATGAAGATAAATAAATTGAAATCATAATTAATTAATAATGTTTAATTCTTACTCATATGAAAAATAACTTGCCTTATCCAAAGAGATTGACAAGATTAAGAAGGGATACATGAGAGAACGAGAAGTTCGCAAAGGTAAGATTGATTGAATAAATGAAGAGTTAAATAATAGGTTGGCATAGAATTACAGGAAAAGAGTGGAAAATTTTGTCATCAATATGCTTGAGAATCCTGTGGTTTGTGCAGAATACAAACAGCCCGACACTCAAGCTTTTAGATAGGAAGACCCCACTAAGAATTTAGGAGATCCCCAATTTTATGTCAAGGGTTTCAAGCATGAGAAAGATCGTATCCAGGAAGCCTTGGACAGAAACAAGAATCTTGACTTTCTTCCTAATAGGCAAGTGGCTCATTATTGCTTTCGTGAAAGGGATCCATCCAAAGACATAAAACGCGATGTGTTTCGATACAGAGATAAAACTAGTTTAGAAAGGATAGAACAGTTTTTGAAGGATCACACATAAACCTAAGTGGAGAACCAGAAATTCAGCAAGAAGAAAGTATTTAACATAGAGAATCTCTCGGAAAACATGAGTTCGCTAGACAGGAAAGCCTATTTAAGCAGATTGATTGCCAAAAATTTACTTCCTAGTTTACATCAAAAAACACATTTTCAAGCTGCATCTACTATGTTTAATAATTTGCCATGTATATTCCTTGTGTTAATTTTCTAGTATCTCTTATGGACCATGCTAGATCGGCTCCAGTGTTGAAGTAAGCAGAACCAGATGAAAAAAGTATTAATTATTTACCAATCATTTCTAGAATCTCAACAACAATAGAGGGATGTTTAGAAGACTGAAGAAATGGAATAGAAAGACAATAAGATCAAGCAAGGGAATGAATTGGAGACCTTTAATCCTATTGAAACTTCTAAATCTGTGTTGGAAAAATGTAATGTCATTCGCGGTAAGAATCCTAAAATTAGTACAATTCATAAAGGATAAGGACATTTAATCTCAACTTTAGACAAATCAATTTAGGAAATATATAAGGATATCTATGGAATAGATTTGAGTTAAGGTAAGTTTTTTTAAAAATGAATTTTTATAATTATTATTAACTCTTCATTCATTTAGAAGATTATATATATAAATAAGTAAATATAGTTTAAGATCAATTTATTTGTATTCACTTGGAAAAATGCTTCTTTTATAAAATCATTTAAAAGTACTATATTATTAATTCAATTATTCTTTTTTGTCTTAAGCTCTGATTAAATTCAAGATAGGTGTTATAAAATTTAATTAAAAAAATCAATGAATAGGAAATACGATTAAAAATATATTAATAAAATGGAAAAGTCAAATGAAATATAATTTTGTTATTATATATAATAATTTAATCAGCTCTCCAGCAATAGGTTTGTGTTCTAATTTTTATTTTTTCTCTAGCGACAATATAGGAATATACCTCCTCCAATCAATAGTACGCCAAGAAGTATTAGTATAATAGCCCAAATAGGAAAGCTTCCGTTGTCATCATTATCAGGAGGAGAAGGAGGTATGTATTCTGATATTATAACCTTTTCTTGAATAGAAACGTTTTCATCTGTATTAGATAACTTAAATTTCACTTGATCCTCAAATTTAATTTCACTTGTACAGAGTTAAGGGGATCTTAACAAGATATAATGTTAAAGTTTCAATTAGCCTTCAGATGATGCTAATAAATGTAATTTATCTTTTAAAGAGTACACAAAAGACAAATGTTAAGAATTGTCTTTAATTCCAGACAGAGGAGTAGCCAGATGAGCAATAACATTTTTAGGTTTAGAATTACTGCTTGGTGTTTCCATATCATATAACATCAACTCATAGTGAGTTTAGGTCAAATAAATTAGTTAGAGAATATTTTCATTTTAACTAAAATCTATTAATTACCAATCTTGATATTACTAATATAAGCCATTAAATTTAAACGTAGAAATTTCACATAATTCATTTCTTGAACAGTTAATTTCATAATGAAAAGAGTATGACGCACTATTCTTGAATATTATAGTAATTTAGTTTTTTGTTAAGACAAATCCGGCTGATTGTTAAATTTCTTGTTTATTGATTTTTTATCCCGCAAGTAATGAATCCAGTGGAAATTTGACAAGATAATTGTTTGTTGCTGTTCTGTTGATTTCTCTCATTTAGAATTCAGGGTTACCCCAAATATCTACTGAAATAAACTAATAGACATTCTTTTATAAATGAGTAAATTCCATTTACTAAAGTTGATAGTACTATGAAAAACTTTAAATTAGTTCAAACTACTCCAATTTCGTTGCATCTCCTAATGTATCATAAACATTAACATAATTTCCCATATATAAAAAGAAATTATTTTCATGAAGATAAGCCCTTTTTACACCCATAGAAAGTTGGAATTTATTATCCAATAAATTACACATGTCACTATTCTTGCATTAAATGACCCTCAACCAGATAGATTCCTTTGATTTAGCTTAAACATAGATATTTTCCCCTGCAATCAGTAAAATAGCAGTAAATTGATAATCTTCATCCAACTTCAAGATCTGAAATGTAAATTCCTCAATATTCACTAGATTAAGTTTATTCTACATTAATTAAACTAGTCTACTACTATTAAACTATTTTAATTATGGGCTGTATTCCAAAATTTCTTTTTGCAATGTCAAAGATGGATTCAACTAAATCTTTTTTTATTAATCTGCAAGTTCAATATCAAAGACTTAACCTGAGTACCAATCCTAACCCAAATCTGCACAGTTTACAGTATCATTATGTTTTGTGTAGTTCAGATTGATTTGATCACTTCTCAATATAATTTTGCTGCCTCTATTTACGCTATTTATAGCAATTGATGCAACCATTTTATTGGATAAATCATTAGTAACATCAAAATCTAATTGGATCAAACTTGTGTATGGTATTTATTCGTATTCTTTATTGACTACGCTTGTAACTACAAGCTCTCCAGTGATCTAATAATTAACTACTTATTTGTTAACAATGTCAGTCATAAGAATGTTGTTACCTGCTACTGAAAATATGGTACTGGGAGTTGAATTAATCTAATAGAATAAGGTATCCAAACTATTTGACGTCAACTTATAGACCAAAATGACTTAGCTTGAACTTTACTTATTATACCCATGAATATAAAACAAATTTCTATCAAAAGAACATTCTAGAGTAGACAAATTAATATCTGTGTAGTGTGTGAATGATATTTGCTTCTCAGTATAGATATTCCTTTTATTTGCATAATTAAAGACTGTCACAATGTAATTTTCCTCATTGTCGGGTTTAATGAATCTCACAAAATGATTTTCAAAAATGGCCAAATTTGACTCTTAGTAATCAAACTAAATAGTTCCATACCAAACAATAGTTTATAAATCATATTCAATATCGTACAAATTCAAACTAAATTATTATTCGATAAAGAATAAATTTTTAACATGTTCTGATGCATATATCTTCTTGGCAAATACATTAAAAGTATTTGTTAATTTAGCTTGATTTAAAATGGTTATTTCATAAATTCTAATCTCCTGCTCTAGTAATACAAATAAATGTGAACCATCTGTTACAATTTATTTTACATTACTTCCCATCTCAATGGTTGTCAAAATATCAAGGTTATTTGTTTGAGTGGACAAATAATAAATTGTAATGCTTTGTTCTTAGAAAGTTCCAAAGAACAACGATTCTTAATTAGACCACCATAATTATTCTAATGAATTCTACAATTGTTTAAATTAATCTTTTGTAAAAAGGAGGTTACAATTGAGTTGAAGATTACCTTCACATAAATATCCTTTTACTTAAAGATTAGCATCTTATTAAATAACATAGTAACTCCATTATCCATTGGCTTTCAATATTTTTCGATAGCCCAAAGTTTGTGTCTCGGAGAGTCCTTACAAAGAAAAAGCCTAATGTTTTTCAATTTCAATTTTTTTTATCAAATTATTAGCTTTGAATTGATATTTTAAATCAGAACCTTAGTATATAGGTACTAACTTGATTATATCACTATCAATATTGACACCTCCTACTAACAAGCCTTAAGAATATTACGATTATAAGATTTGTTTATACCCCAAATCTTGAGTTTTATAAAACAAAGTTATTTAGCAATTTTATGGGTAAGCTCCTTAAATTAAACTGGCTTATTAGTAACCTTCACCAACAATAGCCGAAGTTAGCGATAATTTTAAAGAGTAGTTTTCATTTATTGTAAAACCAGCAACTCTTATGTTGGAAACAATCATAAAGCCTTCAGCATTTTGATTTGTATTTATAAAAGCTAACTCATTATCAAATTTTAAATTTTATATCTTCTTTAATGATTCATTTAACAATGTCACAGTGTTGTTTTAGAATAAGAGTATGTTTCTTTTAGTGAGATATATTTTAGATGAGGCATCTTCATTTAAGATTTCTGCTAATTGCTTTTCCTTATCTCTATTTTGAAACACAATTTGTGTTTTTGAAATTATCGCATAAGTGTTGGTGTAGATATTGTAATCATACCCTTAGACATCATTGATGTGAGTTTCTATAATTTTGATTAAACCCCATGAGTCATTTTTGTATTAAACAATTATGATTTCACCAGAAGCATTCAAAATGCTAAGTTATCCATTGGTATGAACTTGAAAATCCTTGATTGACAACTTAAAAGAGTCTTTTTCCAAAAGTGCGATCAAGGTGGTTTCATCCAAAGAAATTAAATACTTCAGTTAGCCCTCTTCTTCAATGTATACAAAGATTTTATCTGCTGTTCCTCTGAACATGTATTTGTCAACTTAGTCTATTTTCCTAAACTCCGAGGTAGCTTTATCGACATCTAAATAAGTTGTTGAATCCTAATTCATCAGTATGAAATAGCTATTTTTCTTTTGGTCATCACAGTCTATAACAGTTAATCTATCTATTTATACTATATCATAGCAGATAGAGTTTTTTTTTGCCTCACAATTTGTTAAAATGCTGATTTAGGGAAGGTCTAAGTAAGTTCCTTAGTTGGACTATGCATAGTAGGTATCGTAGTTAACGCCTAGAATTGTTAGGTGGTTAATTGGATCACGACTAGAGGTGCTTTTCTGGAGTTTTTAAGTGACAATCTTGAGGTCTTTGATTCCACCATAATATTTTTCTGAATATTTTGATATTGGACTTGTTATTGAAAGGAATTTGTCGGTTTGCTTTAAGGTGAGTCTCTCAAAATAATCAGTATGGAAGATGGAGGAGAGGGGTACGTTAATCACTTCTTGCAAAGTACCTGTAAGGAAGATGGTATTGTTATATAGATAGGAGCACGAGTGTGCTAAGACGATCATATAAGTCAAAAGGAATTAAACTTTGGTCATTTTAATTTATTAAAATGTGGAATTTAGCATTGTAGCTTTGTATTGAAATTTGAATACATAAGGAAAATAATGTATTAACAAAGTTATTCAGCCTAAATTCTGCATAAAATTTTAAAATAATTAATAATTGTTTATAAAAATAAAGCTATTAAATAATGGTAATTTATAAGTTAATTTCAATCTAATAAATATGTTGATCTTGAAAAGCCTATATTTTAAGAGGATTCAAACATAAAAATATCTAAATTCTTGAAATTTCATCAAATTTATGTAAGAATTATAAGGAAGAGTAAAGTAGAGGAAATTGTGTAGATCTGTAAATAGATTTCCTGATGATGCTATTTATTCAAAAAGATAGAAATTAGACTAATTGAGGATTATCTGGATAGAATTTTGAATTCTAAATCAGGAATTGCAGTAGTCTATAATTTGATTATGTTGTTGCATCTTCGATTATGGTAAGACATCCAATAGCTTTGCAGAATTTATTAATTTGAGTAATAATAATATATAATTGAGATTTCATTTAATCATAGATTACTTCTAATCTTTTTGTTCCATACTTATTATTCCAATTGGTTATTCTTCATCATAATAATTGGTTTTCTTCTTTTTCAGTTTTTCAATTACTTTAGCATTTTAATCTCCTTGAATGTAATTGGAGATGTCAAATACTTCCTTGACTTCTTACCCAAGTTTCTCAATCAGAACTTTGTTAAAGGGATTGTTTCTTTCTTCTGATAATGCGACTCTCTCATAAGCTGAATAGAGTTTATAATAGATTCGCATTCCTGGAGTGACAAACTAACCTTTTTTAAACTTTTTGTCCAACATCATTTTGGCCACATCTCCAAATTGAACTCCGAGTGTCTTCGTATAGGCTCGTCTATATAAGTCTAGATTGGATTAAATACTTATTCTCTCTTCTTCCAGGGAGTGAACGCTCATTTTCAATAGAGATTACCTCTTTGGGAGCAAAATTAAACAAAATCTTCTGATCCTTGTTTAATAGTAACTCTTTAATCAATTCGATTTCCTTGACTTTATCAATCAACACACAGATGTCAATATCTTAATTTATCTTTTTGCTATTCTTAATGATATTTCATACATAGCCTTATTTAAAAGAATTGAGTTGTGATCCTGAAAGAACTTGCCACAGAATAACTATTGTAATAAGAATTTAAAAGTAAAGACAATAGGTCTACTACGGTCAAGCATAGCTTAAATTTGCTTAGTCAGGAACTCCTTCCGATTGCGATGACCCAACTTACTGACTATGCTTTATTGAATTTGTTTGAATGACTTTTTCTTTGACATGTCGATCTTAACTTTAGAGGCTCTTTGATCCTCCTGATCCTCCTTAACCATATCAGATGCATTTAGCAAGTAATTATTTTAGACATCTATGGCATCTGCACTCTACCATTCGACTTCCTTATCCCCAACTGGCTATCGATGACTGCTTAATACCATTTTGTATGAGTCATCCTTTTGAGTTTGAATTCCAGAAATGTAGTCGAACTTCTAAGAGAAAGTTTATCGGAAGGTTAATCTAAGATTCTTTTCTATTTATGGCTTTGCAAGGTTGAGAGATGAAATGGGACTACAGCGATTCAAAGCCAAATTTTGAGATTTCAGTTAAGTTATATCTTCGACCAATCTTTATCGTTCAGCTTTCTCTTAATTTTCCTTTTTGGGATTAAAGTCGTATATTTGATTAGCCAATTCGATTAAATCTATTGAGGATGAATTGAAAGATTACATAATTATTTATTATATATGGCTACGATGAATCCCAAAACAACGAAGACAATATTAGCGAATCCTCCTAAAATGGAGAGGAGCTTGTCCAATTTTTGATATGACCTTTATATGTAGGTAGTGTATGGGGATCTTCTGAAATAGACTTATGCAAATGTATCACTTGCATAATTGTTTTAATCTCTATAATCTCCAGACTATTTGGCGAATAACTCTTTTGTATCAAAGGCACTTTCAGTTGGTAATAAGTTATTATCCGTTTTCATACTATATTTAGTAAAAAACACGTCAGCCTCCTTACCGATCATTTGGGGAACAAAAGAGAAAAACAATTCGTCGTCCAAAAAGGATTAAACATAATCATCGCCCTTCGATGGACTTACCATTTAATTCGTGATGTATCTATAGTTATGTTTGAGTTAATACACTTTAATTCTATACTGTCTCTATTGCAATAGCCAATGTTAAACCTCTTCAGTTGATGCACAAGCAGGTTACCAAGAATAGAAAGAATTTGTCTGAGATTGGTTGCTGCATTGAGTAACAGTTATTTTCAGGAAATTAAAAAATTTATTCGTATACCTCCCATTTAAAGTAATTTAGTAATTCATTCTAATTATGGAAATATTAAATACTGCGGACATAACCAGGTGTCTAAACCGATCTCATTGTATTGTTGAGTAAAATTTTAGCCATATGAACTGAAGACCTGTTGGAATCTCTAGATAGTGCAAGGAACAAGATCGATTAAGGCTTCAGTCTTAGAGAGTGAGCCATTCCCCAATCGTTCGTATTATCTTAATAATAATTTAAGATACCTGGCTGACAGAGTGATATTGAAAAATGGATTGGAATTGAAATTTGGTTATTCGATAGCTACTGCAAACATGAAGTTGGTGTCGTTTAAATATATTGAATCTGGCTGATCTTCAAAGACTTGGTTACTCTCACTTTGAATGTTCACTTTGTCAACAAAATCTTTTATGTTGGATTAAAAGAATAACACAACGATTGCCAATATAACTAGAGTCATCATACCTCCACATCCTGTTTTATATTGATCTTCCCCATTTAAATTGAGAAGGATGTTCTACCCGAACAAATCAATTGATCTAAGGTCTTTAATATAAGTATCTAATTTACATTTCAGAATGGATTTTTTGGAAGTGCTCATTTTAAAATGTTTATATTAAATTTTATCATTTAGATGTATATATTATATTCAAGAGAAGTATTATGAGAAGGTCACATTTAGATTTATATATATTCAAATTATATCATTCTTTTTTAAAGAATTTATATATCTATTGCATCAAAGGAAAAACACTTTGGTTATATTCCTCGTCACTTAAATCTACGCTATACATCAATAGATAATACCTGTGCAATACTGATCACTTTCAACACAAGAGTAATTGAAGAAACTGATAGTAGTTTTACTTTTGGAAGACGCAAGAGGAGTGATGTTTTCAGTCCAATCATACAAATAGTTCTCTAGCATTTTGTTTTCGGTCAGAATTTTCTTAAACAAGGAGATCAAAAAATCATGATCTGGCTTATTATTATTTTGGTTCCATTTGATGTACCCAAATAGTCCAGCAAATGGCAATCTGCTCATTTGTTTAGAACTCACATATTATTCCTTATGTCTCATCACCTCATCATTGTAAAGCATTGTGTTGGGGTATTTCATCCAAGGGAGTTGGCCTAGGATAGACACTACACATTTACCTTTGAAGAGGTACACAAGAGTATAGGCCAGCATTTCAATGTCATCAATAAACCTATAAGGTTATCTTTTATGCACTTAGAGAGGGTCATAGAGTTGTGTGCCTTCTACATCTTTTGAAACGAGAAACTAATCAGCTTCCTTGGCTATCCCAAAATCAATCAGGTATATTTATGAATCTAAGAATTATTAAAATAGAAAAAACCTTCCACAGATTTAATCATTAGATTCGTAGGTTTAATATCTCTATGTACAATATTCAAAGTATGGACTTCCTTCAGTATTTCAAGTACTTTGATGGCAACACAGCATATGCATTTTAAGGAGAGTTGTTTCATTTTAGCCCTTAGACTATGCAAATCTGTATTTAAATATTCCATGCTCAGATAGGTAGATCTTCCCGATTCTCCAAAAGTGTAGACTTTAGGGATTCCTGGGATGTGGGATAACTTTTTCATAATTTTATACTCATTAGATAAGTCAAACTTAGAGTATTTGATGGCTACTTCTTGTTTTGTAGTGTGATCCACACCTCTGAAAATAGTACCACATCCTCCTTTGAATAGTTTCTCATGTACAGTTAAACCTGGAAGATCATCAACTGAGGATATGGTTTTGTGATTGATGATAATCTAGGAGTGCCTAGTCATTTAATTAATATTATAAAAATGATTTAAACAGTTTAATTTGAGTCTCAATCCAAAAATGAAGTTTAAGAATCATTGTACTTTATACTTTGTCTTGATTATAGTTCGAATTAATTATCACACATTAATTTTAATTAACCAAAAGCATTTCAAAAACATCGTATCAACACAAATGCCATAAAATGAAAATGCAATTAAATTATGCACTTCACTTCATATTAGGTATTATTGATGAGGATTCCCATGAAATCTGATTAAGATTGTTATGATTAATTAGAAATAAGTTTTTAAGAACATATAAATTGATCAAAAGGATTGTTTAAATAATTAAGATATTTATTTATTTTTGCTTCTTGCTAGCATGAAATCTTAGAATTCGAAAAAACCAAATTTGAAGATCACTTTAGACAAGAAGTCAGTTGCATTATTGTCTAAGTCAGATAGACCACCCAGCTCCAAGTGCTCCCAAAAGACCATATCCTCCAATGATAAGGTAATTTCACGAGACTAATTTATTTGATTTAGACTACTGCTTCCTCCAAAAAGTAAAGTTTCAAATTTCAGGATAGCTTCTCCACTCCAAATCCGTCTTTCATTTCAGAGGGAGACAAGAAATGTAAATATGTCGAATTCACAATTGTAGCAGTTGAACCTCACCAATCTCAGCTCATCCAATTCCTTATCCAAGAGAATTTAGAACTTTAAAAACAAAATTCAGATAAAGACAAAATCATCACCAAACTTCTCACTACAAACAAACCCAATTGTTTACAGAGGGCCAACACCTCCAACACCGAAAGAAATATGACTAAATATTCCTCCACAGAGCAGTAATACTTTCAACTAGAACATCTAGAAAAATATGCGAATCCAAGAAAACCAACTCCCCTCTAGGCTTCACTTTTTGTAACACCGAATAAGTGACTGATGCCAGAACCATTCAAACCTAGCCAATGACTTAATCAAATAAGAGACTCCCTAAAGAGTTTTAAATTGTACCCAATCAAAGAAGGTTTTTCATCTGAACGAACTTTGAAAAATAATTTCTTATTTGATTTTAATGTTTTAGTTTATTTTCAATAATTTTTAAGTATATTCCTCAATGCTTCCTTTGAATTATAATTTATAAATTTAGATGCCAAAAATATTTATATAATAATATGAAAAGTTTCTTGAGAAGAAAACCTTTGTTAAAACAATATTACCGATTAACTACAATTCCAATCCATTAAAAACAAACTCCCTGATTTTATTAGAATATGAAATTTAATTTCCTTGATATTTATTTAATTTGCTTTCTACTGTTCCCTTTAATATGCAATCTTGTTCCATCCTATCCTATTATTTCCTTGATTGTATTTATAATATCTTGTTATTCTTCCTATTTTTACTATAATTAAGAAATACTTCAATTCCTTTGCCATAATTAAGAAATAATTCAAAAGAATACATTCAGATTACTTAGCATATTGCTCTTAATTTAAATTTCATATATTTTAAAATCAAATTGATTTTGTAATTATAAGTCTAATGAAAGTTGTTTAAGCATGACTAAGCACTGATTAATATAAAATAAAATATATTATTATATAAAAGATTAAATGTTAAAAAGTCACTTTTATACGACTAAACAAAGAAAGTAATTACTTTCATTTAGAGATGCTTAGACTTTTGTATGCTTAAAGATATTTTCTAAGATGAGATAATGAGTTGTTACATATATAGATAACCTATTAATTTGATTTAACATTTACATGATATTTAGTGATTAGTAATTGAATTAAGGGACTAAGGTTAGAAATATAGGTTCCTTTCATATTTGACCGGAAGTTGAGTGTGAAGTAATTGAACTCCCCGAATTTAATAGAATGTGCTGCCTATTCAGCTTAATTTGAGAATTCAATGATTGTATGGAGATTAGCATCCCTTAACAAATTAAAATCGTTCTGATCACGAGGTACATAACCATAACAGATATGATTATCCAATTGATAGATTGATCTCTTTATCTTTTCCATTCCTGTACAAAAGGCTAAAATGTAGTTCTTATAAGAGAAGTCAAGATTTTGGTTTTGTGAGATTGTAGAATCGAGATGCAGAGTCAGGATTGAACTGGAGTAGTGTTTTTTGGTTTTCACATGGAATTGATAGTGAACTACCTTGTCTTCGATAACATTGGCAAGTATTTTTTTATAAGATATATCTTATTTTTGCTTCATACTTACTCGTTTAGCATTCTAACCAAGATCCAAGGATGAGCCAGAAATAAACATGGGATATTGTTGGGGATTGTAGCACTGGAACATCACTTTTCGATGATTCCACACATCAACTATGCCTTTTTCAAGATTTAATTAATGATTACATGAAGGTTCTGTTGTTCTCATGAGTCTATTTGGTCCAAATTCCCATTCTTCGGAGTTCGGATCATTGAAGGAGGAGACAAAGTACTTATATTGGAAATAGTGAATGGGGATATCGATGGTCCACAGATGTCCCTATATACTAGATTTGGCTTACTTGATTCCACTTCATTCTCTTGGCTTGAAGCGGAGACCAATTGCCGAAGTAATCGGAATCGCCAGAGATATAAATTGCATCACCAAATTGAAGTTGATAATGTAATTGAAAGCTTAACATGTATGTTTATAATTTTTAATGATTAACATTTGAGATTGTTGCCATCTCAATTGTAATTCATAATAGTTATTATTTTCCATGTTACGTATCTAAAATGAAATATTATTATTATTTTGCAATCCACAGCTTTATCTCTAATTTTCAATTATAACCTATGCAATAATAAAATAAATGGATATTCTCATTCATCAATCCCCTGGAGAATTGGTCTACTTGTACATCTCCGCCCGAGGATTGCAAAACTTGGGCCATTCCAACATCCAAGACTTCAGATGTCGAGTCTACTCAAAGGAAGATTTCATTGGAGAAACTGAAGTCTCTCACTCCTCCCTTGATCCTGACTTCAAATAACCCATCCCCATCATGTACAGATTCAACAAGAGATAAAAACTTGTATTCTAAATTATTGATGCCGACCAAGAATTATCAAGTCAACTTGTGAGTCAGAATGCTTCTGCCTCCATTGTAGGCATTTGCAAACAGCCCTTGGCCAAATTGATGGGAGCTAGGAATTCCTTAAGCCAATTGAATTTGATGAAAGGAGATTTGGTCGTAGGCACAATCATTATTCATGTCGCCAGAAAAGGACCTCAAATTGCTGGCCAAAAGGAACAAACTAATAAAGTAACAGAAATTAAATGGCGTTGGGGAGGTATTTAATAATTACAATAAATTTAGGCATCAAATTACTCGACCTTGACTTTTTCACGAAATCAGATCCTTTTGCTAAGTTTTATAGAATCAATGGTCAATAAACTGAAATGATACATAAAACTGAAGTCATTAAAAACAATTTGAATCCAAATTGGATGTGTTGGGAAACAACAGAGAATGAATTCTTCAAGTACTCTAAAAATCTCTATGTCGAAGTCATGGATTACGATAAATTGGGTTCTGAAGAAGTATGATGAAATCTAAAAATATAGATTGGGCACGTCACGATTAATTATGACGATATCAAAATCCACAAAAAAACTGAGTTTCCTTTATTGACTCCTAAAGGGAAAAATGCTGGCACATTGAAATTATTAGAATTAGTCATTGTAGAACCAAAAGAAGAACACATAGAAATAATTTAAGAAGAACCGAAAGAACCTACCTTCTTAGATTATTTAATGGGCGGATGGTAAATGTCATTATCAATAGGTATTAAGTTAAATTTGTAATAATAGGTATTGACTTCACTTTTTCAAATTAACCCATCACTAAACCAGATTCTTTGCATAAAATTGATCCTCATAAATTGAATTACTATCAATAAGCAATCAAAGTTATTGGTGGCGGAATCATAGCATTTGATTATGATAAATAAGTGCCTGTCTATGGATTTGGAGGAACACCTAAATTACCGACCTACACTAAGTCTACAATGGATGATTGTTTCCCTCTGAATGGAAACAAAGACAAGCCTTTGTGTAATGATGTGGCAGGAATCCTGTAAGCTTATATTGAGGCAGTCCCAAATATAGTATTTTCAGGTCCAACCTTTATTTCAAATGTTCTAAACAAAGCTCTATAATTTGCAAAGGAAAATGCACAAAATAACACATACACAGTAGCCATGATCTTGACTGATGGCTAGATTGAAGATCAGTAATTTATACACATACTAATCTTAGAGATGATGCCATCAAAGTATTACTTGAATGTTAGACTTTGCCTATGTCCATCATTATCATTGGAGTGGGAGACGAGAACTTCAAATACATGAAATAGTTTGATGACCCAGCCTTCCTTAAAAAACACTCAAAAACAGATATGAACATTAGAGACATCATTCAATTCGTATCATTCCAAGATTATAAAAATGACATTGAGCAAATGAGTTCAGCCGTTCTTGATTAATTGCCTAAATAGTTTATGGACTACATGCACATCAATCATATTTAACCCATTAAGATGTAATCTGTTCACCTTAGCAAAGCCTTCAAATGAATAGATATATATATATATAGCTATTAAAATTAAATGATATTTATTATATGATGGATGATTATCAAACTTTGACGTTTGAGAAGTCAACACTCTTAACAAGGGCCAAAGCTTACTCACTAACTCCCAATTCTCTGGTGAATTCGTTCTTGGTATTGGTGTAGATATCGGTTTCTTCAGCATAGGTATTATTTTCCAATTCTAATTCGGCAGTGTATTGTTTTTGATCGGCAGCTCTTTGGTCTCTGAATTCAACCATGGAGTCAATCTTTTCTATACAAAGTTATTTTATTATGGATACCATTGGTGGCAGTCAAATCTACTGTAGCTCTGTCGATTTGTCTTTAGAATTCATGGAATTCATCATCCAATTATTCAAGGTTGGCTTCATGATCAATGACATCTTGGGCTTCTTGGGCTGTCAAGTCATTAATTTAATCGACAACAGCATTTCTGAATTCGTTAAGGGCATCTACGATGTTCTTCAACACGTCTTAGTTGGAGAAGTTTTGATTTGATGCTAAACTAATCAAAGCCTTGATCATGGGAGCCATTCTGGATCTAGATCTGATCTTGCTCTCAATGTTCTTAAGTGTATTTTGGAATCTTCTGATTTACAACAATGATGGGTTTGTGAGGGATGCAAGGAGGGCCAAAGCATCATCGACTGAAGCTGTAGCGTCGTTCAATTCGGCAACTTAAGCTTCAAAGGCATCATGCTCTTATCCTCTAACTAAGATAGCCTCATCATAATTCTTTCTGTTGTCTTCTTGATATCCAAGGACAGAGTCAATCTTGTCTTGGATTTAGGCTCTTCTTGGGTAGAGAAGGTTATCCAAAGTATCTTGAGTATTGTTAACATCTACAAAATTCGATATGTATTTTTACCAATGACAGCATCTTAGATGTCTTATTCTAATGAAACAACCAAGGCATTGTGTTCGTTTGTTCTCACTTAGAAATTGAATTCCAATTCTTCCAACTCCTCTTCTAAATCGTTGATGAGTTCTTCAATAGCATCAATCAATTCTTGAACTGGTCCTCCAGCCATTGAGTGTAACTCAACCAAATGGAGCAAAGCCTTTCCGTAATTGCTCTTAGCCAAATCAGCTTACACTTTGGCCATGTTTCTCTCTTAGACTCTAGCTGTGAAAGCCACAGCAATGAGGGCAATCAGAATAATAGATTTCATTTATTTTATTATCAATCACATAAAAACGAATTTTTCCCATTATCAACCCTTAATTAATCATACCCAACACACCATTTTTATATTCATCCATCCATCAAAACGCTCAATCTTCGTCTTTCCTCTCTCTTGCCCAATTTACAAAACCAAAAAGCCCTACATTGCCACACATTTGAAAATCCAAAAACGAATTTTTATAAGTCTTTTCGAAATATTGATTAAGCAATTTAATAAACAAACATCAAAAAAATACATTAAACCAAACTAACATACTGTTCTTTTAACTTGCTTTTTGAAAAGGTATTAATTAAGTAAAATTATAAATTTTCAAAAATACATATAAATAGAACCAAACACTTAATTATTAATAACCAAATATTAGTTATTATGATTATAAATATTTAGCAATCAAGCTATTTCATTATGAGATGAACTCTGTTGCTATCTATATTTGATGTGAATGCTTAGATCTAGAATTGAAGTGATCTCTCACTTATTTCAAGTCATCAAGCATTTTCTTTTGGTTTTTACTTAATAATTATTTGTGATCTATGACTTGCCACTCAGTTACGTCGGTTTCATCATCAATAGTTTGAATCATAAAATCTGAATCTGAATTCTAACTCATCACTCTCTCAACTTGAGTTTCATCGATCAAAAACGTTACATCCTCCTCAAACAAGTACATGAACACTTTTTTCTCTGGAGTTTGTATTTATTCTGAATTAAATCTTGTGAGTTTGTTATTTTGTTTAGGTATCACAGTTTACTCTTAAAATGACAAGGATCTCTGCTTCCCGATCTCCTAAGTTAAGTTGAGGTGTTAATGAAACCTAGCTATGATTCCAAGATTCTATTGCATGTTTAAATGATAACATTTATATAATTCTAAATTCTAGTTTTTCCCATTGTGATCAATTATAATTTAAAGTTAGTAGTTTTTCAAACCTGATTATTTAACGATAAAATTCTGATACAATGGACTCTTTGTAAGCAAACAGCAAAGCGAAAAATTTTCTGATTGACAAAATTTACCGCATTGCTAATTGGTGACGAGATAATTCTTAAGACACAGGATCCATTGTTCTGCCAATATCTTCCTATGATCTGTAACATGCTCCAAATAGATCGAAATTGATATGTTTTGATCATTAGTTTTGGAATATTAAGTATAGTTTAAAATGTTCGAATTGGAGGCACCTTAATTCAAATAGGCTCTTTTGTTAAGGATCATTGAGATATATTTATCAAGATGATATTGTTGAATCTGCATATTTGAATAGTTTAAATGATGCTGTTTTAAATTGTTTTAAATTATAAAATAGTCAAGCATTTTAATCATCTCTTCTACTCCATTTTCGGTTTTTTAACTTTTTTTGAATTTCCAATCTGAACCCTAAGTCCCCATTAATCTAACTTAGCAGTTTGATATCATCCCTATTTTGACATCACTCAGTAACTTTAGCCCACATATACAAAAATAATGTATAAGATACTATTCTATTGATTATATATATAATTAGTATTAAACAATAAAATTAATTAAAAATATTTGAGATTATTAAATGCAATTTATGATTATAAAATAATTATACATTAAATCAAACTAATTCAACCTCAGCATTTTTTAAAATAACTATAAATTAAAAATGGATGAGCTCCTAATTCAACTTAATTTTATCCTAAATACTTTAGAGAATAATTTTACATTTAAATTGTTATCAACTTGGAAGAATACTTTTTTAGGATGCTTTTTCGCATACCTGACTTTAATGATTGATCCATCATTTACTTTGAGTTTAGATTATGAAGATTCTCTTTCCAAAAGAAAAGTGCCTGTTTAAGTTAGTAGAAAACAACCTTCATAATCATTTAGATCATGATTTACACTAACAACTCCTATGTTGAAGATGAAATCATCATCTTTAAGTACTTTCAATTTGATTTGCATGATTTTATTTCTGACTTCATCTACTCCCTTGAAGTAAGCATAGCACTTATAGTCTTGTGTAGTAGCAACTCTTAAATTTTTGGTGAACACTAGTTCCTTGCTTGATTATTTGATATCGAATTGCGCAATATTTTACTCTATTTATTTTACAGGATTTATAATTTCCTGTGATTATTTGATAACATTAGCCGGTTCCCGTAATTGCAATTGCTTTACAAACTAACTCAACAAATCTATTTATTGTGATTAACAAAAATTTTAGATTTAACTTTACAATGTGTAAAGCTTTTGCTAAGTTTATTGGCTAATCTCAAACTTCTTGATGTAATTGTCCAAGTATATGTTCAGGATTTCCTTATCTATCTCATTCTACTGCATAATGGCCTAGGTGACTTCAACGAACATCTAACGAGGGTGTATTTGTTCATAGAATTCATCAAATTTTCTAGAATTGTTATGTGTACAAAATTTACTATTTAAAAGTTTTCTCAAAAAGTACTAGAGAATCCCTCAGAGATCTGATAAGGGATTAAATACTATTTATGATGGTTAGATAATGCTATTCGTTTGATAAACGAGAGAGACTACAATCATCAACAAAACTAATAATCATCTCTCTAAATTTATCAAACTTTATTAATTTATGTTGCTGTTACGAATGCGATAGTAATTCAGGCACAGTGTCAACTGCCCTTCCCAAGTTACAGTTAGGATGCAGACATATCCATCTATTGATTTTTTAGATATCCATTTCAAAATGATGTTAATTTTTAATATAAAGAATATCAATTATAAATAATTTTATATTGCAAATGTCTATTGATACAATTTTCATACTTTCTCAAAATGGGTATACATCTATGATATGCTTAGTGAAATCTTGGCTCATAGAATATTCAAGGGTCTCAAGCGCAAAGACACCCTCCCTGAATTTTACACATAATTCGTGCAATTCTTCAGAGGGACCAATGCAGTAATTTTGTGATTTTTGAGTATTGCTTAGGATAAGGAATACCCTATAATCAGAATAAAGGATGCCCTCTACCCTTTTGTCACCTTCTCAGACATCATCATTGGAGCAATAGTAACAGAAGAGATTCCCGTATTGCAATTATTCGCAACGCTCTTTCTCATTCTGGATGTCCTTAAGGCCTCCTTTCCCAACGAATCCTCTGAGAAACTTAAGTAGAATTTGCACACCATTGGCATTATGCTCGATTCTGTCTTTGATTACGGCTATCCCTAAATTACATAAAAGCACGTGCTTGAAAGTATTGTAAGGCCAGGAGGCATAATCGAAAAAATTGAAGAAAAAATTATAGGCAGACAGAATGTGCAAAAGGAAACAGTGTCCCTCTTGGAGAAATACATAGATGGACAAGCTGATGTAAGAGAGCATAGTCAATATCGACTCCCAGAGATCAAGGGAGAAGAGGAAGTTTATTTTGATGTGATCGAATTCCTGGATTGTGTATTCGATAAGAATGGCAGAATATTGATTGAAGAGATCAACGGAGAAATCAAAGTGGATTGCAACTTATCAGGATTGCCTGAGTTATTTGTATTCCTCAATCAAACCAACCAATTCAATGATTACACTGTTCATGAATGCTTACTTCAAAAAATCGATACCTATGAAAGAGAACGAGTCTTGGCATTCGTCCCACCCTCTGGAACCACAACTATATTTTATTACAACATCAAAGGCATTTCCATTAGACCTCCCTTTGAATTCATTCCAAAGCTCCAATTCATCAACAACCAAGTCAAAATTGAGTTCCTACTTAAAAATAGACCAGTCAGAGGGTAATCCTATGCTGTTGATGAATTCCATACCAAATTAACAGTGCCAAGTGGTTTGACTTTAGGAGAGACTGAAATGGCCTAGGGAACACTCCAACAATTAGAAAATGTACACATTCCATCATATCCTTTAAGGCTATCCTTTGGAGAATTGGGAAACTGGAAATTGATTCTTCCATTAGATTAGCTGTCACCTTCTCATCGACTGAAGATTAATTTAATATCATACAGTAGGGCAACTTCTTGGTCCAATTGAAATTTGTTGTCAACACATTTAGTCCTTCCCAAACCAAGATTGATAAAGTTGAAGTTAGAAATGGGGCCAAGGTTTTGACCAAAAAAGCCAGGAATATTGCCAAGAGTGGTTATTACGAAATTAGATTAAATTGATGATTATTAATAATTAAATTTGTATAATAAAAATGTTCAACATTCGTCGTCCATTCAAGTTACTTAATCTAAGTATTGAAACTCCTCAATGTCGCAGTCATTCTGTCAAAATATCCAATACTATTTAACCTTCCTCAAAATTAAGTGAAGAAGAACGTCTTCTATTTGAGAATACTCAAATCAAGTTTTAGATTCGCCAAAAGGAGGAGGAGTTAAAAAAGTGTAAAATTAAAATGAATTAATGCTAAGTAATCTTACCCCTCTAATATCATAGCCTAAAATAGGCTTGAATATTGAGAATTCTCAATAGAAATAGAATGTCAAGAAATTATAACTCTACATAAAATAACTCGAATTAGAATTATTGGAAAAAGGGAGGAGCATTGAAGATTTGAAAAAATAAATGAGTCTTACCAAATATCAAGAACTCCAAGTAATTTAACTCTTTATTATAGATTGAAGCTCTCGCATTCTAATAGGAATGTTCGAAATTGATAAAATAAGTGTAAAAACTCACTAAATTGTTAAATTATAAGAGCAATGGAGTCAATCTCTATGAACTTTATGAAAATTTGGAAAATTAAAATAAAAACCTTGAACGTGCTCATAAAATATAGGAATCTGTCATCCAACAATTCCAAGAAGAATAATAAAAGTATAAAAATCAAATTGAGTAATTAGAACTAGATAACAAAAATTTATAAAGAGAAAATAAGAAGGTTTTATAGATTTTAAATTAAAATATCACCCCAAAGCAAACTAAATTACTTAATAAAAATGATTATCTACCAGAAGAATTAGAAATATCAAAATTAAAGGTCAAAATCACTTAACTCCAATAATAAATGATCAAATAAAAGAATCAAAAAGAAAAGTATATACAACATCTACTCTAAATTATTATGGAGAAAGAAGATTAAATTTAAGCTTACGAAAAATAAAAAGTTATAATCAAAGAAGTATCTTAGCCCGATTAATAGACCTTAGATTTAAAATATTAATAGTGTATACAGCAAATTAAATCTGAACACTCCTTTTGTGAGGACATGTCATTTGATGTACCCCCTCAACTTACTCTGACTAAATAAATTAGTGTAAGAAAAAAATAAAATATTTCAGAATAACAAAGATCTTAATTTTTAGAATTGAATAGTCAAATTGATGAAGAAGCAAATTCAAGAAATCTTGATGAAGATGAGTTGTTTCTTGAAACTGAATATAGAACAAAAAAATTACCCAAAATCAATTACTATGATGTTGAAATAATTGGAAGAAAACTTAAATTCGAATTATAAATAAAATTCATTCCCCTTAGTTATATGGACTAGATATTTGATTGTACTGATGAAGAATGCTAGGACATAACTGTTGAGGAAATAATCCAAATTCTCAGTGCAGAACCATTTTTGATTGTGGATGAAAAAGAAAAACTCCTTGTGGCAAGATATCTAATTGAAGATAACACACAAGACTATGTTTTGCATAATCTTATGAATTCCAATTCGATTAATATAATAAAGAGTGTTTTTAAATAACTCTTAGGAAAATATCAATTATTTTCAAAGCAGGAAAAAACAAATATTGAGTAAGAACTCAAAGGAATGTTTGTAAAAGTTTAATACAAAATTCTTGATACTCTTCAACAGTAAAGTAATCTTAAAAACAGCAATCAAAAGTTTAAAGAATGTACTTTAAATGATTTTGAAACCATTTTGAAATCTTGTGAAATATCCTTATAGCCAAGACAGATGGAATATTTAAGTTTAATTAATTTTTAAATTTGCAAATAAATAGAAAAGTTACGTTACTCTGAATTGTTAAATTATTTTTGTAATATTTAATCTTTATGATTAATTTATATAAATATTTTTAATATAAAAAATATTCTATTAAGTGGAATTTGTTATTTTAAGTTTAAATGAACTATTAATTTAATTTGTTATTAAATATATATGTTATTATTCATATTTTTATGAAGTATTTGTATATATTGTTAAATTAATAAAAAATATCATTTTTTTTTTTTGACTAATTCAAAAATAATTAAGTTTAAATTATGAACAAAAATAAGATTTAAAGTTTTTGATTTGCTGGCTTTCACAGACTTGGCTCAAACTGTAAACACAAATATATTAGTCATTAATTTTATACACCATGAACTAATGACAGAAGATTTGACTAGATTATGTAATGCTTGATAATAAAAGAACATTTTAGAAGATAATTTAATTGATATATTAGATTAGTGAGAATATAAATAAGGTTAAAAAAGAAAAAATCAATACTTTGCTATCAAATCTTCCATGTAAAGTATTTGATCAAATAATTACCAATATCCAATATTCTCTTCACCTAATAATACAATTAGTTACTTCCTTAACTCTTAATTAGAAGATTCTAATTTAACAAAATAAGTACATTTAGTTCTTATTAATGCTAAAGCTTTATCTGCTAGATTTGATCCGAGACCTCCTTCGCACCTATGTTTCAACAATTTAATTCTATCCTAAATTCTCGAGGTTATTTAATGAGATGATTTGATATCCTCTTGCAATAAGTCATCTTCATTATCATGTTCCTCATCATCTACTTCTTCATTATCGAATTCTTCCTCTACTTAAGGTATGGCTTAACCAGCTAAATAATGAAAACGAAAATACTCTCAAGTGCTTTAATTTACATATTCTGGACCTATCTATTTTAATGGAGTGATTGATTAATTTATGAAATCTTAACTGTCTTTTCTTTAAGTTTAGTTTTGATTAGATCCAACTTTTGATCAACATCTACATCCTCCTCATATTCATCTTCGTTCTCAATCTCTTAGATGGCATTGACTCCTTCACTATCATCTGATAGATCGTATTCATCTTATGCTTTCAATGAACTCCCCTTTGATTATCGATATTGTGCTTGCTTCCTTTCTTAGGCAAGTTTTCTATTTTAGAAACTTTCTCTATAGATTAGTTGTCTTTCTTTTTCTCCTTGGAGGATCTTTTCTTCTTCTCTTTTTTATTTTTTTTAGATGACTTTATCCTTAGCACTTAAATTACTATCATCTCGCAATCTATCTTTTTCAAGGGATAAACTTCTTTCTTTTTATTTTTATCTTAAATCATTCGGTCTTCTCTCTCTTTCCAAAGAAACCTTTCTTTAAGTTATACTTTAATAGTCAGTTTTGGTTTAAACTTCTGTTTTTTGAATAGATTCAGATTTGATAGGAAAGTTTTCAGTACCTCCTTTTGAATTAAGATGAGAATCATTATTTTTAGTAAGACTCTTAGATTATTGTTTTTATTCAAGTCTTTTGATTTCTTCTTCTAATTTCTTTTTTTCGAATTATTCTTTTCTTAGCTACTTTAATTTTAAGGCTTCTTATTCCTGGATCTAAATTAGCATTCTTTATTCTGCCTTACCTCCCTTTTCTAATTCATTCTTAATATCTGAAATAGTGGATCCTTCCGCCATTTACTTTTAATAATGTTGAATGAGTGGAAGCACTCCAATCTATTAGGCTTATTCATATAATGTATCAACATACATGTCATCTAAATCAGCAGATGAAGGTTCTTAATGGATAGCAATAATGATTACCACTCAATACTTCCAACATGTAATAAATAATTCTAAGTTTGATTATAGGTTTATGAACGATTTCTTAAATAGTTGGTCTAGCCTTGGGATTTACGTTAAGCATTTTATTAATCAATTCTCTTAACCCTTTGGAGTAAGATTGACTGATAGATGGATATGACCCTTTTAAGATCTTGAGTGCCAACCCATTCATAGATTAAGCATCAAATGCATGTCTTAGATTGCACATTTCATAGAGACAACACCCCAATGCCCAAACATCACTCTTATATGAGTATGGCTTATATTTAAATAGTTCTGGACTCATGTAATAGGGTGTGCCAATGCAAGTGTTAGCTAAATCTCTTGTTGAATCAAGCACCTTAGCTATTCCAAAATCTCCTAATCGAACCCTTCCATTTTTGAGAAATACGTTCTAGGTCTTGAGATCTCGATGTAAGATTTTCTATTCGTGTAAATAACACAATGCTAATGTCATCTAAGCAAACCAATCAAGGATTTGAGATTCCGGAAAACTCTTTTTATTTCTAATCTTTTGATAGATGTCTCCGCCTTCACAATGAATCATAACTATATTGAGATACTGTTCCCTATCTAAATAAGAGTCCTTATAGGCTACGATATTGGGATGTCTCAGTTTTTGTAACAGCCTAACTTCGTTTTCTGTATTTTCTCTATCCTTCTGAGTCATATCTCTGATTTTGATTCTCTTGATCACATAGAGACGATCCTCTCTCTTGTTTCTAGCCAAGTAGACTTGTCCAAAAGAACCAGATCCAATGGATTTAACTATCTCATAAAATTCCATATATTTTAAATAATCATCATTATTATTAAGTACATTGCAAGCACACTACAAAATCACCATTTTATAAATATGCATATTTGCTACAAATCAAACAGCAATTGTTCCCACAGACACTGCACTCATTGGTGCATTTCTAGCACATCAACTTAGTACAGTTAGAACAGTAGATGTCCTCGGAAACTATTTTGATCTCACAGTTCGAACATTTCTTGATAATCTGATCTTCTAAAATTGATTCCTAATCATTTGCTCTCTTGTAGACTATAGTTAAATAAGATGACTATTTCTACAGATGCTATTGAAAGTCTGTTTCGATGCACTCTTCTTACTGTTGCTTCCGATGTGATCTTTTTATTACTACATCTAATCTAATTCCTGGGACAATTGGTAATTGATTTCAGCGTAAACCTCCTATCTCACATTTGTGTAGTATGGACTTGTTCGAAACATATATTAATATTAAAGATTAAATTATGAAGCGCATTATTATACTTATCATTAATCCTAATAGTTCTCATAATCTTGATCCTCCACTTATTGCATGTAAGCCTCATAATCCTCTTCGAATTCATCGCATTATTTAATCAATTCCACCTTATTTACACTCTCTTTTTTCTTTAAATTGAACTTTGCCATTAAACCTCTTCGAACGCATTCTAGTTGATGCTCGACCTTTTGAGATAAAATCAACTTTGATTTGCAATAGGCACACTCAGCAGTTCTGCTTCCACAGTAATACAAATGGTCCTCCTTATCTAGCTCATCAAAATATAAGTAGCAATACGGACATTCAAAAGGCTTAAACTAACAAATAGATTCATGTTCACTCAATAATTGATTGGCTAATTATATTATCTAAATTTGTACATATTAAACTCTCCCCACAATATTTACAAATGAATTCAAGATGCCCTAAAATTGCAATTTGGCACTTTTTCGTATGCTCAATCCTCACTTTATTGAATATCATTTACTCGCAGTACTTACATTTATATTGTTATTGACCACATTTGTTTTTGTGATCCTACAACTAACTGAACAGGAATTGTTTTTAGCAATATTCACAATTATGCGGTTATTAAGCACAAGTGTGATTATTAAAATCCTCTAAACATCACACTAATGATTTACTTATATATGTATGACAATATTTGCAAGTATTAGGCAAGTGAACATTTTGAATATGCTCCTCTTCCTCAGTAACATCAAATTACTATCCACAGGTCTCACATTATTAAGTATTCCTTTCACAATAGAGTTAATGCATCATCGCATTTACCTGAGAAATCTGTTTCAAGCATTTATTACAAATTATGAATTAATCATTCATTTTTTTCAATATAAATTATCAATTAACACTTATTTTTAATCATTAATTAGCGTTCTACATAGTGGACATTCATTATTTGTTTACTTTATTTTTTATAGGCATTCTTAACAGCATATCAAATGAAAACAAGGCAAGATCAAAACATTCCTAACACTCTCCATGCAGGCTATGCAAAGATCAGAATCTTCTGCAACTTCATCCTCTCTCTTTTCAAATAATTTTATTGGCTATCTAAGTGGATTCTAGAAGTATTTTTTCATTCTTTAATAGGAATTGTAAATAAGAAATCCTGCAATTATCGCTAGAAAGACCTCTTTGATTACATAAATGTTTATATTTCTATTTCAATATACTTAAATTATTTACTTTTGTACTTTCTTGTATATTAAACTTGGAGTTAAAAGCAACGTGATCAACTTCGAGCATCAGCTCAGAGTCTTTTTTCTTTAACTCTCCTTTAAATATAAAATATTGATTTAAATCGACTCCTTCAATATCCTCAACGATGGTCTTCCCAAAAAAGTAATTTACAATTCTTTTATACAATCTTACAATAAAATTGCAATTGGAGGGAACATAGGTCTAATAAGTATGTTTTTTATGAAAATTGAAGAGCGTTTACTCGAAAAGGCAACCATTCTTTATTTTACAAATAATTCCTGCTTTAGTATAAGGCTAATAGAAATTACATTTAAATTTACATCGACAATCATAAAGGACTTATTAATTTGTTAACTTTGTTCATAGTTATTACGCTTTTTCATATAATTAGAAGACTTGAGTAGTAGGAATTTATCGTCACTATTGATCTGGCCTTAGACCGTAATTTATTTAGAATCAATTTAGAGTTATTGACATTCATCTGCAGTATACAGGTATCTAAATCGTTTCTACTTTTATCTTTCTGATTTTCTTTAAGAATCTTATCTATATAAGAAATAACATGTTAGGACTGTCAAACCTAATAAAGATAAATCTTATCCTTTAATTGCATTTTCTGATTGCCCAAATAAATTTCTTAATCTTGCAAATTCCATTTAATAATAATATTAATTCATTTCGTTATTCTACCTTTATTATAATGAGTTATTATTATAGTCCATCCAACTTGGCAATTGCAAATATTAAAATGAACCTATGTTGCAATACTAGATTCAATTATAAACATTTTAATTTTTAAAGGCCTTCCTTGATTAATTAGGAAGGAAATTAAATCGATATTAGCAAGAAATCTTAACTATAAATATTCTAAACATAATTAATAATTGCATTTGTTAAATTCTCAAAATGCTAATAAAAAATATTATATTAAAATCATTAAAGTATAAAGACTGAGTGAGAAGGTTTTTCTTAATACAAGCAAAGATTAATCCTTCATAATGTGCTTCTATTAAGTAAAATTCATTTAATTAAAACAAGAAATTTATGAAAATAATTGAAAATTCTATTTCATTAAAATAAACCTTTCTTTACATTTTATGATGAATAATAATCATCTTTACAAAAAGAATGTGTCATTCAAAATTTGATCATTAAATATTAAATATAATTAATATACACAAGCATACATCATCAAATAAGTTTGTTTACTTGTTGAGGAATCTTAACAGGATTGATTACGACACCTGCCTTAGTAACAATTTATGGCTAGGTTAATGCTGAATGACTGGTTAAACTATTCCATTCAGGACCCAGAGGCAGAGTGTGTAGTTAATCAAATTGCTATGAATTGGCAAATTCGCTGGGTAATTTTGGAACTAAATACTTTGCAAACTAAAAAATTCTTATAATGATATATACCTTATTATCTCTTTTCTCGCTAATAATCACATTATCTAGTTTTGCATCTTGTCTCTTCTTTTAGACTTCTCTAATTTTCTTTATTTTATTTTATAAAATCTACTCCTGTGTCAATGGTGTTCTCTCTTTGATACCAAAACCAGCCCAAGATCCCCATCCTTTGGTATTTGCTGGTTCAGGAGGTAACTCTTCTTCCATATCTTTTATTTTCTCATCTATGAATGCATTTTCATTCTAAAGTTATTAAATTTAATACTTCATCTTCATCCAGAACTAAATTAAAATTGGCTAAATTTTATTATAACAATTCATCTGGATCTGATTGCAATTTCTTTAAATCTTGATTAGTTAATTTTTAATTCACTTATTTTTCATACTTCTATTTTATATTTTTGATATTTAATCCTTCTATCAATTACTTCTTTTCTTCTTAAACAGTCATTTACTTTTCTATTTTATTTGGTTATTATTGCTTTTCAGGTTCTAAATTTAAATAGTTAGACAAAGAAGTTTTGGCATCAATCTTCTTCTTCTAAGCTTCAGTTAGTTACTTGGTTTCATTTACAAAATTTGCTCTGCCATTGAACTCATTATTTTCAACATTAGCTTTAGTTTTATCCTTATCACCATTTTCATTAGGCTCATAATTATCATCACTATTCTATTCTTGATTCTCTGACTCGTCCAATTAGATGGCATCATCATTCCCAGATTTCAGCATTGTTAATAACTTCTATGCTATTGATTTGGATTATTGCAAGTCTTATTTCTTTTATTTGTCTAAGAACCCAAAATTATTTTATTTTTCCTTCTCTCTCCTTTCAATATCTAATAATTCTTATTCCAATTGAGTTATTGCTTATTCTCTAAAATTCTCTTCGTCAAATTCCCCATCCTCCAATTCATTAAGTTGAGCCTTGGCTAATAATTAATGTTTAAGATTATTGAGGAATGACTATTGTTGTTTCAGAGATTTCTTGTCTCCTCCAAATCTTAGGAGCTAAAAGACATACTTATTCTTAGTAGAGTGTCTAAGTGTAATTCTTTCCTTTGCCCTTGATAATCTTAATTTTTCAATCTCTTTCCTTCTTTCAGCAGGTGTTAGTTAAGCCATCAATTTCAGCTTCTCTTTATTGCCCTTCTTTTTCTTAATTTATTTGTAGATTTTAGATTTGATTGATGAAATCTTCTTCATTTTTAGATCATTGTAGAATTGCAAATTGCTCTTTTGTTGATTTGATTATCCATTCAATTCTTGTTTTTATTCAACCTTCTCGACTTCCTCCATAGCATTCTGCAGTTTGACACCTAAATGATTATTTAATAAAGCATTGGATGTATCAGAACTAATTAGATTTTCATAAAGATTTACATCTTAGATATCTAGACATTCCTCTATTTAGTAAAGTCTAACCTCTCAGACTCTCTATTTTTCTTGACAATGGGTAACCATTTTTTGATATCTTACTTCATGACAGTGGCAGCTACCTTACGTTCTTGCAAGTCTCTTTCAGCTTAAGTTTCTGGTTCTTAAACAATCCTCTAAGTTTAATTGAGTAGACTTACTGCTTTCTCATGCACTCTTAAATATTGAGTTTTAACACTTTCTATCTACTATCCTTGGTCTTCAAGTGTTTGAATCAGATTGGCAACATTAAAATCATCTTCTGGAGTCTCTTACAACTTGACTTACTGATAGGCATCCTGCTTTTCTACTTTTTTGGCCAATTACTTCTCAAGTCTTTATTCTTTATTTCAATTTACCCATATTTAAATTAGTAATAAAATAAATATTTATAAAACATTAATCATTACACAAATTGCCAAGGAGTAAAGCCATCGTGATTTCTCAAGTTTTGTGCTCCCTAAGAAATCAAGATGTCAGCAATATTGAAGTAACTGTAAGCAATAGCTTTGTGCAAAGCTGTATCGCCATAATTCTTAAGATATAGGCATTAACAATTACATTTTATAAATTTACAGCAGATCCTTTGCGTAAAAGTAATTCAACTATGTCGACATTGCCAGTATGAGCTGCAACTATTAAAAACGTGTCTCCATCTTTCAGTTTCTAATTGATTGGCAAATTCGGATTGTTGACGAAGACCTCTTCTAACTACGCAATTATAAAAGCAATTTTATACTTCAGATAACTTTTGTTCCTCTATCAACAACTTAACCATTTCCATAACAGGAATAGATTACCTTCTACGAGCCTCAGTAATTTGAGTTCTCATTTGTAAGGAATGTTTACTCATGGAAGATATCATAACAGCATTTCTTCTTTCTTGACTCTTCTTAGTATTGGGTTTAATTTGATCCTCTTTTTGTGAGATCGGAGCTGTGGTATTTTGAATGGTTTGAGTAGTGGCTTTCATCTTGTTAGATTAAGTAGTGTTGGTATTGCTATTTTCTTTGATACTGTTTTCTTCTTGGGGAGAATCACTTCTCCTTCTTAACACACTTATTTAACTGGAAGTAGCCTCTAGCAATTGTTTGACAGGCTTGTTTGGCTGAATGACAGTTTGATGTCTAGGAGAGGATATTATTTTAGAATTATGCTTTTGATTTGATCTCTCACTAGATGGAGATTAATCTTGATTAGATTTCTTTTTCTGAATTGGTTTAGCAGCTTTGATGAACATTTTAGCAATGTCAATCTTTATAGTAGATTGTCTTGGTTATCGTTGGTCTTCAGATTCCACTTCAATTAAACCATAATCAGTAGTCAGATTGTCAATTTCGTGCTTATCTTCAAATTCTCCTGTCAAAATATCATTAAATTAAAGAAACCTAAATTTAGCAACTCGACTTTAATCTTTTTTTTTAAGAAACCTCATTAAAGAATTAATATTTCTCATTATCTAACCATCAAGTGGCGGTTTAATCTAATCATGACCGATAATAGTATCATTAAGGAAATCAGAGTCATGTAACATCATATTTCTATCCACACAATCTAAACTGTTTATGATAAATTGTATATGATTGCCTAAATAAGCAATTTTAATTTAGGAGGCACATTCCAACATCTCTGAAATCTGATGGTCACTCATGAAACTTTGACTTTCTTGCTCTGAATTATCAAATGAGTAATCACATTAATAGATTTATGTTAATAGAAAACGATTAGGTTCGATTTCCATTTAGAATGTCGGATTTGATAAGGATTCATGATTGCTATTGGCATGATTAGTGCACCAGGAATAAACTCGACTTGATTGTTGACTTTCATAGGGTTTGGAAAAGGAAATGGAACCTTTCTTCTCTTGTATCAATTGCAAATGCAATAGGATATTCTCCCTCCAATAAAGTGAATGTGCGAGACATCTTATTTTGCAAGTACATCTTCATGAACCTTCTAGTCTTACTTCATAAAATAATTACTTTTTATATATTGTAAAATTAATGGACATCTTCTTGTTAATTCTCTTCTTCGGTTATTCCTACAATCTTAAGAATAGATTTTGAAAACTTGGTTGTCATTTTCTTAGGTTACGAGGTGATCTACAATTAATTTGCATTTACTTACAAATTGTAAAGCTTGTTTCAATACATGTTTGGGTTTGTCTGTGTATTCTTAGATTTCCTCTTGTTCTTGCAATCGTTATCCATAATCTGGGATACTAAAGGAGAACACTCCAACTTGGTTTTCTGGACTACAGACTGATATAGTTAATTTTCGACGATTATTTTATGGTAATGGTTGAATTTCAGCTTTTTTCTCTTCTATAGCCTCTAAGACTTGAGATACTATGGTTCCTGCTTTCTACAACTAGGTTGGCTAATTCTGAAACTATATTGTAGAAAGATGGTTAGTAAATGTAAACCTAGGACTAGTCATCTGAGTCTTGAATTTATCTGACAAAAAACTATTCTCGTTCGTATGGAAGTCATTGTGCTGGATATGACTAGTAGTAATAATTTATCTGATCTTTTTCAGAAACATTTGGATGTTCAGATTGTCATCCACTTAACTATAAGAGTTTTCCAAATTAGGATTACCTGTAAAGATTTTCCTCCTCCAATCTTTTTTGAACTCCAGAGGACCATCCAAAGTAAAATTTTTATCATCCTCCTTCTTGGACTTCTCTTCTGTAATGATATTTTTAAATTCAGCAGATGCAACTAATTTGAAAATTGACTGCTATTGTTTTATCTCACTCTCGGGAACACTCTCTTAAGTTTTTAATTAAGTTGCCTTAATCACCTTTCTGGCTACAACTCTTCCAGTAAGAGGAGCTGGAACCTAAATCTGAGGAACTTAAGGAAGAGACAGCGGGGGAACGATACTCTTCATAAAGGATCTTTGGGTGATTCTACTGATAAAGAATGTCTTGGTATTGGAGACCTCCTGGACTGTGTGTAAAGATTTTGCCTTATTATGACTTTTAGTTCTCATTATAAATATAATTAATTGAAAATGAATACTTGTGTGTTGAAGCAAATTATTTATTTAAATATATTTAATTCATTTAAGGAATGAATAATAAATGGCTGCCAATATGGCAAATACGGCTAAGAGTAGTATGGTTAAATTAATAAAGCAATTGCAATCTGCTAATTGTTCATCACTTTATTCATTCGCTACAAACAATAATGATCCTATCATACTTGAATTATTAATGACATTATTGCACTAATTAAAAGTCTGATTGTAAGTGATGTTATTATTAATAGTCACTGGCATCGAACCACTAGTTGGTGTGCTAATCAACGGCTATACCTTCTTATTGAACTTATTCTTGTTGTGCTATCATAAATCCTTAAGTCTTACCTTCTAAGGGATGGTCTTCCTCTTGAATTACAATTTGGCCAATTCTTGTCTCGCCAATTCCTATTCTTGCATCTAAGTTGCCTTATCAGTATAACTCCATTAATTTTGCTTCAACCATTATCTAATGTCCTCCAAATTCTACTCCTGAATTCTCTTAAACTCATTCTGCACTTGCGGGTCCAATAAGTTTATGCCGTACTTCTAAGCAAACTCATACAATTTCTACTGCTCACTATTAAACTCTTACTTTCTTAGGCCTGTTGAAATCCAATTAGGATATCTTTTCCAATTACTTCTTCGCTGCTATTGCTTTCTTTAACTTCTCCCTTAAGTCCTCAGCCTCCTTCAATTATCCATTCTACTGATATATCTTCACCATCTCCATCCCTCTCGTCTCTATGAATCTTCCTAACTCTGATACTTCTATTGGAATAGGCTTCTTGTTATCCAATTCGTAACTCAATTCCTGATCGTAATCCTGATAAGCCAAATGAGCCATGAAATCCTATTGAGCATCCTCATCGTCTTCTTGCTTCCTGTACTGATGGATCAACTCCAGCTGTTTTCTTTACAAATCTGTGTAGTTCTTATATTCCAACTCTTTATAGGCTAATAATTATGCCTTCACCTTCTCATAAAACTTTGCCACTGCTGCATTGTGAGGGTCGAGTTGCTGTGCAAATTTCAGGTCCTTAAATGCCATTTGACAATCTATTTGGGTGATATTGTCAGACAAAAAACGGGACTATTTCTATTATTGATACATACCTTTGCACGTAAAATCATAGCATTTATGTTTTGGGGACTCATTTACAACCAATAATCACACATCCGGGTACATGCACCTTGCTCGTGTTGCCTGTAATAGCACTCTGCCATTTTTTCAAACAATTTGAGACGAAGTCCTTAATTCTATAAATTAAGCTTAGTACTGTCAATTTGAGATTGCTCAGGGTGTTTTTATTGAGATAACTCTTCATAGGTCGTATCCTCCCATTTCTTTGGAATTCTAGCATCAGCAAAAACGGACATGCAAATCTCAAATTAATCTATTGCATTTCCAAATTGTTCTAATTTATTATTGTTCACTTTCCTTTACCTAATTCAAAGAATTTGAGACCGCGCTCTAGCAACAATTCGCAGATTTTCATTTTTTACAAGAAAGATTAACGCTTTTATTGCTTAAATGCCAAACGAAGCATTTCTTATTTGATAATATAACAATATATTAATTAATTAAAATCTAAATGCTCATGACAGAGTTTGATGCCGTTATCTTCAAACAAATATATCTAATCAATAATTAATCCCATTTCCAAGCCATATTTAATCCCTCAACTTGCATAATTTCCACTAACCACAGTTGTGAAAACAGTTTTAAATTTCTGTAGACATTCTATCCTTAAATACAAATGTGTATGTTTAAATTTTAAAGATCTAAGGTAAATTATGATAAGATACTCATATTTTACATGGCATGAATTTATAAATAGATTATTTTAGAATTCTTAAATATTTATCTGAAAGTAAGACCTATCATTTTTATTTAACAGATTTCATTTTCTACATTTAATTAACAATTAGTTTAATTAAAATTGTTTCCTGAATAAATTTATAAATATTAGATTATTTTAAAAAGCATGTCAAAAATAAAAATTTAAATTGAAATATCTAGGGCTAAATCTGTAATATGCATGTAGAGGATAAATATATAATAATAGGCAGCAAATTAAATCATGTTTTTATAATCAGTAAGAAATAAATTTTAATTATTCATTATTCAAAAAATATGCTTAGAATTAACTTTGCTTGTTTCTTATATTTTGAGGCATTTATATCTTTTGAGTTAATTTGGACTAGTCTCAATACCGAACATAGCTTGCTTTGGATTCCAATTATGTTACACTATGTCGGGATTGTTCTTAAGTTGGCACTGATTAAATATTCGGATTACAAAGTGCTATGGATTGCAGTAGTAGGGAATGATGGAGTGGTCATGGGACTGCTCAATGGAGAGAACCAGGATCTAACATATTTATATGTATATAAGTTTGAAAATTTATAGGTGCTCATATTGATACAATTTGAACTCTTACATGACACAAAAATGTTTTATAATTAAAGTATACTGGTTTTGTATTGTGGAATGGTTTCGTAAATTATATAGAATTATATGGAAGTGCGGAGATTGATGCTAACACTAGGGGAATGTCTTATGTTGCTGACATTTCTATACTTTATCAATCGAAAAACAAAGAATGCCAAATCAGACTAATGTGTGTAATAAGAGATGTCTCTGAGTGCCAAATTACAAATTCTTAAATTAATGTATGAGTGATCAGTAAACGAGGCCCTGGATGACAGATTAAAAATTCATAGTACTGAACGATCACTTTAAATGTGTCCACAATCAGTCAGATCTATATGTGTTAATGGAATGTGATAAGGAAGAGGCGATAGAAACATTCTTAGATGTACGATGCGATGCTTTTTCTTTAAATCTAATTAAATTATTATCAGAAAATAATACCACTCCAATTTCATCCCCATTCTAAATACACTTCACTAAACCTGACATCAGAACCATTTTATAATCCATACTTTCAGATGTCAATTCATATTACTCTTATTTCAGTGTTGCTGAATTGGATAACAAAAATCTAGGCAATGTAAAGTTGAACTTTTTTGTACTGAGCGACAACTTTATTGATTACTTGATAGTTCAATTTGAACCTCAAATGAAATCAAATAGCAAATCTATTTATTCGGTCCCAGAGAATCTTAAGCAAAACAATACCAATATTCACTATAATAATTCAAATCATTCAAAACAAACATATGAATCTTTGTCAAGTGAAATCTTGGGAAACATATTTCAATCTATCTCTCATGAGTTTGGAACATTTCTCAATTGTATCTTGACTGACTCATCAGAAGCTATGGATAGTGAACTAATTAATGAATAAGTCAAAGCTATCTACATAGAACCAACTTACATTAACTCTAAATTGTTGTCTTATGTACTCTAAAATGTCAGAGATTTCAATACAATTCTATTAAAACAATTTGCCTTGAGACTCTAAGAATTTAGTCCGTATGAAATTATCCAAGAAATTCAATATCTACTGAATCAATAAAAAACACAAAGGAATAATTAAATTATAGTTAATTGTCCTTAGCATCTTCTTGTGTATAATGATTAAGATAGGTTCAAGTAAGTACTCTATCAATTGATGAGTAATTCAGTACGATTTACAGAAAATGGTATAATTACAGTGTCAATCGATTTTTATAAGGATAAAATTAAAGTCAGAGTTTCAGATAATGGAATTGGCATGAATCAATTCGAATAGTAGAAACTACATAAGTTACTGAGGGACAACAAGAACTTATTGAGAATTTCTCACAATTCAGTTGGGTGTGGATTAGGCTTAAGCATATCCAATGCCATCGTCTTGAAAATGAATGGCAAGCATGGGATTTAATTTACTAGTGAATAATAAAAGGGAAGCGAATTCTTCTTTACAATATCCAATTCACAATAACTCTACAATGACAGCGTGTATGTGGCCAGTCAAACCTATGTGAAAGTCTTAAATTAAACTTATTACTTAGAACAATAACCAATATCTGAAGGCTCTCACAAGGAATAGTAGATACAAAATAGTGAATTCAAGGATGAAAATGGAGATACGCAGAGAGTAAAAAGTTTATTCTCTAAGAAATTGAGATGTCTTAAATCAGCCGACTCTAAATCATTTCAGGGATAAACTCCAAAAAAATTATAATTAGAGGAAGATGAAATTGAATCAAGATAAGAAGAGTCCAATATTATGATTCCTTCCTTGTAGGCTAGCTTCAAATCTGAAATAGTTAAATTTAGCATTGGCAGCAACTGTTGCAGTAGGGTTTTAATTGTAGATGATGAATATTTTAATATTCAAAGTCTACAATTGATTCTACACAGATACAATGCCCATTGTGATTTCACTTTCAATGGACAAGAAGCCATTAAAAAGAGCCTTTAAAAAATGAAGGAACCATGTAGATAATGTTAAAATAATGGTTACGTTTTGTTCTTTCTTGATCTCAATATGCCTATAATGGATGGTTTTGACACAGTGAAAAATTTGAAGAAGATGATGCATGATAATCTAATTCCGAAAGGAATTTGCATAGCCAATACTGGTTATGCAGATTTGGAGAGCAAATAGCAAGCAATAAATTCAGGAATGGACTTTTATATGATCAAACCTATACAAATAAAGGAGTTGCAGACATACTTAAAGAGAAAGTTCCCTTAATGATATATATATAATATGTATTTATGGTAATACTTTGAAAAGAAGATATAATTGTCAATATTGTTTTATAATCATCCAAAACTGAATTATAGAATCTGTTATCATAGATAGAATGTGCTATATATTAAACTTGATTAGAAAGCAATTGATAAGCACATCTAATCACACAGGTTTCTGAAAAAATATTTATATACCTGATTAGTCTAAGATTGTCTGTGTGCAAAATAGAGTTGCATAACTCCTATACTCTGAGATCTTGAGTTTAAACCTATTTAATTTGCAATCCAACAGACTCATCGACCAGTTCATTTGTTTTTCTATTTCAAAAAACATTAAATAATTTTGTAATTGAACCTATCATTCTTAATCATCACTCACAACCTGCCTTGATCATTACTAAATTAGACTCTCCTTCATTATTTTATAAATAATTTTGAAGGATTATTAACACTATAATAAAGAGCTCTAGGGTTCCAATATGAATGAGTGGAAAATACAGTGATCTAAATTGATTATTAAATTTATATGTCATTTTTTGAATAGCAAGGCTAAGAGTTATAAATTAGGAAGGCTGATTTGGATGACTATGACGAGATTGTGTAATTGATGTAGGAGGAAGGTGAGGAGGATTTGCAGCAGTTATATGCTTACCCAAAAATTCTCACTTTATTTGAGCGCTCCTATCTCTCGGTGACAGTGCTTGACTCCCAAAATAACATCATAGGAAATGCAGTATTTGATGATTGTCCTTAAGGTGTTACTGGATAAGTGGACTTCAAACACGAGAATTTGTGGGAATAATGGATTCATGATGGATGGGACATTGGCTTTCATGTAAGTTCATTCAACTGTCTTTGGATGACTTTCTTTTTTCTTGGTATACTTTCTATATCTAGATCTAGCTAAGAAGCGATTCCAATTGACTGAAGATCAACAGTTACAGATAACCAAACAAATCTTTCAAAAAGTCTATGATTATTTGAATGTTGTCAATGGGATCTTCTTTTTGAGAAGGAGTGAAGCAATTGATGCCACTCAATAAGAATTGGATATCGCATTAGAGAACTTATTTGAAATTCTCCCAAAAAGACAAGATTTCAAATTGAAAGTATGCATAAAGTCTAAAAATAATAGTTCATGCAAGGAAAGTGAATCAGAATTGTGAGATACTTTTATTCGGCATCGTCTATGGTAAACTGAATTATATGGAAATTCGTATGGCACGTGAAGAGGATCACGATGATTTGGCTGCCATTCTTCAATCGTCAATCAAGATGTACACACTGAAAGAGTTTGGTGAATTCTTTATTGCTGATTTAATTGCAACTCAGAATCAAACCAGAAGATAGGCTAGGAACTATAGAAGTGATGGAAAGGCCATTGTAGGATAAGTTGGAGATAAGGCAGTTGGATTGATGAGTATTTCAAGTGATATCGAGTAAGAATTTGTTCTAAATTAGTTACCGTCTACTAGGGATAGTGTTTCGATTTAGAAGTGTTTGACAATCTCTATAAATCAGAATACATGGAGGCTATAAGAAATAGGTTGGATTAATTGGCATTGGAGGATTAAATCAATAAATAGATCACTAATTATAAGAAGCATATCGAATTAACCAAAGAGGCTATGAAATGTCATATGATTGGGCAAAGACTCTACTTACAATAATATTGTTTTGATAGAGATTAAGAAATTAAACAAAAGATAGATGATTATGGGTAGGAAGACTTAGCTAAAACACTTACTTAATAGGTTGTGACTAATATGATCAACGGATGGTTGAAAGATTATCAAGTATTCAAACCAAGTGATCTATTTCTTGAATATCCTGACTCATTCAAAGATTTAGAATGCATCACCATTAAACCAATCCAAGTTTTATTGGAAGCACTTGAATTCTTTGGATTACCCAAAGGATACATGAATGGAGAAGGACATTGGAAAGATTGGGCCAAGAAGAAGGAAGAAGAGTAAAAGGCTCTTTCTCTCAAAAGACCAAAAAGATAATAGAAGAAAACTAATAAAAAAGCAAAGAAGGAGGATAAGGATGAAGACATCTTTAAACCACCTCCTTATTTTGATTTAGGACCATTCTCATAAGCTTTTACTACATTCACATCAGTCTCTGCTGAAACTAGAGCACAAGCCAGATCTGTGTCTGCGCGTCAAGAGTCAAAGAGTTGATCATGGAATTCTGTACAGAAAATGGAGAAATGGATCCAAGTCGTCACATAGATTTAATTGAATTTCCAGATGTACTAAGAAATAAAGGATTTGACATTGGAGCACCTATGGGAGAGAATCTGGCATTCATATTAGAATGTTTTGGTGAATTAGAGGTGGACAATAGGATTGTGTAAAAAATAAAGGAAGAAAAGGATGCCAAAAAGAAGGATGCCAATCTTAAGAAAGTTGGTGATGATGCACCTAAACCTGTTGATGTTTTGTAGAAAATGACTTCATATAGTGAATTCATTGGAGCTATTTAAAAGCTAAAAAATTATGATTAAATGATGTGCAGATTGTAATTAGTACGATCAAATACATTACAGACTGAAGTTGAAGAAATTATATAAGATGAACAAAATAAAATTACTAATCTTGAGAGAGCTAAAAATGTTGAAAGGAATTAAACTTAATTTGATGAACATGTATCCTAGATTCAATCTATTGATTAACTCCCAGAAGTCCCTAAAGCAGCTCAAAATGCTGTTGTTATCAATCTATTTTGCATCGATGAACGATTTGAATCAAGATCACTTGATTTTGTAGAAAGAGCCTTTGAACTCTTCCCTGATCGAGAGTATCTTATACTAACATAACCATACACAGTCTAAGAGACTACATCTATTATCACACTTTCTATAAGTATCAAGGAAGAAACACTCCACTTTTGAACATGTTTTGTATATATTCCATAGAAATAGTTTAGATTCTCATTTGATTGAATTAAGAAAGCTCAATTAAAGTGAATGGAACTAATGTCAGTTTTTAGTAGAAAATCTATTGGGAAAAGAGAACATTGAGAAGGATGTAAGGAATGTGAAATGATAATGAGACATTTATTGTCTATTGCAAAGATGAGATTATTGGATTGTATTGCATGAAGAAGTATGTCAATCTCTAATACTTGAAATCTCATTTCTGTATTCAAGATCACATACTAATTAAGGAGCATCCTAAACATTTGCATACTCGATTATTACATGGAATCTTGAATCCATTGTTTGCTAAACAAACTAGATTTATTTTAAGAGAAATTTGCAGATTGATGGATAAGACATGTATAATGTTAGAGATTCATGATCGTACTCTTTTGCCGGATATATTCCACGAATTCAATTTTGTGAGAAGTAGAGCATTTCCTCATTTCTTGAAGTAAAAATGGGATTGGACTCTTGATGATGATTAAAAAGAACGTATGGGCACAATCCTAGATGATCGTGACCCATACGATTAGACTCAATCTCCCTTTTCATTAGCAATGCTTACCAAAAAGTAACTATCCAATGTTAAAATCTCCAATAATTCTCGTATTGTAGTAGTAGGGGCATCTGATACTGGATTGTCTTTTATTGAATCATTACTTACTATAAAGGATATTCACTTTACCAATATTATTTTATTGGCTCCTGGAGGATTGATAACCATGCATGTTAAACATGAATTTGAAATGTTAAAAGCTATGAGTACCAATTATACATTGGAAGAATTAAGAGCGTTGATGATAGATGCTAGAGTGCAGGTAGTTGATGCTAAAATGGTAAAGTTGGATAAAAAGGGAAATCGAATTAAAATTGATAAAAATGCATTCATTCCTTTTGATTATCTCATAATCACCGTTGGTTTGATTGATACTGAGTTGCAATCAAGAGAAAAGATTAGTTTTGGCCTATCCAAATCCCCCTATTACAAAAATTCATAATTTATAAATGGAGTTTACAGCATAGATGATCCATACCTATACTCCCATTTCAAAAGAACTGGATTCAAAGGAAGTAACATTGATTTGTTAACAAGAAAGAAAAAACCACAGAATATAACAATTTATGGTAACACGTTGACCACCATTACATTCATGAATGGGTTACTCAATAGAGGTGTTCATCCATCTCGTATTAATTATGTTATGCCACCCAAAACATTTTAGAAATAAACCAGGTTTGAGAACAATAAATAACGACTTGAATAGGAGGACAAAATGATCTTTGATCCAGATTAATTTGAAAACGAGGAGGTCAAAAATAAAGTATTCGACATTATGGTAAAATTGGGCATTAAAATACATTAAGGATTCACATTATATGAATTAAAAGTGGGGAAGGAAGGATTTGGATTGAACAGTGAAGATGTACTATAGGAAGTCATCTTTAGGAAGTAAGCAGACAATTATGAGGAGTTGAAAATAGAGATTCAGAGGAAGGAGCAGGAACTTTAAGAGTTGAAGGACAATTCGGAAAACAATATGAGCAAAGACATGTATGGAGAATAGGAGGAAGGAGAAAATTAGTTAGAAGTGCTAGCTAGAGAAATTGAATAACTCAAGGCAAGTGAATATGATTACTTGTAATTGGATTCAAGATTCTTTATCACAAGTGGATTGATTGACATAGACAAGGAAATCTTCCATATCATCCATGAAAATGGATTAGTGTATAATGGTAGATTGATTGTAAAGAGTAATTTTCAAACTACTTAAGAAAATATATTTGCTTGTGGTAAGATTTGTGAGTTCTCCCAAAGATATAAGCATCATTCTGTCGGAAAGAGTTTAAGATTAGATAAGTATAATGGAAGAGAACTTGGTTAAAAACTAAGTAAATGCATTTTGGAATAGCTGAATCTAAGTTATCTGACATCCCAGACTTATTCTGTAGATGAACTACCTCAATTATATATGCCAATTGGACAGGGAGGCATAGTACCTCATAAACTCTATTATTATCACATTAAAAAGAATGACTTTTCTAAACCTAGACAACTTTAGTAACTGCCATCCAAACCCATCTTATCTGATAATTTCAGTAATGGAAATGGACATTTCCTATAATTTGATATTGATCCAAATGGATTGATTGAGAGTGTCACTTATTTTGGTTCTGAAGCTGTTCATATCCCCAGTTTATTGTAATTTGTAGAGTTATCAGTTAAATATTTGAATAAATTGGAATAGAGAGGCAAATTAATAAATAATGTATCTGAATTTCTATCTGAAAATTGGGCGATAGCATTATACCATGAATGGTTTAGTGAATTCAGACACATCACTAAAAGTGAGATGCTGAAAAACGAATTGATCGATTAGGTATTGGAGAAGGCATAAGAATATGCCAGAGATGGCCGATACATGGATGAGAACTTCTTTGAAGAGATAAAGAAATTAATTACTAGAGACATTGTAGAAAACATTCAAGTAAATATTATTGTTATTCTTAATTAGGAAGGTACTATTGAATTCGTCAGGGAAAATCAAAATCATTTGCCTATGTATTTTATCCCCAAAAAGAAACTTAATTGAAATATTTTAGATTAGTATTTGTTGTAAAATGATATCATAATATTTAACAAATACACATTCATGATTATTATTGTTGTCTCTCCTCCTTGGGAAGATTAGCATGATAGATTTTTTCCCAACTAATGATGGTGTTATCAAGATTGGTGATGCTTTGCTAGAGGTATCCATCCTAAAATAGTGCTATAAAGTCATACAAAGAAGGTGTTTAAAGTGAACCATAAAGGTCTGACGATCACTTTAAAGAATCCCATTTCAGATTTAGCCATAACATGCAATTTGTCAAGGTCTTTCAAGAATGGTGTTTATGGAATGCCCAATCTACCCTCCTCATCGTATTAGGCACCGAATTCTTTATTAACTCTCTCTGACCAAATTCTGGAAATCTCAAAGACCTTGGCTCCTCCATTAAAGTCTGCTGTATGAATGATCATCCCTGTTAATAATTTCAGATCATCATCTCCAGTACCAAATGGTTTTGTTACTTCATCCTTGATCCTGCTTTCAAAATCCTTCAACAACGTGAAGTGAACCTTAATGTCTGTATATAGGATGTTATCTATGAGAACTCGTCTGAATTATTGGGTTTGTTCTTTTGATAAGGAATTCAGAAAATTGAGGGAAGGATCTTTTAACATAAAAATAGTAGATGCAGCATGATGCTATTCTAGAGGCTTGAATAATAATATGATTAGATTACACTAGAATCATGATAGCGAGTGGCTAATTTGGACTGGCTATTGATCATGAAAATATTGGTTCTGCCAGTGTGTGATACATCATGACATAAACCTGATATTATGGTGGACATTCTCCTGAAATCATCAATTAATTGCTTGGCTTTTCCACATTACAACATAAAGTGAGCACTTTACATCACAGATATTCCATGGTCGTAATTATGAAATGAATTGTTTCGTTTGTTGTACTTCTTCTACAACACACTCAAGAACTGAGCCAAACATTGCTTATTTAAATTGTATTAGGATATGAAACCATTCCTTTCTAAAATACTATAAACTAATCTATGCTTTTCTTGTGATGAATCCAACACCAGGATATTGAATTCAAATAAATCCAATTAAGAATCACTATTATTCACTTTAAATAGATTGGCATCCACAGCTTCCAATTATTGTTAGTATTTAATGTAAACACTCGACCCTATTTTCTTTTTCTTTTATGGTGGTGCAACCCATTAATCATTCTATAAATCTTTGCTATGCTACTCTGGACTTCGACCATCTGTCTTACGATGTCTAATCTAAGATAATTCATTTTCTGGAATGAACAGTGCAATCATTGAATTGGCTACATCTTGAGTTTCATCCAATTGATTTAAAAACTTAAAAGTCTAATGTTTGTTGTATTGTATCAATATTTGTTTCTAAATATCCTCCTCCAATGATTTATTGGCTTCAGCCTCTTTTTATACATCATTTGTCATGTTGTCAATTTTCAATGCCATAAAATACTATTTCAATCTTCTTGCTTCATTCTCATGGAAAATCACAGTGAATCCCTTAAAATCATTGTCAACGACCTTCAGGAAAATTTCAAATTAAGGGTTCTCTAAATTACTTAAATATTGATTTCTTCTATTTTCATGGATATTTTGAATATTCACCTCAATATTCGATATGATACTATTCTAAGCAAAGATGTCTTAGTAAGATATCTTGTTATACAAAATAGCTTTGGGATCAAAGTTGATATTAAATCTCTCCCTATTATAATGTTTAAGAAACTAATACTTTAATGATTTAGAAATCGGTCGACTCAAAAATATCAATTCTCCCTGCTTATTAAAATCAAATAACAATGAATCTGTTGTACGTAAGAAATATTTGTAGAAGGCTGACTTCTCATAACACAACTTCACATAACCATCATATTTCTCTTGGATTTGAATAATCTTTATTTTAGGTGTTTTATAAATACCACTTAATACAAGTGTTGATCCTAATCATTTTTCAAATCCATATCTTTTATCCTTAGAGTGACTGGGTTTGAATCCTTAAGCTCTATTTTTACACACTAAGACTCCTTCTACCTCTTCATGTTCTCATCAGTAGAGAAAGTCTGTTCCTTCTCAACTTCAAATTTAATGCTGAGAACTTTCTTAATCCCTTCGACCAACAAAAACCTGGATATACGCATGAAACTAATTCCGATATCTTGAACTTAGTCAGCAAATCTAAGTGGATTAAAGAATTGGACTTTGGCTGTAATGATGGTTTCAACCAAAAATTGTGCCAGATGTGTCACGTCCTTATTGAATCCATACATATTGGCATAACTTTAAATAGTGAATGTACTAGATACTTGATAAACTTTCTCTTGATATTCTTTTTGTCTTTGTCAGTCCAGTGGAGACAGAAGAGAACCTCGTAATTCTTCAATTACAATTAAAACTTCACAATGGAAGTTTGTGAATAGGCATTTGTTTTGCAAGTGTCTTCAATTTAAGGATATTGTCTTTGTTTTGGATCTATCCTGTGAATACAGAATGGACGGATATAGGCCAGTTCATCTGTTACTTTCTGAGCTTCTTCAGGTGTTACATCTTTGATGGAATCATTGGAGGACGAATAAACTTCCCATTCTTTATCCCGATGAATAAAGAAGGTGAATTCATCCGCATCAACAAGGATTTTAAGTAAAAATTTTAAGACTTAATACAAATTCTCATAGGAAATGTCCTCTTACATGAGTAGTAAATGGGTATGCAAATTTCCAGTGAAAATACTCTTCAACTCTTTATAGATGTCGTCTATTCCCTTTACCATTTTCTCATAGACATCCTCATCGCTAGAATCCAAATCCTTCTCGCTAATTTCAGCTAATTTGCTATTTTCCGAAGAGTATCTGGCCCTAAATGGACTTATTCCATCTAAGTCAACCTACTCAGATGTGAGTTTTTAAATTAAGGTGCACAGTTATATCAGCTTCTCCTTATCCTCTGGTACAAGTAAGCTATGTTTATCAATATGTTTATGTAAAACTCCTGTTAGTTGTTCAATCATGACAGCCGCAGCACTCGCCAGTGGTTAGGCTGGTGATTCCTACTGAGGGACCACCTCTGGTTGCTTTTCCTGCTCTGCTACGTCTTTCATGAAATGAACTGTCTTTGATTTATGAGATCTCCTTCGCTAGATTTGTTTGTTTTGTGCAGCCAAGTAATCCAGCAAGGCTTCTCTCAATAACATCTCTCTAAATGGATGATATTCAACTCATACTTCCCAGGACCGCTATTTTATATCAACAATCGACAAATTTTCTCATCCTTACGAGTGAGATTACTTTTCAGTAAGGACTTCTGTTCGGGAGTGATTTGATTAGTCTTGCAGAGATTAGTAACTACAATGAAGAATTAAGTGTAGTGACTCAATTATGGATCCATTTTTATATTTTATACAATCGTTTCAAAGTAATTTGCACTTGTGAATAAACAATGAAATTGAGAATACTCAACTGCCGAGAGCATAGATCATTTTAATAAAAAATCATCAGATTTACATTTTCTATTGAAACAGTCTCTCAAACACTAGTCCTGGCCCTGAAGGATCTTGGAAGTACTACAATCTTAGATGATTTCTATATTATTTCATGATATTTTACCTATTATATTCCCTTACATCCTTACAATTTTACATTCCTTTGAGGTATTTTAACAGCAACTCCAACTCCCTATCCTCCTTGTTATCATAGAAGGGAATTATCGGTATCCCATTGTCCAATTGCCAAGCATAGGAATAAGAAGCATTGTCCACTAAAACTAATTGACTCAGAGATCGATTGAAAATTCTCAGGTCCTTGGTGTACATCCCTCCTGTAGTCATTATACAGTTATCTCTGTAAAGACTATGAGAAAAAAGAGTCTTCTGGGGATCTAGATATTCGATCACCTTCTAAGCATAACAAGGGTGAGAAGCTGTAAAGACTATTAATTCAAAATCCTTCACTAGCAGTTCTAATAACTTGACTGCTCCAGGTCTAACATTAATCCCTGCCTTAATTTTTTCTTGGGGAGACACTTGAATTGTAAATATAACATCACTAGGTATTGCTAAGTTTTCATTGCAATGGACTAATGTCTCATCTAGATCAAAGACAATTGTGATTTTATCTAAAGTATAATCTGAGATTACTTTTGTAACATTCCTTCTATTTTAGATGTACTTGCTTATTTTATAGATCATTTGGATAAACTGGTTGTAAGTACGATGCAACTTATATCCCTTGATAAGTTTAATAAAAGTGTTCCCTGTACATTCGGCTGAAGTAATCATCCATTAAGGGTCTTGAAAAAGCATTCTTAACCCTCGTTAAGTAGTATTCTTGAGATTCACCTTTTAATTTTTTTGAACTCTCAAAATATCTGCTCACACTTACACTTTCCTCACCATTACACTTAGGCGTCGTCTAATGAGACTGGGTCTTTGGCTTCTGGAATAATGTTGTTTGGAGTTTCTATAATATCAAATCCTTGCTTTGTCCCACAGATTACTGAGGACGATGATGTGGTTTCTTCTCAGATAATGGCCTGTAAGATTAAGTACCAGAAGGTGTTGGAGGCTTAATTGGAACACTGATATCCAAAGAGGGTGAAACCTTAGTCACTAGTTGTCCTAAAATCTTGGATGACTGGGTGGTAGAGATTGTTGGATTAGGAATATTACCTTCCTTTCTCTTGGTCATCTAAAAGTATTTCTGTATTGCAGCATTCACTTCTGAGTTGCTTAATTTCTTGGTTGACTACTCACGATTAGGTTGTATTTTTTATAGCAATTTACTATTCGAGAGATTGAAATCCATTAAATATCGCTGTTGTTTCATAAATTTTAAATTTATGATAACCTATTACCCTTTTATTTCTGACTAATATTATTGAGTTTCTACATATTCCGATCAAAATTAAGTCTAATTCATTTGCTAAATCATGCGATAATCCAATTATGTAAAGCGACTAATTATAATTATTATTTAGTAGTTTTGTCGAATTTTTAAGAATTCTAACTATCTAATAGATTTTCATCTATACATTTTACTTACTTCCTAAAGAATAATCATAAATAATAGTTAATACATCTGAAATTCTTTCCTCATTTAAATTTGTTATTTTATTCTAATGTTGGAATTAGTAGATGAATTTCTATGTTAATCAACCATCTGCCGAGCGAGTTTATTATGAAAAATTATCAAAATTTTGAAATACATTAAAGAATAAATAAATTGTTCATTGTTCTATTTAAGATTTATAAGGATATCATTACAATTTTAAATTGAATTCTTTTTTGCTAATGCAGCAACAATCTAAAATTCATTTGCATAAATTGTGGTAGCTTTTATAAATTTAAACCATGTTCATTAATTGAATAATATCATAAAGATGTTATAATTTTATAAATATTATAAATATCAAGTGATGCGTCTCTTGCTTGATGTCAGATCAGAACATTCCGTTTTCAATCCTCCTGTTTGCATAAAGTTATTACTCATTAAGGTGGATCCTTTCTATGGACTCGTTCTCAGAGAAGTCTGTTGCTCCAATCTTTTTTGCAATTTCGATTATCTACTGTCCTCAGATATAATCTTATCTAATGAACGAGGTTTCTGCTATTAAATAGAATCCACATTCTTCATGTGTTCTTTCAATAATCTTTGTTAATCTACTATTCGTACATTTTCTCTATAATCAAAGTAGAATTCATCAAAAATTTTAAAGTCCTTTTTGAAACCTGCCTTTCCAATCAATTTCTCTCTAACTTCCAAGTCTCCTTGCTGCAAATTTTTAGTCTCGAAATTTAATTTCTAAATATCAGGTTTGATAGGAGGAGTCACTCTTTTCATGAGGATGTCAGTCAGATTGACTTTCTTAAACCATTTGTGTTGAAGGATTTCTCTAACTCCTCCTCGAACTCCTAATCTTTTATTAGGTTCTTTGGCTAATAAGCCAGACATGAGATCTTTGATTTCTTGACTAAGGAATTGTGGGAATGTGACTTATTCATTGAGTATGGAATCATAGATTTTTTGAGTGTTTTTGCTATAGAAAGGAGGTAGACCTGTAACTAGTTCGTAGAGTAGGGCTCCAAGACAATAATGATCGACTTGTATTGTGTGTCCACGTTTGAGTAACATTTCAGGTGCCATGTATTCTGGAGATCCGCAAAAGCTGTAAGCAAATTCATCTGGACTTGTGATTTTAGAGAGTCCAAAATCAGAGATACGAATATGTCCATCTAAGTCGAGAAGGATGTTTTCAGGTTTGATGTCACGATACATGATTCCCATTTGATGCAAGTATAGCATGCAAATGCAGATTTCCACAAAGTAGAATTGGGCTTGCTCTTCTGACATTCTCTTCAAGGTTTTGAGTTAGTAGAAGAGTTCGCCTCCACTACAGAACTCGAGGATAAATACTATAAAGTTTCGACTTTCAAAGGAGAAAAGCATTTAGATTGTAAAAGGATGATAGATAAATGCCATGATGTCTCTTTCATTTTGGAGCAATTCTTTGATTTATATGTATACATAAAATACCTGCTTTTTTATACTTGATGATGAACTCTTTGTCAACGAGTTTCATGGCATAAAAATGAACCATTTATTTTGGATCTCACCAAGTAAACCTTAGAAAATCCACCCGCTCCTATGCATTTCAAAATTTAAAAATCCTTAAGCGAAACATGCTGACCTGTTAATACGGGTTCCTGACATTCCAATTACAATTCAGGCCAAACGATCGGTCGTTCTTCAAGGGTCAGGTAGTAATCAATGAGAATGTTATGATCAATTGTTGTAAATGCCACAATCTTCTATTTTAGCTTTTGCAAGAGGGCAGCGCGCATTTAGGTTGTAGTGATGTTTCGAGTGAAAGTGAATCTGAATTACTACTGTCCAACATGTACGATCACCAATACCACATCCATTATCTAAGAGTTCTGAAGAGTTGTTTCTCTCTTTGCAAATGATCCCTCCTAAGTTGTTTGATTCGTAATTAGCTTTGGCGAAACCATTAACTTCAACAATTCACTATTCTTTCGAGTTTTGAATGAGAGCTTAGACTTCTCTGGAGACAATTTATGATTGGGACTCAAAGAAGACTTCTAAAGTATCCTAAACCCCTTCTGAGAATTGGATTTTGAGAGATTCATTATTATATTATTGATTATAACTACTTCGGAACACATATTGTATTTATTAGATTTATTAACTCACATTCCCTTGAGATGCCCTCTCTTTCTCTAAATAGGTAAATATGGTCCATTTATATTACTAACCATTTACATATATAATTATTCATTAATAATGATTCCTACTCTGCAACCGTCGCAGCAGCTTCAACCAAAATACATCTTCGGATTGAACAGCAATTTACGGAATAACCTCTACTTCATGGATGATACTCGAATCATCTATCCAGCAGGCTTTCACATAGTGTGCTACTCATTGCAAGATAAGAGTCAAAGCTACTTCTAAGGATTCGAACATTACAGAGGATTCTCCTGTATGACTCTCTCCCCAATGAAGAGATTTTTAGCAGCAGGAGTCAAGGGAGAAAAGCCTGCTATACAAATATACGATACGATGTCTCAAAAGAAAAAGAGAACGCTCATCTATCACGATGCTCCAGTTAAGGAATGGGTATCTGTTGCATTTGGGCCTAATGCGGAAGCTAAGACTCTGGTTGGCTTGAGTGGAGGAACCTCTGTTAATGGAAGTCCTGTTGATTCATATTTATGTTACTTTCAAACTGATACTATGAAATGTTTAGCTTCTGTAAAAGTAACTTCAGGAAATAATGAATGTTTGGAAGTAGCCTTTTAACCTAATGATGCCACCTTTATCACTGTAATCGGAAAAGGAATTTTCAAATCATATAAGATGATTCAAAATGAAGGCGAAACAAAGAGTTATACTCTCAAGTAAGTGTCAGCATCATTACAAAAAGCACCTGCTGATTTATCAAATAATTACTGTTGTCATACTTGGATGATATAGCATCCAGATCATTTAATTGTATGCACTTAATTGGGAGAGGTTTTCCTTTGTGATGAGAATGCTGAATTCGTCAAGTATTTGAAGAATCCTTACCACCAAAACAAACAACCTTTTTTGATTGAAGTGATATAAGCAATGCAATAGGGATTTGCAATTGGAGGAGACAATTCTACAATTTACATATACAGCAAAGAATATGAAAATATCCAAATGCTTCACGTGAAGTCAATATCTGATATCAAATGTTAAATCAAAGGAATCAGCTTTACACCCATCAGTGAAGATACCATCATAGTTACTCTGTCTAGCAATTTAATTTATAGTCTGAAATTGAAGACTGAATAGTTTTTGGAAGAACAACAACAATTTGAATTAGTTTCATTGCCATTTCACTCCTGTCCTCCAGTAAATGCTGGAATTCCAATTAATGGCATGGATGTATGTGTTCGAAAACCCCTTATAGTGACATGTGGAGCTGACAAATACATTCGTATATGGAATTATGAAGAGAAAAGCATGGAAGCCTACAGATTCTTTAATGAAGAAGCTTATTGTGTCAGTTATCCATCCATCAGGATTCCATATTGTTGTAGGATTGACTGATAGATTAAGATTGATGAATGTTTGTGTTCATAACAATCAAATAAAACACTATAGAGAAATTGGGTAATTCAAATAATGCAAAGAAATCAAATTCTCTAATGGAGGACAATACTTTGCTGCCGTTAATGCAGCTAACACTACTTAACATATAATCCACATTTATAGATTCTATGTTGGAGATAATCCTGCCAATCTATAATTTAAAGGTCATAGTGGTAGAATTAGATGCATAACTTGGAGTAGAGATGATACAATTTTAGCCACTTGTGGTTAAGATGGTTTGATATCCTTATGGAAAGTAGGTGCTGACACAACAGGACAAAGAATGCTTGATATTCATGCTAAAGCAAATGGCAAGAATATCCCATAGTCGAGTGTTGCATTAACATTTGATACTAGAATAGTGTATGTTGTCGGAGAGGATCGTCATCTTAGAGAGTTTGTTTGCCAGGAACCAACAGAAAACAAAAGGAATGTTGAAGCTACCTTATCTTAAATTTGTTTCTCAAGCAGTAACAAAATATTGTTTGCTGGTGTATGTGATGAAAATAGATACTCGGGAGCTGTGAGATGTTATAAATATCCCTTTGTTGGTCCATCTGCTGGTACCAATGTAGAGTATTAGGCTCATGATGAACGAGGTATAGAGAAAATGAAGATTACTGCTGATGATCAATATCTCATTACTGCTGGTAGGGATGGAGCCATCATTGTATTTGAAATTAAGGATAAAGATGCCAGAGGATAAAAAAATAAAGAAGGATATTAACAAAGATATGCAGATGATATCATTGTCACTAAAGAAGATAAGGCCGATCTCAAAACCACCAGGGATAATCTCAAAACATAATTGCAGGATATCACTGCTCCTTAAAATGCTATTAATATTTCATCAAAGGAAGATCAAATCAAATAATTAACAGATAAAGAATCCACACTCAAGTAACAATATAAGGTAGCCTATGACACTTTAGTAGAAAAGAAGAGAGAAACAGAAAAACATATTCAAGAAACCAGGAAATAAATAATGGAAGAATTCGAAGCTGAAATCCAGGAATTAGAATAAAATCAATAAAGTAAAGTCAATAAGGAAGCAGAAAAGTATGAGAAGACTAAAAATGAGAAAGAAATTCATCAAACTAAATATGAAAAGGAAATTGGGAAATTATAAAGAGAACATACAGATGAACTCAAAAAGTTAGAGAAGGATTATGATGCTCGTTTACTTGAAGAAAGACAGTAGAGGGAAAGAATGGAGAAGGAATACAATAAGGAGAAAGAAAAGTACAGGGAAACAATTGAATAAATTAGGAAGGAGACTATAGGTGAAATTGAAGCTCTTGAAGAACAAAATCAATAATAGATTCTTTAAAAAACTGATCAAGGTCTTAAGGCTAAAAGTGAAGTCAGCATGACAAAGAAGAAGATTTAATCTTTATTGTAGGAGGAGGAAAAACAAAATGAAAATCTTAAAGATTATAATGAACAAAAGAAATAATTGGATGATCAAAATCATCAACTCAAAATAGCTATTGAAGAGTAATTAAAACAAATACAGGATAAGGATAAAACAATTGGAGAGAAGGAAAGGAAGATTTACGAATTAAAGAAGAGATCATAAGAATTAGAAAAGTTTAAATTTGTTTTAGATCACAAAATTAAGGAACTCAAAAGAGACACTGGACCTAGAGATGAAGAAATCAATAGAATGAAAGAAAAAACCAATTTGATGGATTAGAAATTAAAAAACTTTGCTTATTTGAATAATAATCTTGGAAATGTGGTTGATGCCCTTGATTAAGAATTAAAAATAATGAAAACCAATATTAAAAAATAAAGATAATTAATTTCATTCCAAAATGTCAGAATTAAGAAAATTTAAAGACTCAGTCTACCAAGCTGTCTAATTTATTCAAAATTAAGAAAAATTAACTGAAAAAGCTCAAGAAATCTTCAAAGAATTCCATAAAGATGATGTTAAACCATAATAAGTCAATGCTGACATACTTGCTGAATATAAAAGTTAAAAGCAGTATTTAGAAAAATCCGTTGAAGGATTGAAAGCCAATCTTTAAGCTGATGAAGAAATACACAAAGCTGAAAATATTAGGATTATGAGAGGCAATGTTAAACTAATTATCGAAATCAATAATCTTAGAAAAAAAATGAAGTAAATTAAATCAACTCATAATAATTAAGAATAAAAAGGTGATAAAAAAATGTCTCTAACAGGTATTTTATAATCATATAAATCTAGCCAACTCTGAGACTTAAAAGGCTAAACAAAGAATGATTTAGGACAAACAACTTATAATTGAATAATAGTAACTGGCAAGAAATTCTTTGCTAAATTAAATTTAAGAATTGGAAGCAGAACTTTCAGTAATCGGAGAATGAAAGATTTTATATTAATTATATTTTTATGTTAAATTAATTATATTATAACTATGATAGGATAGGATATTGTCATTCTTATTAATTGTTTTTATATTCTTGTTTTAACAATTTGAACTTAATGTACTTAGATTTGATAATTTAAAGTATCTTCATATTTACAATAATTAAAATTCATTTTAAATTGCTTTTTCTTTTTATGGTAATTTTATCAGAATTTTATTATCTCCTCTCTAAGCTATTTTTAAGCATCATCTTTAATTTTTAGAACATTTTATTCTGAAATTAAAGCCTTTTATAATAATAAATCAGAAAAAAATTTAATTCTATGTTTTCTTTGGAATAAGGTATATTTTTGAAAAGTAATTTTAATATAATATGTTTCGAAAATTATTTTATGGGTTTTGCAATTAAGTGCAAACAATTAGCACTTTTGCTTAATTACAAAATATCATGAATCCACCTACACCTGAGAATTATCAGAGATTATTACTAACAGTTTAATAGATGATTTAATCGAAACCTATTAATTGGAAATTTGTACATCGACTTTAATAATTGCGAGAATAGTTTAATTTAGAAATAGACATTCAGTATCTTCTTTCTAGGCTTAAGGATCAACCTATTGATTCTGAAAAGCAATAATTTGTGATTGATCTTATGTAATAATATTTTACGACAGATGAAGAATTATTTAAGGATTTGTATAACTAATTATTAAGAATGGATGATTTGCATTTCATAACTTAATTAAAGATGTTGTAGACATATTTTTCATATCCAGAATTCTTCAATCAAGATCAAGTGTTGCCAAGATTGATATAAAATTTAATTGCTTCAGAGGATTTGGAAGTTTATGATTTAGTAAATGCATTTTAAATATTCACATACGACTATCCCTATTTAACAGAGGAGAATAGATAATGGTTGCACGATCTCAAAGATGAAATGAATCAATAGATTATCAAAATAATTCCCAGTCTGGGATAAAAATAATTTAAACAATTATTGGTTGTGTTGAGATCAAATGACTATTATAACGAATAACTGAAGGAGGCTGTCTTATAATATTTTAATGAAAATAAACAAATTTTGGGACAGACTTGCTTGATGGAATTGTTAAATCTATGCAATCTCCAGTTCTACTTTAATGAGGATCTCAAATAACAGATCTTAATTCAGATCAATCAACTGAAGGTCAAGGGAATAAATGAGACAAAATTGATAAACAGATTTGTGTTGCCATCAGTAATACTTTATTGTTGACTATTAGATATCATTAGCTGAATAGGAAATGATGGCAAATCTAATAACCTTGTCAGGTATACAGTTAGATAAGGAGTATGTAAATTAGCATTTTACTGGAAGCGATTCTTAGAAGAAAGAGAAGCTTGAATAACTTAGGCTCAAGGATTAGTAAGTCTTACAAATTGTTAAGGAATTGTAGATGTACATTGACGGTCAATTCTATTTCTACATTAAGTAAATACTATATATATAGATGTAGTGTCATGAGAGTAATCTAAACTTTCGGTATTTCATTGCCAGAACTACTCTAGCCAATGATGGAGGAGTTGAAAAAGATATTAGCCAAACAAATAGTTAATCCCACTGATCTCCTACCAATATTGAATTATTTTGATGACTGTAACATACTGTTTGACTAAGATGATTGCATAGGAATGCACCACTTTAAGACTTATTTGAATTAAGACATCTACTCTTATTAGAAAATTGAATATTTATAAAGGCAATTAGCATAAAAAAAGAATTAGAATGAAATGCGTGAGCTTTTGGAAAAGAGTCTTAAAACCAATTGGAATTTAGAATTATGTTCAAGATAAGCATTACTCTATAATTATTTTAATATTCCTTTTTCCAAAGATTTTGAAGAGAAGTTTAAAATAATTATTGAAGAACACGTTTAAAAAAAGAGGAATTTTTTTGATTAGTAATTATTTTTCAAGCAAATTGCTATGGCTCATTGGACAAAGGATCTCAAATAGGAACACAAAGCTTATTATTATGAAGGGCAAAGTATAGCATAGAGATTGAGAAAAGAAAAATTAAAGAACGTGGACTAGTCTTCGATTCTCGGATAAGAAATAAAGTAGGACATCTTACAGTATATGCCAAATACATTTAAATTGGTGTCGAATTAGTTTGTTAATGGAGCAGAAATTGATTTCATAATTACAAATTAAAAAGGGGACAAATTACTTGTCTAAATTCACGGTCCGAATCATTATTATTATGCCTCAACAGTTTATAATTATCAAACCTTATTGGAGACATTTTCCATGGAAAAGCTAGGCAACTATAGGGCAATCCATTATTATGAAGCAGAGAAAGAGTGGAAACAATAAAAATAATAAGCAGTAACAAAATTGTTAAGCTGTTTAATGTGAATAATATAATATATAATGTATAGGTATTATTGGCGAGAATATATAATTAATTATCTCATTTCTACGGAAACACTTATGTTGCCTTTCTTTTTAAAAAGTGTCTAACACTATGTCTAACTTATTCCAAATAGGATTTATTCTGTTTAATATCTTCTTCTTCGATTAAGGAATTTCTAAATAGACGTATAAATTCATAAGGAAATAGCAGATATTTCGAATACTTGTTTAATAATTAATTTAATAATTCTGTATTATTTTTTCGTATAGGTCTCATCAGTTTAGTTATGATTCTATCAATGTTCCATTCTCTATCAAATTTATCAAATTCCCTAAGCTATTCAAAATCTGGTATATCTGTTAAACCTAACTCTCCTTCGAGCTTTTTAATGAGTAGGAAACATCTCTCGTATTCATTATTTGACAATTTGGGTAGAATGTATTACAATTTGGTTAAAGCTTCTTGAAAGTCTCCAGGTTTGTCTGAAATCACTGTTAAATCACTTTATTTATTCGTATTTCCAGATAGCAGGAGCTTCTTATCCCTTTTGTTCTTAAAACTATCTAAGATTTAAGTTTATTGTAATAAGCTGGTTCTTTGCATGAATTTCACAGGATTAAATGAAGTTTCAACCAGCCATTCTGGGGGATTTAATTATACCTGTTGATCTTCAAAAGTAACAACATTGATTTTAGGAGGTCCATTTTGATGGATACTAAAGCCTTGACTTTATTGTTCTTGGATTTCATTTTCTGGAACTATATCATTCTCCAATTAATATATTTTAGCACTACCTTGTATCAAAACATATTCATTTAATGCGTAAAATTTTGTCCGATTTTTCTAAGTTTATTTTAATCTGCCTCTTTCTTGAACATTATTAAAATGATATCTCATAATTACTTTCTCTATATCAGGGATATAATGGACAACATTACATTGGTGAGTATAATGTCTTTTATCATGACAGATATAGCAAAACTTATCAGGTATAATTTGTAATTGGAATTTGCTAACCACTTTGAGAACTTCAGAACGAGGAATCATTAATAGACTAGTGAAGTCAGCTGATTTATAAGTGATTTTATCACTTTAAGAGAAGAGTTCTTGTAAACCAAAACACTAATTTTCTTTTAGTGTGTCTATAACAACCTAAAATATTTATAATCAAACCTTCTCTTGCATGACTTCAACTTTTCCACTTTCAATTATATAAATATAGTTTTATGGATTTACATAGACACCTGGCTAAAAGATATTAAATTCAATGCTTTGGAGTAGACATTCTAAGGCAGGTTTAGGAAACTGAGAAAAATAGGGACATTTGATAATCAAAGAGGAGGCAGATTCCAACTTCAACTTCTTTTGGAGATCTTCTGGCAAAAGAGTGATGAGTCTTATTTGTTCATTTTTCTTTTGGATAATTTCTTGATTCCAATAAAAATTAAAATACTCCCTTACTTTCATAGAGAGTTCAGTACTCAATTTCTTACAGTGCAAATACTCATTGATGCAAGTCATCTTTTATCTAATCATTTCATTATTTTCTTTCATCTCAGTAAGGATTAACCCAATTGTGTTGACTGAATAAGAATATTGCAAAGTGGACAAGAACATATAACAAATACAAAACATCTTTTCCAGTGAATCTAATCATATAATAATGTATCTTTACTTGTGGGTGTGATATCACCATATCCTACAGTAAACATGGTCACACTCATGAAGTAAAAGGATTCAAGAAATTGTACCTACCAACTTTCCTCCTTTACATCCATCATCCAATTTATTTTTCCTTGACTGTCATAATACTAACCTAATTTTAACCTAAGCAATTAAGATTTCATTTCATTACCATAAACAACCACAGAAATGCTGTATTAATAACACTGTAGCTATCAATTTGAAAAGATCTATGACAGAACTGACCATTTTTGTGGGCTTCAAATTATATTGAATGATATCGACCAATTTCATTATGTTTCTCAATTAATAATAGAACAGGATGAAGAACCATGTGCTCAATTAGTAATCGAGGGATACGAGGATTCCGAATAAGATACTCCCTAATTCTATTGCTAAACCGAAATTAATTTGCTTCTTAAATAATTTCGTTCGATCTCTGACTGGCAAACCCTTGTGAAAATAAATGGTGAAGTTTCTAATCACCAAATCGAATGCTAGAAATACGCAACTGATTAGGAAATAGCTTGCATGGTCATTCTACAAAAATGGAAACGAAATTATGATGGGAGACCACATTATCAAGTAGATGCGAATGAGACAGAGCAAAAAGTCCCACACTAATTTGGTTATATTATTTGGTTCTATTAAAGGGATGTAATTATATAATTAAGTGAAGCATCCTGACAATTTATTTACTATTCCATTTTTCCATGTCCTCAATTTGAGTCTGATCTGCAAATCTATTGTATTAAGGTTTTATTGCACAAAATTCCCACTTATCTTACCCTTCTATTTCATATACGAACTTGCTTGGTCGTTTAAAATCTGGTGCTATTTTTGAGAAAATTTACAATCAGGTCTTATAAAGCTAATCATTTTGTTGGCAAACTTCAATGAATGACAATTAATGATTAATTTAGCGAATGGCGATTACTTTTTTGAAAGCATCACTTGATTTTCCCTTTATTTATCAATAGACAATATTCCATCCGATTCTGGTAAATCTGGCGGTTATAATGTGTCAATTGGGATTGAATTGATCCTCATGGTTACCCCACCGAATCTCTAAATCGAAACCAATTGCTAAGTTGTTGAAATGCCTGGGTTAGAAGTTTCTATCTTCATTGGACTCATTTCTAAAATTGAATTATCCAAACCCTTAGAGTTCATCTCTTGTTCTATCTAAGGCGACATCAATTTGCATTTGCTGGTTGCTGCATACTACATTTTAATTAAATTATATATTTGAGGATACTTAATTAAAATCATTTACTTCAAATTATTCTACAGATCTCACAATGGAAAAACAACAATAGTAGAACACTCAAACAGATTCAATTAATTAATTATGATATCAATGAATATCTACATTCACTTAATAGATCTTTAAGGACAACTTATTAATTATATAAATTGACACTTGTAGCAGTTATAATTATCAATATATATATTTTAACTTATCAATTTTTTTGCGAATAATTCTGACACTCTGCTGCATTGATTTAAATGATCAAAACATCATAAAATATTTATAAGAAATGGAAAACCCATCGATATTAGGAATGATTACCAGGCAGACTGCTTTCCCATAATTTGAATTAATTATTCTCTGAGTTTAAGAAATTCAATCAGGGGATCTTGAGAAAAAACTTCAAAAATTAATAAGAATTGCTGAGTTTATGACAGACGTCTTAGGAGTAAGTTGCAAAAGATGCAATTAAGAAAAGTAGAGGGGGGAATGAGTTTAAAATAAAATGCACTCTTATTTTGAGTGATTCAAGAATTTAAATTTGGCCCAACGCTGATACTATGTTAGTTTGGTTGGTGACAAATTAATATTATATTTTATAAGTGTGTTATACATTTTTTAGATATTTTATGTTGAAATCAACAAAGAAACCTGAATAATATTTAATAAATTAAATAATAAATGGATTTTCTAAAGGACGAACAGAAATTCAAGGCTCTGGCTAAGGACGTGTTCATTGCCATAGATGAAAATGGTATAAATTTTTCTTATTAATAAAAAAAGAAAATGGTTACATCGAATTTTCGGAAATGAAAAGAACTGTTCTTGAAATGTATAAGCAGGCGAATGTTAAGGTAATCGTAGAATCTATTTATAGCAATTGAGTGACGAATAGATTTCTGATATAATAAATACATTTGATTAAGATGAGAATTAAATATTGAGTTAAGAGGAATTAGCAAATTTATTGCGGAAAGTATTGGAAAAAAGTGTATAACTGCAGCAGGAAGAAGGTATGATTAATTGAAATAAATTGTAGAGAAAAAAAACAAAAAGAAGGCAGATAAAAATGAACGTATAGAAAATTAGTATAACAATTAGCCACTACATTTCGATCTAAAAAGGTTACAGTAAAGGACAGAGAATAGCAAAAATAAGAGTTAAAATAATTAAAAGAAGAACTCAATAGTTTAAAAAAGTTAGATAAGAAGTCTTAACAGTTACAAAACTAGAAATTAGTAAATTATTATGTCAAGTATTAATTGAAATTAATTGATTAGTCCAACAGCAAGAGATGAGGAGGTGAGAGAGCAATAACAGAAGTTCGATGCATCCAGTAAGAGTTTATCAAGTTAATCTCCGCACAGTTCAAAATCAAGTATCAGTCTAAACCCTTTGGTCTTCAATTAGTATCTGAGATAAGGATTTATCAAAAATGCAGGTAAACATAAATGACATTGAGTAGATGACATGATCAAAGCGTAGGAGAGTGCAAAAACTAATCATTTGATTGGAATGGCAGTAAAAAGAAGCAGTGCTGGCGAGTGGCAAGGTTTGATCGATTACTTTAATGATTAAACCTAGAAGGAATTCGATAGAACACCAAGTAGTCAGCAATTCCATATAATCGGTAAAAAACTAACGAAAAATGTTAAATTTATAATGATTCACATTCAAAATTTGACTTATACAAATTTTAGAGATTTGAGAATCAATTCAAAATCTGAGTTAACTAGTGTTGATAAACCAGCATTATTTTTTTGGGAACTTAACTATAATGGCTAGACATTCTTTAAAAATTCAGCAAAAGAATTTCCCAATTAATTAAATGAATGTTTGGATACTGTTCTCATTTACAACTATACAAATCCAATATAAGTAATCTTATGGAAGAAATAAGGAAAAGACTCAATCTATGTAGGCCAATTTGATATAACAAACCAATTATTTCAATTATTATAAAAAGTTACAGATTAGTAAGACCAACTAGGTGAATAAACTAAGTATAACTTGAATCTTCAAAAAATAAATAAATAATTAAGAAAACTACAGTCAACTGATATTAAATTATTTAGAAGGAAGAGAATTTCTTATTCGAATAACTAATAGGAGGATCCACCTTTAATTGGAGATCTGATTGCAAAGTTTTAGATGTTCGAAATCTGTGAGTTTGATGCCCCTTTAAGTAAAGTACATATATGATGTTAGATTAATTTTCCTTTACTAAAGGATCGCCTCGAACTTTAGAAGAAAGAGAAAGAAGAATGCTAGTGGAGCAATCCAAAAATGGCCCTTACAAATGGCCAGATGATTAACTAAACAAAGCTTTGGTTATATAGATTAATGATGCAGGCATAGAATTGGCAATTGTCAATGAGGAGGATATACAATCATATTTAGATGGTCAATTAGGGGCTCTTATCAAAGAAACCTTTTATTTTGATACTAGTTCAGGAGGTTCAAGAAGAACCTCTCGTATAAAAAGACCTCCACTCTCAGAAAATACATTGTTATTGTTGAAAACCTTAGATGAGAATCCCTTGGTGGTTCAAGTTAATGCTCTTAGATAGACTATTCGTTAAGGCAGATTACCAAAGAAAGTATTGGAAGAGGCTCTTCAGTCATTTGGTTGTACAGGATCTCAATTACTAATTGATCATGTCGATGATATGGGTATGTGTGAATACGATTACTGTATGGATGATGGCTGTTATGGAGTTATTATTGATACAATATAGGATATGGGATTTTCGAATCCAGACAATATTTAATAGGCTGATTTGTTTGCTGAGAAGTTGGTATAGAATATTAAGAGTGTCTTAATGGAAGGGGTTAGAATTGAACCATTATTTGAGTTCTTAAAGATGGCTGAAAAAATACCAGATTTTGGAATTACTATCAATTTGATTTCTGATTAATTCAAGAATGGATTAGGGTCAAAGGTTGATGGAGATGGAAGTGTATAAATTGATCCTGGTTCTTTTATTTCTTATTTTGATATCAACAGCAGAGACTTTGATAAGATGGAGAATTATGAGCACATCATGGTTTTAGGAAAATTAGTAAAATTATCTAAAAAGCACTTGGATCCTGATGATCCATTTTTATAACACATTCAATAAAATTATGAGGAAGCCAAAACCAAAGTCTATTTCACTGTACCTGTATTGCCAAAGAAAAAGAAATTGAGAGAGAAAGCAAAACTGTTGGTGTTGCAACCAGATAATGTTCATCCAGGGTTATTTAGTAATTTGAATATCGATAAAAATACACCTCTTGCTAATGTCAAATAGCAATTCTTAAAGAAAAAGAAGGAAATTTAAAATAATAAAGAAAATAAGGAGGAAGAACAAGATCCAGTTAAACTACTCGAGAAACCTTGCTTATGGAATGTGTGTCATGAGTTAGTAAGAAGAAAGAGATGGAACATGTTTTATGATGGTTTCTAAGCTGAACCCTTATTTTACTTTCAATAGGGAGGAACAGGGAATACTCCTATGATGGACTTTATTGAGAAAGGACCGTTTAATGTCATCAATTAGATGGTCAACCAATATCATCCCAATAACCCTAATGAAGATCTTAAGGACAGTCCCAAACTTGATCCCAAGAAGATGTTCGACATGACTACTCCAAAAGGAAAAAGCTTTATTCATGCCTTAGCCTTAAATTAAGACATCAATCCAATAGGATAGAAATAATCCTTGCAATATTTGCTAGGTTTAGTGGAACCTCAATAATAAGAGGAAGTTCTAATCAGTCCAATGTCACCATATGATGCAACTCCCCTTGTTCTATATTTAACCAAGCTCTCAAGCGTTACACCAGCGTAAATATTAATAAATATTCTAGTTTTAATGAAGAAGAAATCAAATCTATTTAAGAAATCTTGAACATCATGAAGTAACCATTAAAGAAGCAATATTCTTAGTCTCTCTTCAGAGCCAAATGCTTCTTCAAAATTCATAACATCGATATAGAGGAGGATGATTTAAAGGATTACTATCTAAATCACATACAGGTATCAAAGGCCCTTTCTCTACTTTAACCAGGCATATTTGCACTGGTTTCTCAGGAAATCGATTGGATTTAATGGTTTTCTCTGAACATTGAAAACTATAATTCTGTTCAGAACGAATTGTCCTTTGCCATTTACAATTTAGCAAGATCGGGTAAAATAGAATTTCTTGAATAATTTTTGAGCAACTTCTAAAAATAATAAAGTCTTATGCCTTGTTAAATCAATCCTGATCCAGATTTCATTATTTCCTCAAATCAAGACGAATTTATTTCAGATGATAATGGATTGATTACAATTTATGATAAGGATAAAAATAATGAAATATAGAACACGAAGGAGGAAATGTTAAATGATTTGGCTTCATTTTATGCAAAATATCCTTTAGAAATCTTTATTGGCATACAACAAATCTTGAACGAAACGAAATTTACATCCCTGAAATTAAATAGAATATTGAAAGAATTAATCTTATAAACAATCAAATTAGAACCAAGAATTCTAGCTAAATAATTTTACTAGAATAAGAAATCACCATATGAAGAGTTAGTTAAATTAGGATTCGAAGAGGAATTATAAAAACTCCTCACTCCAGAATAGGCTCAAGCTTATCAAGAACAAAAAAGTAATTTCGCCAAAAACCTATTGTAGGAAGGCATATCAGGAAAATTAAAAAATAAAGAAAACCCTCTAAAATTAGGTAGAGAGAAAGAGGCGGAATTCTTAAAATACACCTCAAAGCTAATGACTGAAAAGGGGTTGGATGATGTATTAAAGTTCATAGACAAGCTAAAGTAAGATAACATCGAAGGTAGATAAGAATTAGTAAAGAAGCTTTTCAATTAAATGGCAAGATCACTACCTACTAATTTTTCCAAATAGCAATATCCGAAGATATTTAAAGCTCTGAGATAAAATCCAAATACTACAAAATAATTAAATGAAAAAGAAGAGAAGTTTTATAAACCACGCAACTAAAACAAATTAGACAGGATAATAGAAATAAGCAATGTAAATAGTTACACAATGAAATAGGTGCTAAATGCAGCACTTAATTCAAAAAACTAATAATTAATGAACAATTGTTTACTGTATTTGTGGAATAAATCTCCTGAAAATCTAACATCTCGTAATTTAAGTGTACTTAGACCTTTATATTCAAAATATGGACAATAGTACAGATCCCTTAGTCATCATCCAGCTGTTTGCTTAACGCAATAAGAGTTTGATCAATACATGGCTGACACAAAGGAAATTGCAACCTTGAAAGACTATGACATCGCTGCAAAAGCCTTAACAAAGCTTGGACTACCAGATAGATTGCCTGCAATCCTTAAAAAATTAGCAGCAAATAAACCTGAACTGGTATTTAATTTATTAGAAGAAATTGCATTAAATCAGCTAGAAAAATAGCTTCTTGAAGTACCTGTTCCTCCTCTCAAACCAAATTAAGAGCAAGTTTAGAAGGTTCAACCTTAATTTATAATCCCTACAAAAAGACAAATTATACTAAATCAATATAATTTAATTGATGCAGGAGCTTTGGGTTGCCTCTTATAAAATGCTAAGAAGTTATTGGAAAAATCTGCTAAAATGCCTAAGAGTTTGAATGCTTATAATCATACCTTAAGTAAACAAGCATTCTAACAATATTATTCTTAGAAATTGAGGCAGAATTTCTACACTCAGAATCCTGGAACGATGTATAGTAATTGGAGTCCTCCAAAACCAAATATGGAAAAAACAGTTGAAATAATATTAGACGCATTGAAAGACAGTTTAGATAATTTACTATAATAAAAGCCTGAATTAATGGAGAAGTTGGAGAAGATATCTTTATTACCTTTAATAACAAACAATATTGCCATATTTAATAAATTAAACAATAAGGAGAATAGAATATTCACAGCGATTGAGAATATTATTTTATAGAATCTAAAATAAAAGGCTTCAAATTTGGAATTGGTTAGGATTGATAAAAGGATGAAGATGAATCTCTAATTTTTGGAATAAAACTTTTTGCCTACTCTAAAGAGTGTGATGGAATAGGAAAAGAGTAGATCGTTGAGAATATTTAGGGCTTTGGATTACACTTTAAAAAAGGAATAGTAGCCATTATAATTGTAATTTGCAACTGAAGTCATTCTCATAATTGCTAAGAACTTTGTTCCCTAAGATTTTTCAGGAATATTTGAAAACAATGTTGAATATCTTTTTAGTAGATTTTAATTCATATTTTAGATGCACTCGCTGTTTCGTTGATGAGGTCTAAGACAACAGATCAGAGAGCTTTGGAGTTTATGGGTTCTCAATTGAATAAATATTAATTTTATGATTTAGTTCATAGTTTAGATTTAGGAGAAAAGAATCCAGAAGATTAAGGTGATTAGTAAATTAAAGCAGGAGGTAAGAAAAAGCCAAACCCATAGACAATAAAATAGCGACTTGAAGAGGCTAGACTATTTAAAAAAATTGAAACCTTGCCTTAAAAATGTAAATTGTGTTTTTTATGTTTTAGCTGAGATTGAATCTGCGATAAGATTGGTTGTTCCATCTTAAAATAATATTCCATACTTCATTAAATTGTTGAAAGCCAAAGTTAAGCCCTTCTTCCAAAATTATGAGAAGTAATAACAATTTGCGAATGGAGAGCCATTTGCAATTAATAATTTATCTAGTCTTAATTTATTTGAATACTTAATTGTAAAATGCCATTACACACTGATTTCAAGTAAGGAATTCATACAATTTTAGAACATTATATAAACATAAATAAACCCAAGAGTCCTTTAAAGGAAGAGTAAATTATTAAGTATTTGTGCTTAGCTTCAAGTAGTGGTAGTTATACACTTTTCGAACTAATATCAGATCAAATTCTCAATATGAAGTTACCATTATTATATAAGGACTATGAAAACAAGCCAGAATTATAGATATATCTAAATTTGCCCATATTTTATTAAGTATTGATGTATTCTTCTGAATCATCATCAATAAAGTACTTTGAGAATTTTATAGTGGATGGTGTCAATTTAAATTTATTTTATAATTGGATGAAATTTAATGTTCAAGAGGAAAAGAAGGATAATATTTCCTTATACAACTGCTTCGTACCAATCATCACTAAGAAGTATGGGTTGCTCTTCAATAAAATCGTTTAATTCTTAAGGAAGTTACTCAAAAATGATAAAGATTATTATGGAAATCTTGCTGAAATTTTGAATAATACTAATTTCAGTGACTCAATTTAAAAATTTGATGAAAAAGGGGAAATTAAATTAACTTTGTTGGAATATTCAATTTTTTAGGGATTTCCAGATTTTTGTATGATATATGATAAGTAAATCACTTTGATAAGAAATCCACTTGATAAAGAGGTTTTTGAGTTCTTAGAGAACTCTATACGCAAATGCTCTGAAGAATTAAAATAAGAAGAGAAAATTTTGATCAATTATTGCAATAAGTATGAGAAAGATCAAGGAAATTATCGACTTGTATACTACAAGATTTACTTGATGCTTAAAAAATATTTTGTAGGGAATCAAAAGCAAAATAATGCTTTACAATCAAGTTTGTTGTTGTTTAAAATCATGTTAGAATACAATCCAGATTTAAACTTGTTATTAAATATAAATTAATCGATTAAACTAACCGAGGATATTCAAGAAATCGAAATGAATAAGTTATTAGTTGATGAATAATTTTTTTATCTTCAACTTTATGGATTTGATCAAGCCTTGAAATATAAAACGAGTATAATTGATTATGTAAGAAAGTTTCATCCTAAACTTAAACTCTTTTGGGTTTAATAAGAGGTGATTGATGCTTTTAAAACTAACTTTCAGTTTGATTATACTAAAGGACTCAAGAAGTTGGAATATTATGATTCGAGCCAAATGAAGGATTAGTTTGATTAATTCCTTCCAGAGGTTCTGCTATATGTATATTACAATTAACCAGATTTTCTTGAAAGATATTCGAAAGATTCCGATTAACAAGAACCATTTAAATAATTTATGATTTACAAATACATGCTACCCATCATCCGTCATTAGTCAACTTAAGAGATACTACAACCAATTGAGTAAAAATAAATAAAAAAGAAAGATTTGGAAGAAATGGTGGAGAAACAGTAAGAATTTTACAATAGAGTTTTGGAATAGATGTTGGTTGAAGATGTAGAGTTGAACTTTTAAAATGCTGCCATCTTAGTAATTTATATATCAACATGCAATGACCAAATTGATTACATAGGTGAAAAAGATGCTGTTTCCTTAAAAATTATTCCAATATTAAACCATCTTTTAGAAAGACTTTCAATTTAGGATCTAAATTAATTTATACTTTTTATGATATTTTAGATTAGGAACAATGACTTGTATAATATAGTAATGGAATGGAGTCAATAATCTAAGGCTGCCATCAATAAGGATATTTTCAAGGAGAAGTCCTTTATTCAAGGAATATTGAATTTCCTCAATGGAAGGAGGAAATCTGACAATTTTAACTTCAATTACTAGCAAAATGATCTATTGAGACTATTCCAATTTGAATTCGCAAAGACAGACAAAATGTGTAAGGATAAAATCTACAGAGGGGTATAAATATATAATTGATATTTAGTTTTGTATTTTAAGCATAGCCTTAAACTTTATCTCAGAACTTGAATTATTTAAGTAACAAATTGATCCAAATGATACAGTTTCAATTAACATTGAGCTTTTGGAAAATTCAAAAGGGAAAAATAGTTCATTGAAGGTACTTTCAATCAAGGAGATCATAACGGACTAAGAGCTTAGTGGATTCAATTATCAAATAGAAGTACCTATGATCTATCAGGAAAAAAACAATATTCTGAATCTGTAGATCAATCCGAACATTCTCAAAGAATATTAAGAACTTACAGAAAAATAAAGATTCGAGAACATCTCAAATAAAAATCTCTAAGTTTAATTAAAGGACAAGTAATTTACAATCAACTCAATCCAAGTTTAAATTGCAATCAAACCAAATTAATTATAATTTGATAACATTTAGGTTATTAGCGATCAACTTTATGAAAAGTATCCATTTTTATTTGGAGATCTATACAACAATCTTGTCCACAATATCGATTTAGATAGAGAAATATTCTATGATGACGAAAATAATAACAAAATAGTTTAAAGAAAAAATCTTACGATCGAGGAAGAAGTCAACGTTCAAGCTTACTTCGATGTTAAATCATATCAGTATGAAATTACACTGAATATTCTGAACTTAAAGAAACCCTTATTCTACTAGAAATGCAGTAGAGAAACCTAAATTAAATAGTTAATTGTATATTTTTATATTTGATATTTTAATAGGACGACTACTCAAAAAAACAAAGTTAATTTAATTATATTAAAAGATTCTTAAGTGTGGAGGGCAATAATATTGGAGAATATTAGAGCATGATGGAATTAAGTAAGGAGAAAATCAATCTGAAAAAATAAAAAAGCTAACTAGGTGATGAAGAATTAGAATAACTAAAATAATTACAAGAGAAATATAAGAAATATCAAGTACCTCCATATTTTGTTTATGAATTGGATTGGCCCATTTATATAGAAAATAAAACAATTAAAGCAGATGAGTACAATTTCCCACCATTGTTATTCAAGAAATTGATATCAATCATAGATGGAATATTCTTTGAATCAGTTCTAAGTGAAAATGAGAACAGGAAGTCTAGTATCAAGAAAGTTTACATTAAAGATCAAAGCTTCCAAATCAATTACATATCATTCATTGATACACTCGTAATTTAATTTGCTAAGATTCTTGAATTAAAATCAAAAAATAGACTGATGCAACTGAGCATTGAAGATGTAGCTTACCAAGCATTAGAGTGGCCATTCCTTAAATTCATTATGAACCTCATTAAAAATAAAATTTAAAAAAGTAGTTTGCTCTTTGAAATGAAAGAGTCTTCTAAGCCTGAAGTATTAAATTAATTTTTATAAATTATAGGTATAAGTCAACTTACCAGGTATTGACGAGTGTGTTTAATTATCCAAAACAACTTACTTTTATTATTGTGGAATGTTTGTAGTAAGGTTGGGAGTATTTTTCAACAAAAAACTATTGAAATTAGAAAAGCCTGAAGACTAAAATTTAAGATATTCTTAAAACTTCTCATTAGATTACAACTTGGAACCTTACATAAATTATATCATTAATGAAACTCAACTAAAAGCAGTTCTAAAAAAAGAAAATAATAATATTTAATGAATGAGAGTATTTTAATCATAATATATAATCATTATATATATATATAGTTTAATAGTAGTTTTTGTATTATGTATTTACAAACTATAAAAGTTATGAAAATTATCATAATTTACTCAAAAATTGTGGATCTTGGCACCTTTTACATTTTGAACAGGGCACCATTTATTTATTAATTTAGGACTGTAGTAAGAGTGTATTATTGCAAGAATCTTCTTAAGTCTTTCGTTAATTAGATTTCTTGTAACTAAGCTGATTCTCCAATCCCAAAATCATTTATTAACTGACATTCTTTTTATTTTTTATCTCCTTTAATTCTCTTTCCTGCTATTGTAATAAATCTTATTGATCTTTTTCCTTTTACAAACGCTGATTCAGTTGTTTTTCTTATTAATCTCTTTCTCTTTTTCTTTTGACTTATTCAGTCAAATCCAGGATCAACTGTCTCTGTGAATTCATTTTTTCCTATTTCTCCTATTATAAGATTAGATGATATTCCCTTAAGGATCTAACTCTGTCTTGAATATCTTTTTCTTAATCCAATTTTGCTTAATTTATCTTTTTTAATCTTTCTCTCTCAAAATGAGTCCAATTATTATTTACATATTGTTATTGATAATTCTTCCTTTGTTAAACTTCCTTTTCTCCTTGAGATTAGTGTCTCCAGTAAGGATCATCAGTAATCCCATTGTGCTAATGAAAGTCCTACTAAGTCAATCTTTTCTTCTCTTCAATCTGCTCTTTCAATTGCTATCCAAGATTCTATATTTTCTATTGCTTTTAAGCCCTTTCTTGCTCCTCAATTTCTTGGTTTTTTCTTATCACTTACCTTTCAAATTCTATTTCTTAGGCCTTCTGTTGTGATTGCATTTCCTGTTTCTTTAACTAGAATTAACTGGATAATTGGAGATTGAATTTTTCAATTTATTTTCTTTGGATTACCTGTTACTTCTCCTTTTAGGACTTGTATGACTCCTCCTGCAGATTGATTTCCAATTACCTTTTCAATAAGTTCTATAAATTAATAACACATACAACCTTTTCCAATTCGCTTTGCTACCTTTTCATGTATTCTCTTTGCTCATACAATTTCTGATTATAGCAAGGACTACATAATAACGATTAACTGTTTTATAGTCTCTGTTGGGAGTGACACATTTCAGGCTGTAACCTGGATTGACTGGCCTAGGATCTAGCACTGCTTGCTCTTTTGGGATTCAAGGCCTTGATTTATTCATACTTTTCTCTCATCTATTTGATATTTGACATTTGATCGATAAAAATTAAAAATAAAGTAATTTTATATTATTGCCATCATATTTTCTTCCTCAGGAGTCGTTGCAAATTCAACTTCAAATATTTGAGTTAATTTATGAAATTATCATTCAATGGTTATAATTACAAAGGAGTTTTGGCACATTTCTAGATTTTATATAATCTTAATTATTACAGGATTCTCCCTCAAATCCTGATCGACTTCCTCGTCCACTTCTTTGAGCATCATTTCCAAAATAGTGAGCTTCTAAGAAGACTTCTTGTTGCTTTATTAGGGTTTTATCTTCTCAAGCGAATATTCATTTGTTGTAGGTATTTTAGTAACACTGCGCATTCGAGCAATTTTGGGATTCGAGTAAATGCTTTGTAAATTGGGAGAATAGTAACCCACTGCGGGATTTTGAGAGATAACAGGCAATACTATTCTCTTATGATTTATTTTGGCTCTGGTGTTAGGTTTATGCTATGGCTGATGCAGACTCCATAAAGTTGGTTGCGATTAATGTCTTGTGTGAAATTTATTTAAATTCATTAATTTAGATTGTTTATTATATAGATATTTATTGTATTCAGATTGAAGATTTATTATAATGGATTCTAGAGTAAATAGAAGTGTATAATTAATTTGGAATGACTAAGACTTAGTTATGAGTTGGAGTGAAAGAGTTGCATCATATATAGAGGGGGAATTAATATGTAATTATGGATGAGAGATTGGATAATAGATTAGTATTTGAAGGTTCATACTTCCTCTAAGAATTTGATCAAAATCTTTTATATATTTATAGCAGTAGGATGAGGATATGATATTAAAATATAGGAAGTAGTGTTTATCAATTTTACTTCAAATAATTTTGATATTTTCAAGAATCCTCGATAATCTCGACATCTGCTGCTTCTGCCATACTCTCGATTGATGATTCATCTTATCCTCTTTTCATACGAAATCTACCATTCTCTCCCCACTATTTACCCCAACTATTCTAAAGTAACCAATATTTAACTCCATTCTCTTCTCCCCAACCATAACACAGTACTGAATGATCAACTTTTTCCTTGTTAAATTAATTTTATCTATCATACCCATTCTGGTTTTGCTAATCCATTGATAATCCAGTCTGGAGTAGTGGAATGGAAGATTCCCCCCACATAGAACATGAAATCAAAGGATGGTTCGAAATTCAAAACCACAGGTCCATTATTATAGATCTCCTCCATTATATTCAACTCATTAGATTTACCATAAGCTCCCCCAACGAATCTATAATTGAGAACCCTGTATTTTTTCTTTTTCTCAATTGCTTTGCACTCACCTACCTATCCTTTGTAAGGGTATTCCTTCTCTTCATAGATCAATCCATCCAACTCAGTGAGGTACTTCTCTACCAGAAATGGATAACCACCGTCGCAACCTTAATTATAATAATTGCAATCAATGGATTGTTAAGGTGATAAGTCTGCTTTCAAACCTTTAATCTTCAATCTAGCAGATAACATAGTCATGGTTGAAATAGTATAACATGATCCACATCCCTTTTATTCATATATTTTCTTGCCCAAATATTTTTCCCATGAGAATTCCTTAGGTAAATGATTTAAATCATATTCTAATATTTATTATTTTTTTTTTTATTTCTCCAGTAAAATAGTTGATGAATGCTTTTTTCTTCCTGCGTATTTATTCAACTGCTTCGTTGTCAAACCGATTATCTCACCGTATGCCTTAGCCTTCCATTGTAACTATGCTCTATTGATCTACTCTACGAAATTCAAGGCATCAATTCTAGACCAAACTTTGTTCATTCCTGTATTCTAATATTAAAAGAACTAAGGTTGCACAACATGTCCATTATTAGCACCTTCTGATACTTTATGAGTCTTCTCTATTTTTTATGCTCTATAACATCCTCTCTCATTCGTCTTAGTATTCTAATACCACCCAACCAAGGTTTCCCCACAATATGAATAAGCTCCAGAATAGTTTGTCTTGTATTTTGAAAAGGCAAAGCATTTATAATGCATGAAATCTACTTCGAATCCTTCATCATATACCATTGTCCATTTGCCTTACAATTTCTTCTTTAAGACCACATTATTCTTAGCAGTCAATACAACTTCATGTGTAAATGCCTATTGAAAGGTATTTTATCCTGCAAATTGTGATGTGCGTTCATTATCTGGTACATTATGACCACATGTCAATGGTCCACTTCCTAGGTGAATCTATCATTGTACCTTTAATTTAAGGTTCTGTAAACTGTAATTGCCATTTACCTACAATTTGATGACGAACACAATGCACTGGCAAATCTGCATGAGCACTCAGAACGAGTAAAAATAACAATAACATAATTAATTCGTTTTTTTTAATTGATTTCTAAAACATAATTATATTGGCAAATTGAAAATTTCTTAAAACCTAATATTTGTAATTGAGTCTCCTTCATAAATTGCTTATCAGTTTTGCTAAAATGAGAATTGGAATGACTCTGAGAATTGATATTCCTGATTTTCAGTTGATGAATCAAGAGCAGGATAAATGAATGGGTTTGGGATGAATTATGTTGGATTCTCTGTCAAACACTTTAAATAACTTATCTTTATTTGATCATTTATTTCAGAACTCATTAAAATTAATATAATTATATTATTGTTAATTACAATTCAATACATCTTCTCTAGATAATTCAACCCTTCTCTTATGCAAATGATTATCCACTCTATTTTGGGTCTTTGATTGGGATCAGGATGAAGGCATTTCACAGCAAGATTGCGGAGGTATTTCATTAAATGCTTTGGTCCCTATGATTTTATAAGATCAACATTAGATCTTATCTCATAAGATTTGTTAAAATATCGATCTTTTAATCCAGACAGGTCGCTTTATTTGAAATCCTAAATCATCTTCATAACTCCTTACAATCGGGTATTTTTCAAACAAGAACTCATACATCAACATGCCAAATGAGAAAATGTCTGATTTATGGCCAATACTATTTTTACGTTCTGCACTAAGAGACTCAGGTGATGCAAATGGAAGAGTACCTCTTTCATCAGAATACAATATCACTTAATCGCCCTGCTTGTAAATGGATCTTCCAAAGCCCTTCAATTTTACATTGTAATTTTTAGTTATCTCTATTAAATATGATGAGTACCAATACATTTTAAGGTGTAAGATTTTAGTGAATCACTCCATATTAAAACAGATACCTTAAAGCATGCGCAATCTAAAATAGCACATATAACCGAGTGTTCAAGCTCTACGTAGCTTAGAACTTCTCCCTAAAATTGTTCAATGCAAAATGCTAATAAAAATCCATAAACAAATCCTCTTAAAACACATTTCCTTAATCAGTCATATAATATTAAGAAATGAATGGACAATATCCATTGTGAATTAGCTTCTTGTTCTAATCAAACAATTCCTATGACAGAACTTCTCTACAAATTTAAATCAATATTTTTACATTATTTTTTTTTCATATGCAATTTGATTAGGCTGCTCCTAAGTTCTTCCAGGAGCCTAATCTTAACTTTTTTATTTCTTATTTCTCTTGATCACTACTGTCTTCTTTATATATGTCTAAAAAGTATTTTGATCTTGATTATTCATACTGTTTTTTTATCTGACCTATACTTAGGTTTCCTTGCTCATGACGTTCTCTGTACCCTCAGGATGTCTTTGACTTTGCTTCTACACCAACGAAAAAGCCAATTTACCCTTCTAAATAATTGAAAGCTCTCCATCTGATATTATCTCACATTTTTCTACCTACTCAAATTTTGAGAACTCAATCTTGTTCAGTATCTTATATTGAGTATTAAGCTATTTTGGATACCTGAAATGTTATTCAAACTATTGAAACTCCTCTTCGCTCATGTCTCTTGTGCATTTACTAAAATTAAAGCAAATGCATACTCTTCAATAATTACATTAATTTTCTACAAATAAATATCAAATGAAGGATGGACTTTACGATATTGATCTCTTAATTTTTATTCTAAAAATGGAAAAACTTTCTTAGATAATTTGTTGATCTAATGCATTAATCTATAAATATGGTATCCTATTGCAGAATGTGATGTAGACTCCAGAACACTTAATAAGTTTGACAACGATTTATTTGACTCATCTGAGCACAGTAAATCTACCCAATGCTCCTAAATCACTATTGAATTGAGTTTCAAAAAGATCTACCCTGTTTCATTCTCAAAACAAAAACAGCCAAATCGCAAAGAATGATTAATTCTGCAAAAATATCTTGTCAATAATCTTTGGATATACTTGAAAAATAGGATCAACACATACTTTCTCGTACACCTGAATGAGTTAGCCATCAGATTTCGCAATATAAGATTTACAATCTATACGCCTTTTGATAAAATTTATTGTAATCGTACAAAATGCTATAAATTTATTTGAAAACCTAATACAGGAATTCTATAGATTACTATTCTAAAGTGATCGTGATATGCCATTGTTAAGTTTATTTATTTTATGTAATATCATAATTTCTAAATTACAGATCCATGAAATGATTTTCCACTTTTGAATCTTTAGATGCGAATTTGTCAAAGTCAGTCTCCTCTAAGTCGTCCAAATCAAGTAAAGTAAACTCATTTTCAAGCTCTTCTTCTTAAATCATGAGTTATTATTAAATTTCACAGAATTTCTTTATTAAAAATAAAAACTATATAAATATTCTCATCACAAACACATTCAATAAACTTTGTCTAAGAATGTAAGACAATCCTTCAGAACTAAAATAATTTTATCGATATTAGGCCTTAACTGTGGATCTGGCTATAAACCTAATTAATATTTATATCATTATTTTATACATTAAATACACAGTCTTCCTAAGTATTTCATTAAATATTATGGCCCTATCTTTTAATCCTCATCTTCGTTGTATCTAACCTAATAGATCTGCTTTTGTAATTTATCCTCTAAACACTTATAATTCTATTTCCTGAAATCCTAGAAAATCGTAATTAATCTTACTATTGGGAATCGATCAAACAAAAGTTCAAAAATGAGTACACCAAGGGAGTATATGTCATAGGCATAAGTATATTAATTATTCTCTAATCTCTGTTAAATCTCTGGAGCACAAAATGGGATGGTCTTCCCTGGCTTATTGCTATCGGAAATATTGTTCGTATTGATGGCCTCTCCAAAATCAGTTATTTTTGCCATCATTGTCTTCGATATCAAAATATTTGCTGGCTTTATATCCATATGAATGATGCCGTAATTGTGAATATATCTCAAACCCATAGCCACATTGTGAGAAATGAAAATTCTAGAGGACAAACTTAAAACTTCCGATTTCTTGGATTTTAAATAATCCAATGAAGAGTGATAATATCTTTCCATCAATAGAACGTCAGGTCTATCTGATACTGAATAGAACTAAGCAATGTAGGGACAACATCCTGAGAACTAGAAGTATTTTTGTAAATAGTGAGGTTAATTCCTAAATATATAAATATTAAATACTCTCTTTATATATTTGGGCCCTGATTGCTTAATACTTAGATAATTTCAGCTTCCTATTTGATTTTATCACTGCCCATGCCCTTATTCATCTTAATAACAAGAGTTCTTTTTTGTCCTTGCTATTACTATCTGGCTTCCTTTTTAATTGCAAAAATGATCTCTTTTGAATAGATATTGCAAAAGCCTCCTTCATTTATCTGTAACCTTTCATCCACTTCCAACTCACTTTGATTTTTTGGGACAACCTCAATCAAACAAGAATTCTCTGTCGAAATTTATTTAGAAAGTATTGGCCCCAATTTGAGATACTCCTACTCTGTAAATTGTAAATGCATTTGACTTTTTAAATATTTAAATCATATTTACTTTTTCACGACTTTCTTGATTCTCAACAACAATTACTCACTATCTTTTGGGAATTTTCTCCAATTGAGTTATTAATTATCCTTGTACCTCACCTATTCGTAATAATATTCATATAATTTAAACAACTTGAGGTTGATTTTGTTGATCATAAATAGTATCCTTAAATAATGATATCTGATTGAATATATTGCAGTAAGGATTAAGCTATCCATATAGACGATAAAGTCATCTTATATTGGTTAAGCTGAATCAAAAAATTCACTTTTTCTAGTATTTATAGTAGCCAAATTCAAGCCTATCTCTCCATAGACAGGATTGATAAAAAAGCTGCCAACATGAAGACTACTATTGAGCCGTAAGGTATATCTGGAAACCTAAAGTCTCAGCAGCTAAAATTGAATTGTAGAATTTACTTTTTAATTAACAATTATTCTTCCATTATCATCTGAAAAATATACTTTAAAGTCAAGTGATTATTCTTAAAAATTAATAATTAGCTCCATGAGGTATTTAAAAATTCCACCATGAGTTTCCAAAAGAAAATTCAAATTAAAACTCTCTGTTTTTATGTCTTCCAAAACATAGACATATGTGTTAGAGTACTTTGATGCCAAATGTTACCGCAATTCTTCTACTCTAATTTTAGCATTTGATTTCTGAATGGATTTGTCTAAATTACTTTCATTGCCAAGTATTAGATGGAAAATTTGTTGCTCCTCATTCATAAGGAATTTATAATAAATTGCTATCGATAGAATTAACAAAAGTTTGGATATCGATAATTTTGAATTCCATATTCAGGATGAGAAGATAACTAATACATTTTTCATTGGAATAAATCCAACTGAAAGGAGAATTTATAATCGACTTTTCAATTCCTTATGTTAAGAAGGATCATCATTTGATTTTCATGCAAAAGATCTATATTAAGACTAAGATTAACTGCTCAGAATGAGGAATTAACAAGGATTACGAAAAAGAAGACACTTTATCTTACTATGTTTGTTTTTCCAAATATGCATAAGAGAAGATATCTAATCTATAAGCGATTACATTAAAGGATGTTTTAACAAAAATACAATTATCACTTTAATCTAATTCTATTGTTTGAAATCTTGTATCAAATTTATATCTTAGAAACCATCAAGAAGTTGAAAGAGTGTCAAATATATCACTTGATTGATAATATTATATTATTACATAAATTTGAACCTTCTATCTTTACATCCAAATATAGGCAATCAACTCTCATTTAAAATAACCTATTGCATTCCTCATAGAAAATTCACATGTAATGGATAGAAATTAACTTATTGATTGCTAAAATTGGACATTCATTGATTTACATTGTATGATATAGGAACCTAGTAAATTAATACAGGATCTCTCCAATGCAGATATTAGTCGACTGTTTTTATGAATAAGAAATCATCAATATAGATGAATTATAATAAATGATTAACACTCCTTGATCAAAATTAATAAAAATATTTGATTAATAATTATTTGATATATAATATCACCTTATCAATGAATCTGAATTTAGCTGGAAAAATTCATGATTGATATCTTGCCTAAAGAAACTTAACTTAGAAAATCAATATCCTAAAATGGACATCCAAGTTGATGGTGATGCGAATTGAAATAATGACATTAGTTGCTATGAAGCAAAAGCCAATGTAATAGTGTCTAGTAATTGAAGAATATCATTTAAGTATTTAAATAGTTAACAATGCCCAAGATACATTATGCTCTATTAATTTTATGAAAGATTTTGGGTGCTAATATTTCAAATTATGAGTCAATTTTATATATTAATAATGATTCTATTAATATCAAAAATATAATAAGTAGCAAAAGTATTCATTTCTTCTCACTTAATTTCCTCAATATTTCATTTTATATCTAAGGAGTAGCATCGAATTACAAATAATTTTATATAATGTTCTCCAGTCTGCTAAATTAATTTATTCTATTTTATTGGGAATGAATAACAAATGGCTAGAGTTAATTCTTAATATAAATGTAACGATAATTTTATCAATCTGCATAATCTTACTTAATTGCTGAAAGACAAAAAGCTATACTCTAAATTAATGATGATCTAATTGTTCTCTCAGAATCTAAAAAATGGTTTCTTAAAGTAGAATGATCTTTCATCTGGTTAGATTTTAATTACACATCCTTATATTCAATTTTATTGGATCATTAATCTATTGCAAACAAATTTGTTTAAATTCTCTTAAATCAATATGGGAATTTTAGATTTTTTCAATATTATTAAACTAAAATTAATAAGAATATTATATTATAATTTATGATTATGTACAGATTCATTTTGTAATCACATAAATTCCTGCCCCTATAGCCAAAATCAAAAGAATAAAAAATATTAAATTTGTGCTTGTTCCACTTCCACTCACATTTGGTTTTACTCCTTTTCATATATTTAATTATGTATACCTGTTATCACACCCACTTATAATTTTTCTAATTATTTGTAAGCACTCTGAGAATGATTGGCATCATGGAATGCAGTGGTGGCATCATCACCAGCTTTTCCCAACAAGATTGCGGGACCACCTGGATGTTCATCTTGAAAATCTGTAACATCGTAGACTTTGCCTTCTATAACCATCCATAAGTCTTCCTTTTTTATTATGCAGTGCTAATTCTTCCCATGAAATCTAACTATTTGGATTTACATTAGCCTAAATGTTGATCATTAGATTCCTACTTTTTGTTTCTGAGATTTCACTTGTTTTATGTAATCACTTGGTTATGGATCTGAGGTAAGTGTTCCAACTAATCTAGCATTTCTGAGGGAGCGAGCATAATTTGAATGGTTCACCTCTAGAAATTTCTAAGTCCCATCCAATCCACCATATTTAAGCAGAATATCATCGCCTCCTGGATGTTCTGCCAAATATGTTGTTACATCAAACACTTAGCCCTCAATCACAACCCAAAGTGATGTACGATTACAATGATTTGATAGTTCATCCCACCCTATGATTCGCTTCTCTTCTTTCATTTTATCACAAAATATCTAATTAAATTTATCTCATTTTCTGAATAATTATATATCTCTTTTAATATGAATAAATACATTGTATATTTTTAGACTTTTAAGATCTCCAATCTTCATATTTCCATAAAATGAATAATATTATATTGATATTTAATTTGAATTAGAAAAACAAGTACCTTTACAAATCCATAATTTAGAAACAACAATTAAACCAATCAAATTACTATTAGAAACTTTTCTCTGACTCTGGCTCTACATAAGGGACACTCCAATTTTGTTTATAACCATTATTTCCAACAGTCCTGGCATGCCACATGACCACATTTCTCAGATTTACACATAGTTTTATCTGGAGTATTTGACCAACAGATGACACATTTCAATTCCTCCACTTCAACTTGATTATCACTTTTATTCACATCCTTGGATTCCGTCTGCCCAATCAATTACTCAATAGTTATCTTTTCACACTATTATTCGACTGGAAGAGATTTCTTCTACGGGTTGTATAAGTCTCCCAACAAGGTTTTATTTAACATTATTTTCCTCTTTGACGTTTGGATTTGGACTGGCTATTTGAAGTGAAGCTTGAAAGTTTGACATTTTTTGTTCTCTATTTTTTACGTGTCTTTTCTATTCTCATTTAAGTTCTCTGATCTTACTAAAGCTGAAACTTACTAAGGAATATCATTCGCTTAATTACTTTCTTTAATTCGTTGATAACATCGGGGAAACTTAAAACGTTGGGAAAGTTCTGATCCTTCCACAATAATTTCTATTGGAACTTTTCATCTAAGACGATCAAATTACAGGGACACAAGGGATCAAGAATATGTTATAATCTTGAGATATTTCTGATTGCATTTACCATACTAAAATATTTCCTATCATACTTTAATGTTTGAATGTATTACATTATTTTTTAAGCTCTTTAACCATTCTAACTTCAAGTTTAATTGCACTTACGGCAATTATTCATGTCCATTCTCCTAATAGTACATAAATTAACTCGCCCAGGGTACTCCCAATAAAAACACTGTTATTTGAGTTTAATTTTTCAGGGTTTAAGGATGCTTGAGTTGATAATCTAATTATTTTTAGATAGCCTCCTACAATTGATCCAAAAATAGATCATTAAACACTGTATAGATGGAAGGCATTGTATCGCCAACTATTGCATTGGATCTGCATTTGGTTAGAAAAAGACGAATGATCTCGTAGATGCTCTTCTTCTATAAAGTATGAATAATAATGATAAATACATTTTAGTATTTGATCCATTGGAATTCTTTATTTACTCCAAGGGATGAGAGTATGGAATGTTGACTCCAAATATCCTAGCATTTTTGCATAAAGGATTTGGAAGAAAAAAGAGTAATGAATCCATGGTCATTTATTTGATAATTGACTTATTAAAATTATTTACCGATCTCAAGTATCATAGCATCGAAATTCTACTCAGTTTTATTTAAATAGTCAATGTTGTAATTTTGGACTTTACTGATGAGAGTTTGATTGATTTTCAATTCCTGGACTGGGATTTGAGGGTAAAATTAAAAATTGATATTAAATTCAGTCTTAAACAGTTTGGCAGGATACGAGTGTTAAGTGATGATAACAATATTCTAAACTCCATTACTTAACAACTTGTTCATACCACAAAGAGGACTCAAGCATAAGAGATTCAAGTTGTAGGAGTTTTAAATAGCATCTGTGAAGAGCACTAATTTATAATCTCTATAATTCTGTTGTTCTGTAGCTTAGATAGATTTATCCACTGATACTTTGTCATTGGTTGAAACAAGTATGTTGAACTATTATTGTTGACTTATTAATTCTTGTTCATTTGAGTCTTGTAATTCAAATGTTTATTTAATGAAAATGTACCATTGTTGGAATAAATGCCTTTATGGTATTTTGAAAATGTCATCCAGGTATTACTCATAATTTGAAGAATCAATGGAAGGATATTTAGATTATTTAAAGGTACCACTGGATTTAACAAAGTATTGTTGTAACTAAGAAAAGAATTCTGAATCTGGGATTTTTTAGGTGCATTGCGTGACTATGGAGGCAATCTTATTGGATTCTATAATAAATTCATCCTTTTGGTTGTTGAGAGTCTAATAGTAAGCAAATGTGTTACTTATGTGTATTGGACTATTCTATTTCCAAATGCTATGATTGGCATTAAAATGTCATATTATTATTGAGTGAGAGTACAAACTTGAAAGTTATTGTTGGGCTGAAATTATTTAGTGAGTAATTTTAGTTTGCTACTCATTTGTTAATCCCATTTTGGAGTGGGTTTTTAAGGACTAAAGAGTGCTTTGATCATTTATGATATGGTATGAGAACTAAACGATGCACTCATTGCCTTCTCTAATTTGAGCGGTAAATCATGTCCGTCTTCAAAGATGAGGGTGGCATTGTTGAATTTTTGGAAGAACTACCATATCCACACACATCACTTACCAGATTATCAAATATATCTTAATGTGTTCCAACTCTAAATGTGGTTGGATGATTTCTGAAATATTTGTAGGAGCAAACTGATTCGAATTCGAGTTGTTTATGCATAGTTTCCACATCGACAAAATCATACATGTGGGTTGGTTGTTTGTCCTTATCACAAGTCCGTTCGCATAATTGTGTAATTATGGTCATGTCTTTTTTGAATGGACTGTGACAGAGAGACGTGAGACTCCTAGTGAGATAGAAGTAGTGCTCCAAATCATGGTTAGTTTGTTACCAGAAGGAAAAGGCGGGAAGCAAGAGAGACCCACTCTCGATGATTGCATTTTCTTGTTTCTCCAAAATTTATTCAATATTCATTATATTAAATATTAATTTAATTGTCTAAATAAATTGAGAAGAGTGGAGTGTGCGAATAAATTAATCATGCAAATAATGCAATAATATAAACACAAGTTAATTAATATTAATTGTAAAATATACAAGCCGCAAAGATGAATTCGAAGTATTTGATAGCCAGTCTACACAGGAGTTTGTGTTATTTGACGTATTGTTTGATACAGCTGATTATTTCGACAGTGCTGCTCGTTTATGTAGGATAATGATTGACAAATTAGGTCATTTGGGATCGACACAAGTACCCTTCAGATTGATATATTTAGAGTTTGGAGAACCCTCTTGTTTTGATTTGCGAAGGAGTGTTGACTTTCACGATTTGCACAGATTTAACACTCAAAGTCCTGATGGAAGGAAGAGTATTATAAATTAATATTTTATATTTTAATTAAAGGAATTCTTCACAACAGCCTGGAATGTGTTAGACTTTTGTGCATTTTTGTCAATCATCTTGTGTATAAGATTGCAATATGAAGTGTATTACGATGAGATTTTTGGAATTTCCCTAATTTCTATGCGTTACTTGTCACTAACAGTCAGAATGGTAGTTCTTCTTAAATAGTATATCTTTGATCTCCATTTACTAGGTCCTATTTTGTATAGAAGATGCAACAACAACGAGATATTTTGATATTTAAAAGATCCAGAAATCAAGATCTCAGTATCTTGGATATGAGTTCAGAGATATTAAATGATTCCCAGTTTGTTGAAACTATGAAACTTGTTAGTGAATGATATTATAAATAATCAATTTTATTTCATTTTTAAATAAGATATTAAAAACAAATTTCCTTTTTCTTCATTCGAAACATTAAAAAAAATTAAATTAAAACTCTAATTCACAAGCCACTCAACATGCATCCCAATGCTTTTCATTATAAATTCGCATAATACCCTTACTAACCCCCAGTATACCTCTACCCATAATATATACCACAACCAAATTACAATTACTATAATTTTCAACATTACAAACCCCCCATGTATCATTAGACACAAATACCAACTCAACAACCCCAAATTATCATCATCTCAGACGACGAAGAATGTGTGCCTGTCCCAAAAATCGACAAACCGCTCCCAACCAAAACCATCAATACAACTCAGTCCTAAAAATAAATAGCCAAATTGCTGGACCTCGATACACTCGAAGCTCAAGGGAAATTGTACGACTATGAAAGTTCCCAATCCCCTCCATTACCAAAGAGAATTATCAAAAAACCCCAAAAACCTCTCTATAGACCCCAGAAGAGAAAGGTGATCAAGACTCGCAGAGAACCCATTCGACACTCCTATTAGAAGATCAAACAGGTGCAGATCGGAGCCGAACGACAATCGCTGCACTATCCTCAATCCAATGTGAAGGCCAAATTCATCAGAGTGTATGAGAAACAAGAAGATAAATGTATGTATCATCGCTACATCGACCTAGTTTCTAAATTGTTTGAGTCATTAAAAGCCAATTTTTAGGAAGCCAATGACGAAGACATTGCAATCATTCTCAATATGGTTGGCAAGGATTATCAAAAGGCAGAAACATTTATCAACGAAAATGGACTCTTCCTCCAATCTTACCTCCAAAGTAATCAAAACATTTAAAATTCTAGACTATAAGGATTTATCGGAAGATGACTCTACTATCAAAAAATGAAAACCCAAACAATAATGATATTAAAAATAACATATATTAATTAATTTCATGAATTTCAAATGCGTTGTTGCCATAAAAACTAAAACTAATTGCAAATGCAATATTAAAATTAATGAAATCTCCAAACCATTAGAGTTACCTTCTCAAGAAGCCCAATTTTTTGACATTTCGTAATTATACCATCATAACTTAAACCAAGTCAAATTCCTGATCACATTCTATTCGATTTCGAAAACATAGCTGTGCTGACCATTCCAGTACCCAAAGAATAAACCGACGAAATTGAACTGACCGACTCCTTCCAATTAAAGGACTTGAAAGGCAAATATTACATCCTCTTCCTCCTCTCCAAAGACATCAAATTCGAAGCAAACCAATCCCATCAGAGTCCTCTGAGACATTACCTAAAGTCCTACAAGACCAGAACCAAGGAGAGACAGCAGAAGGCCAAAACTCAATAGCTAATCAACTAATAACCTAATTCCATAAAATAACAGAACTAAAATGAACTCCTAAAGTAACAATACGAAACCGTCAAAGAAGAGAACAAACTCCTGAAAATGAGAGAACGAAACGACTATTTGAACGAATTAGAAATTAGTCAAGCCAAAAGAAAACAATTGCAATAATTTATCTCATAATTATCCGAGGATCTAACAAATTAGAATGAATCACTACAAGAAAAGCATACCAGACTATCCAATGAATTGATTGAGTTACAGTAGATGTTTGATGATCTCCAATCACTTTCCATAGAACAACAATTGAAAATCGAATAAATGCATGAAATCATCCAAGAAAAACAGTCCTCGGCATCCCATTTGTAAGCCTAGATTGAAAATCAAGATCAAAATAAATAGATGCTCCAACTTTATGCCAAATAGAAGAAGGATCTTGAATAAGTCTTACAATAGGTTTCCAGTTAATATGAAAAGGATCTGTTGGACAAGCAATAACAAATTCAGAGATTGAAAAATGAAGAAGTAATTATTTCATTATAAAAATATAGGTCAACATCCTGAAAGAGAAGCAGCAGAAATTAGAATTAGAGAATGAAATCTTAAAATAGAAAATTTAATCATAGGATGAATAATTAGAGGGTTTGAACAATTACATCAATCAATAAAAAGTCAAATTAAGTCTTGTAGAGTAGAAAAACTGTTAGAATTTAATATTCGAGTAATTGAATAATCAATTAGAAAAAGAAATAATAAACAAAGATAAATAAATTTATAAATTATAGGATGATATTGCACTTTTGTAAAGACAGTTAGGTTTCTAGTAATTCCATTAGAATGATGAATACGAAAAAGAAATCAGATAGTTGAAAGAATAAATTGCAAAATAACTATTACAAATCAATTCTTTGGAAAGTGAAAATACTAAATTAAAAACTGAAAATTTAAAAATTGCAGTCCTTCAATAAAATTTATAATCTCTTAAGATTTAATACTCAATCCCAGATTTTCCTGATTTAAAACCAATAAATTCAAAAGTAACCTAGTTTCAATCCCAGATAGAAAATCAAATGAAAGAGGTATATTTGCATTATAATATAATTTAGTTAAATAATTTAAGATAAACCATTTTTGACCTCAGTAAGAAACATGATGAGAAAGAGCTACACAATTCATAACTGAAAACTATGATGACTCAAATTGTTGAATCCAATTAAGCCTATATGCCAGCAAAGGGAGATGACTTGGATTAGCAAATTGCTAATTTTATAAACAATAGAGTTGATAAGGAGAAATACATCCCCTTACTTAAAAGACAATCCGATGGAGTCTATTTATACGGACACAAGAGAATATTTATCAAATAGGAGCAGGGTAAGATTTTGATAAGAAGTGGAGGAGGTTATTTGACTATTGAAGAGTTCCTTGGGTTAAATGAGAGTAAGATGAAAGATCTGACGACTGATGTTATTAAAAGACAGGCAATACAAAAAAAGACTGAAAGAATGAAAACGATTACTTGATTTCGTCAGGATAAGGCATTGATTGTATATATATAAATGAAAAAATTCGCAATTAAAATCATTAATCAGCCTTGGATAATATAATCAATTTATTAAATAAGGTGTGGAATCTTTATGAATTAAATTATTTATGATACTCAATAAATTAAAGAATCAGCCGAAGTGGTACTTAAAAAAGGATTGGAGGATTAAAACCCAAATACTTGTAGCCTATCTGATAGTTTATTTATTTATCTTTAGCTTACTAACAACCGCTGTAATGGTTTCTTAAAATTACTTGCATGAGATGCTAACTTTGTTTTCACACCAAGTATTTTTGAAGCAAACAAGAAATTCTTTAGAGTATCAATGGGTATACAAAAGAGGGCTGGAAGAAACCTTATTCCACACTGCATAATAGATTTCATTTGTCAGAGATTTTAATTAGCTTTTTGATTCTCTCGTTGCGAATCACAGTTTGAAAGTAAAAGAACACCCAATGATGTGTTTAAATGACCCGAGACAAAATGACTCTTATTGTTACACTAGCTCTGTGTCTTGTGGTATCTTTGGGAAGCCTACAAATAATTTTAAAAAATTAGGAGTTGAGAGCGTCTTGCTTACTACTTCATATTTAACATCATTTAGATTTTCTTTAGATGGCAAATCTCCTATCTATTATTTTAATAACAACAATGCAACTTAATTATATTGTATTACTCTTGGATTATAATTTCCAAAAACATTTAATCCCTTAAAAAGATAATACTACCTCGATCATTTGCATGCTTCTGCCAACGCCACCAACCCCAAAACCATCTACATAGTTAATCCTTACGCTATAATCACTAATGCAATCAACTTCCCTATGACTACTAATTTACTTGATAAAAATGATGGTATTCTTGGTATCATTGTGAAGGGCATTGAATTAGACTACGCAACTTTATCCAAATTTAATGGTAATAATACACAAATTTTAATAATTGACAAGAAAGGCAAAGTGCTTTTATCAGAACTTTATAATAGTAAAAGTCAACCCATATATTTTTTAAACGAATCTCAGTTCTCCGGTTTTGATAGTTCTGACCTTGAACAGATACTTTTCCATCACTATTAAAAAGAATTTGTAAGTAATTGCGATAATATCATCTCCACTAATATATTGTGTAGATATAACTCTTTAGATAAAGATAATCTGATAATTGAGAGTATGAACATTTCGAATTCTCCATTCATAATGGTAATGCTCTAAAAAACAAATTTTATAATTAAATAAGAAGCTGAATTTTTGGAGATATTAGCAGCAGTATTTAGGGAGGATATTCGTAACACTATAATATTTGCATTGGTTATTCCTATATTCATTTTATTTTGTTCATAATTTCTTATTAACATTATTTTAAACTAATTGAATGGGATTATTTATGATGTAAAAGCCTTCCTTTATAGCAACAAGAAAGAGTACTTGTCAACACATTTATTTAAAAAAAAAAGTATCATTATATCAGAATCCATTATTGAATTTTAAGCAGCAATAATAAATTTATTTTAGCATCAAGTAATATTTAAAAAATCTAATGAATGCATTTCTGTAGAAACAATTTAATTTCCAGTTTATACTAAGCTTTACAAGTTTTTGGTTAATCAACTCTAATAAATTATTCAAAAGAAAAGATTAAAGAATAATTTTATACCAGATAGTTTGACATTATTTGAATTAAAAAAAATACTGTTCAAATGAAAACTTTTGTTTAATATATTACATATTATATATCTCAACTTTGAATCCCTTAAAATCTCTCCACATCATCTAAATCTATCAGCCTAAATTTAAAATTCTGATAAATTCTTATAATTTTCTTTCTCAATTTTTAATTGATGTGATTATGGTTCTAGTTGTGCTATATTTTATACAAAACCAATAAACTTTTTATTCATCTTTAATCTCATCATATTTATTTGTGCTTAAAGTTGAAATATAATCAAAGATTATTGATCTTATCTGATTTCAAAATCTGGATTTTTTATCGTAGTGTTTCCAATCAAATTTTTGTTTTCATTCACCTAATCATAAGACTTGATTTAAAGTAGAACAGACAGATAGGTGTTTTACGAAATATAGACATAAAAATAATTATAAACTAATTTCAAAGCAGTTAAAATTTATCTTAAGTTATGTAAAAAAGGTCGTTAGATTAGAATATCAAATGTTTTGGGCTAGAAGAGTAATAAAGAAGGTGTGAGAAATCATAAAACCTTAAATTTAAAAATCAGCAAATAAAATTTGAACTAAATTCTAGTTAACATTTAGTTCAAATATCACTAAATCAAATTTCAGTCAAATTCAGTTTATAAGCTGGGAATTTAGTCCAATCGACAATAATAAAATCATTAAATGTTTTCAAGTGCTTTAAGTTAAATGCTGGAGATAAAGAATAAGGAGTATGATGCTAAGCTCATAATGTAAAACATAAGCAGCATGGAAAAATTAAACTAAATTGAAATGATGGCTCTATTGGAGATCATTTACTAATGTAAGCAATGTTCACAAAAGGACTAAAAAAAGGAAGAGATATTGAATGAATTACACTCTTTTCTTCAAAGTTAATTGACAACTGAACGTGCAGCTGTGACTAATACCAATAACTTTTTGGAATACAAAACTAAGTGTAATGCCTCAAATACAGGCGTTATGATACTCAATCATCAAGGATAATTTAGTATACTTATCCATTAAAATTAGTTCTGTCTGATCATATATCCAGAAACATTTTAGAAATAAACTCAAAAGAGGAGCTCGAACAAAAGAACCTTTTCTCACTTATCAGCAAAGCCTCGGAACTCAAGCTCAGATAGATCCTCAAAAATAATTGTTTATTGTAAACTGAATAAACTAAGGGTTGTTTTGATATTGCGATCTACTCAGACAGAAATCGAAAGAAAAGTCTTAAGTACTTGAATTAAATGGCACAAGTACCTTTGAAAAAGAAGATTAAAAAGAATATGACTGAAAGTAAATATGCCTATTAATCATTTCTTAGATGTGAAATAATTGTAAAAGGAACAAATGTTAATGGCAAAGTATTTAAAACCAATCAAAGTTACCATGCTGAAAGTCAATGTTCAAATTCATCAAGACTTTATTGAATCGTTCGCAGATTCAAATGATATAATTTTAAGTAACTTAGATGTTTTGGCTTAAACAAATGCAAATTAGTTGGTCATTTGTGAAGTCAGAGAGTTAGATTCCCATCTAGGATTAACAGTTTAAGAATTGCTCTCGGATCCTTACATCTCTAAACATGAAAGTATTCAAATAATTTAAACGTAGTTAAATGGAACAGAAGAGTAAGAAAGTTTAAAGGACAAATTTCAGATGACGAGTATGAACTTTGATGTATTATTTGTGTAATTTATAAACTGTTTAAAACTTAAGTATAATCATTTGTCACATTATAATCAAGACATGTTAAAAATGAAATTAATTCTACAAAAATACTTGATCACTTTTTAAACTAAATTATCAAAAAATGGGAACAATGGGGATCGAACCCATGACATTAAGATCTTCAGTCTTACGCTCTCCCAACTGAGCTATACTCCCAAAGTTAATATAATTATGCTTAATTCATTAATGAACTAGATGAAGATATATTGGTGAAAATACTGTGAAGTGGATTTTATACTGAAAATGAAATTTCAGTTAAAATGTAGGTAAGTTATATTATTTGTTTTTAGGGTAATTGTAAGATGACGATTTAATTAAAATCTAGTTAATTTGTTTAAATAAAAATACTATATTTTCTGAATTATTGTGGTTATCAAAACGATTAAAATACATGAATAATCCATTATAATTAAATTAGTAATGAATCAAAAAATTTGGGTTAAGATACCCAAGAATATTAACTTAAACAGCCACCCACTGATGAAGTTCACCCTAAATAAGTAGAATTATAAGCAAAGAGTGCTATATTGTTTTAATCAATATATATTGTACGGAAAGGTGTGTATAAAATATTTAATGAAAGGTTGGATGTGTCCCCAAAAAATACCTTAAATTAGATTTCGATACCAAGTTTGAGATACTCTACTCTTAGAAAAGTCGGAATGGGGATGAGGACTGCTTGAATTAGATAATAGGCATCTCATTTAATTTGGATCGTGAAAATAGGATAATTAGTTAAAAATTAGGAGGAGGGGAGATGTAAATCAAAGAGTTAAGAGATTTTTTGAGATCGAGGATAAATTAGTACAAATTTCATGATTAGTTCAGAGTTTTGAAAAAAATAGGAAAAGGCAATTTTGCATCAGTATAAACGATCAATTAATAAGGTTTATTTTATAGAAAGAATTGAAGATGGGGAATAATTCGCAGTCAAAGTATTTTCAAAATAAGCTGCCTATGGTGAAGAGAATGGAAAGGAGTCAATTTTAAATGAAATCAAAATTATGAGGGAGTTAAATAATGAGCATTTAATGAAATTGAATGATGTCTTTGAAAGTGACAATTTCATTTACATGGTGTTGGAATTGCTATCTGGAGGTTCATTGCTTGATTTGATTGGGCAGAAAAAGTTATTTCAATTGTAAGAAATCTAACAGTTACTTGGAGGCCTCTTGTTGGGATTAAAGGAAATGCATCAAAAGGAGATTATGCACAGAGACATCAAATTAGAAAATATTCTATTCAAATCATAGAAGTAAATTGAAGAACTATTATTAGTGAATTACCATCAGTAGTGATAGCAGACTTTGGGTTGGCTACTCATGTTAATCAAAATAAATATTTATACTATAGATGTGGAACTCCAGGTTACGTGGCTCCAGAAGTAATTAATAACAAGGATGGAAAATTAAAATACTCATCCATTTGTGATATATATAGTCTGGGTCTAGTTTTTTACATTTTACTATCCGGAAGACCAGCATTTCCAGCTAAAACATATAGAAGAATGATCAAGCTAAACCGAGAGGCTGTGATTGATTTTTCTATAAAATAATTTGAAAACTTACCAGATGATGCGATGGATCTGTTGAAAAAAATGTTAGAAAAGGATCCTAAATAAAGGATAGATGTTTCGACTTGTTTAAATCATTCTTTCATCAGTGATGTTGCTAAGAAGATGGAGGAGACTGAAATCAATGAAGATAGCGATAATGATTTGGGTTAAACTGATGAGAGATCTGATGTTGGGAGAAGGATCAATTAAATTAATCAACAGTATAATCAAAGATTATTTTAGATATTTTGTATTTGAAGCAAGTAAACATGTGAATTCTCCAAATTCATCATCAGATGATTCTAATGAAAATATCTTATAATCCGCGACAAAAAGACAAAAGGAAATTGATTCAACACTATTCCTTTCAGGTCAATCACCTTCATTCAAAGCCAGAATTGAATCAATTGGAAGTGTTCATTCTATTGATATTTACTCACCATAATTAAGTCATCATTAATCTCCAGTAGTTAAATAGTCTAAATTTGGTTTGAATAGAGAGAAAAGTAAATAAACTATTCTCAAACGTATCACAAACAATTGATTTTAATGTATTAGTGAATTAATTATATTATATCATTTTTCTAACTTAAGTTTTGAGGATGAAGATTAAGTACTTTATTAAGTAAACCTTATATTTTCTAATTCTATTAATATTCAGTTTCTTTGAAAAACTCAAATAAAATAATTAAACAATTTAGTATTACAGAGATTAAGAAATATGGAATTAAATAATGTTGCTAAAAGGACTGCACAAGACTCACTTAATGAAGTTATAGAAATTGTTTCTGGAAAATATTTATATATCGCGTAAAATTGGTAATGATAGGTTCGAAGTGTTGAAAATCCAATATCATGGTAAGAAGGATTTAGCATCAATATCCAATTAAATTTCTTTGACTGTTACGGTTTATGGGTAGTTATTTGTGTTAGAAAATATTAGGTGAAGATGTTAAAAATAAAGGTATGTACCCCAGGAAAACTATCCATTTATTAGAAATTTATAAAGTTTAAACAGTAAAGTGAATAATACGAAGGCAACAGGGTTTAGACCCTTTCAAATAGAGGGAGATTCATAAGAATGCAGCATAGATTAGAAACAGAATTTAAAAGATTAGCAGTCACTTTTTAAATTTTCAACTAAGAAGAAATTGATTATGTTTCATAAGTAGTATCTAAGGATAGAGATTTCAAAATTGAAGGTTCTAGAATTTTCAATAATATAAATCGAAATGATATTATATATTATTATTTAATTATTTAATATAATGATTTAACCATAAGAAGATAATAGAAATATTAAATTATATTGCTTAACTTGCAGGAATAATAAGAATTGTTATTTTGCCAAAAGAGTTAAGAATAGTTTAACTTTAGCAATATGCGAAGATTGTTATTAGAAATTATCTAAGGATAAGGATGAATATATTAACATGAAGGATTACAGAAATTATCAATTAGAATTACTAAAAATTTCATAACCTTTATTATATTATTTTTCTGAAATAAGTAGCAAAACATATGATAATCTTATTTTAACAGATCAGTAGAAGTCTACCTTTAAAGAGTATAATGAGAAATATAATTAAATTGATAAAATGTTAAGGGAAGTAGAAAATGGAAGTTCAGAATCTATTTTGAAGTTATTGTTTTAATTTCAAGAGACTTAAGACAAATTCCACTATGATTTATTAATACTCCTCAAGTTTGAAAAGTAAATAAATTTAGTGGAAAAAATTGATATCAATAGATTTAGAAATGAATAGGATATATATTTTGGACATAATTTTCAGAATTTTCTCTAAAAGTTTTTAACAAAATCTATGTAAAATGAAATAAACAAAAAACTTTAACAAATCATCGGTAATTGCATTGATTTTCCTCTTTTTTTACACTTAGTTGGTGATAAATTCAATGATACCTCATAAAGCGAGTTTGTTAAATAAAATTATTATGGATATCTCAATAATGAAAATTAAAAAGAAGGACTTGGCTTTTGGAATTCAAATAATTAATTATTTTATGGCATATTTTATGAGGATATTTTTCTTTGGGGAATCAAAGTTATTATTTATTCACAAACTTAATTCACCTTATTCAAAGGTTTCTTCTCAAAATGCAAGGAAAAAGATGGACAAAATTATTTACTCAATGGAACTGGAGAAATGACTTCAACAGATGAGAATTGGGGTTGGCATGAATATCAAGGGGGATTCAGAGACGAAAAGAGATAAGGAGAAGGTACATATACTTGGAAGTCAAGGGATAATAAGGAAGCCAAATATACTGGATATTGGTTAAATGATTAATATCATGGTTAGGGCACTCTAGTCATACCAGATTAAAATATAACTATAGAAGGAGAATTTAACTTTGGAGTTCCAATTTACCAAAGTTGTGAAATAACAGGCAAAGACATACCACGATAAGTTTTGAGTAACTATCTAGAATAAAAAAATAAATAGACTATAGAGAACAAATTTCCTTTATAACAATAGCCTTAGATGAAATTGAACATTGATGACATTTAAAAAACACAGATATTTTCAACATTTAGCCAAAGTTTAACCCCTTAAAACTAATAAACAGCATCTACTTTTTAATAAACTTAACAAAAAATAAATTAAACAAATCAAAAACATTTTTTGATTAAATCGACCTAAAATCAACCAAACTAATAATAACAATGAGTATTAATGAATTAAAAGTTAACAGATATTTTATATTACATTGATATACTCATAAATCTAAACGTTTCCCTATTTTTTCTTGAAGTTAGACTTCTGTTAATGTCTACATCTCTTCATAAAATTAATTAAAATCCATGTTTATGTCTTTAAATTCTAAATATGGATTTAAGCAGATAACTAAAAACCACCCTAATTATAGTAAATCTTTGTAAGCAGAATCAGTGTCTTTTGTTTGTTTGATGACAGTTTTAATGGTTTCTAAACTTTCTTGCACTACTTATTAATACAATTATTAAAAGAAGGTATTTTAATCAAAATTAACATCTAAGACTAACTTAATTTTCGTAGCTCTTTTATTATCAGGTTATGCTAATTCCTTTTCTATTATTTATTTTTCTTTCTTATAAATTTCTAAATAAAAATCTTCTGTATGCTTAATATCATTTTTGGTGACCGTCAATATCTTCTTATATTCCTGGCTGATTAAATATCTTCCCCAAGTCTCTCTATCAAATTTTTCTGGGTTCTTTGACATCAATTAATCAGACATTCTTTTGAGATGCACATTTTAGTTTTTGGAGATACAAAATATAGTCGTATAATAGAGTTCCTAACTCAATTTCAAAATTCCTTGATGTGACATCTTAATTACCTTTTGGATGACATAGTTAAAAAAGAATGCAATATTTCTTTCAAATAAAAAGTATGTATTATATTTTAGCATGGCCTTGCGTCTTTTTTGCTCAGCATCGTATTGATTGATAATTTGTAATCCCTAATAATGAAACACGGAATACTTTTTCATTATTAATATCGTCAAGTGACTACTTTCCATCATCAGTCTAAAGAGATTAAGGAGAAGAAGGTTCTTGAATGATCTATTCAGGTTAATCAAGATATCCGACAACTAAATTCATTTCCATATATAATTTGTTCAAACTCTCTGATCGAGATAATTCATCCTTTTCTTTCATCAAATATTCTAAATTATTTTTTATTTATGCTTCTTAGATCTGAATAATTTCATGATGAAAGATTTGTTCCCATGAGAACCTATCCTATTTATAGTGAAGATTGAATTACTTTTTCTGACACAACCAACATATGTTTTAGCAATTGCTTTATCTTATCGCTTCTAACAGGAGCATCTGGGATTGTTAAGGCCGTTTTCTTTATATTTTGCAGTAGATTATATTGATTATCTCCATCCCATGGCGGTTTGCCATAAAGCATCTCGAACAACATAATCCCCATGGACCAAACATCGCATTTCGAAGAGAAGGGCTAACCTTCCAGAATTTGTGGAGCCATGTATAGAGGAGATCCAACTCTTGAAAAGTAAGCAGGATCTATTGTTAATAGAGATATGAATTACCATTCATTCCAGTATCAATAACTCTAGCAAAACCAAAATCTGTAATTTTAGCTACTCCTTTATGCAATAATATGTTGGCTGGCTTGATGTCTCTATGTATTATTTTAAGTTGGTAAAGTGTTCGAAATCCTTCAACAAGATGCTTCAAGAAAATTACTGCTTCAACCTGATCAAAGTAAATACAATAATACTTCACTGAGTCTTCTGCCATATTTAGTTGACAAATACTTTTTCAAATCTCCATCGTGACAATATTCCAAGAATAAGTACAAATAATGGGGTGTTCGAGCAACATCATATAATTTTACAATGTGAGGATTATTAGCTGATTATAAAATTGAAATTTCTCTTTTGATATGTTCCACCATCTTGGCCGAATCCTTGATACTCTATATGACTATTCACATATTCATACTGCTATTGAGATTGCTTTCACTGCAACTTGTTTGGTTTCATCATTTTTCTTAAAACCTCTAAAGACGGTTCCAAAGGCTCCACTTCCTAATTTCTTATTGACAATAATGTATTTGTCAATTTATTTAGTAGTCCAATGTTCAGACATTTATATGTATATTTATAATATTACTGTTTTATAGTTTTCTTATTTTTATAAGTTTTGCAAATTTCAATTCGAAACCTACATCTAATGATTTAATAAGTTAATGTATTTATTATACTGTATAGATATTAATCTACTCAATTGTCAGATCATTCTTTTGGCAAGATCATTGATGAGATCTTCTCTGTTTCCCCAATCTCCTTGATTGATGAATGATTTTCTCTTAGCAATGAATCCTCCTCTTGGTCCTCTCAATTTAAATGCCCTATTGTATTGATAACTTCATTTTCATACCATAAAAATCTGTTTGCTTCTTTGAAATGTGGTCCCACTGTAGTGATCTCATGGATAAGATCTTCAATGCCGTGAATGCCTAATTTTCCAAGTTATTAATCAATAATTGTGTTTTATGTCAATGGAATTCTTTGACCATTAACTTTGGCATATCCTCTCTTGTAAATCAAATTCTTAATCACTGTTCTTGATGGATATCCATAGGTGATGTATGGCTCTACTTTTCTGATCATTTCAATGGTTGCTTTGTTGATTCTAACAAATGCAGCATTATGCAATTATCTCAATTTCAAAAGTCTTAGGGTTTGTCTCACCTATGGGTTCAATGTGTTGATACTAAAATTAATCTTCAATTTTCATACCCTCTAATTCTAATGATAAGCATCAACTTAGCCTCAGCTGGAACATAAAATCCTCCTTCACTCTTTGCCTTACGAATGCTATCAACTAAACTCTTTTCGGATGCCTTGTATTCTGCTTCATAAGCTTGGGCATTCTTCTCCAATTAAGCTCTTCTAACTTTGTTTTATCCCAATCTCTCTGCTCTTCTCTTGACAACAAGGTCTCTTAATTTTGAATCTCTTTAAGTTTTCTTGACAATACTCTCAGGCACTTTTTATCTAAATTATTAGAATTGCATACTCCACTTGGATTTAAGCTTTCTTTTACGACATTTTAAAGAATATTTAAAATCTTTAATTTTAAAATCAAATCACTTTTAATTTGTGACAATTTATTTTTTATAGATAGAGATCCATTTATTCGCAATATAATTAAAAAAGATATTTCATGTTCATTAGGGCTATTGCTGCTTCCCGAACAAACTTTCTAATACCCTATAAGGTCCCCTCTAGTCTATGAACTAGTTCAATTTTAAATGACTTTTATTGTACTCTCTAACATCAATCGTCCCAATCATATTCTTAAGATACTTCTCCAAGTCCAACAATTCTTTATCCTCCTTGTTGTCGTAAAATGGAATGATTGGAATACCATTATCCACCTACCAGGCATAAGAGTACGAAGCATTGTCAATCAAAGCTACTTAACTCAGGGGTCTATTGGTGTTGTCACAGAAAATCTTCAAGTCCTTTGTATACAACGAGTTGTTTGTCAAAGTACAACTCTCACGATACAAACGATGACTTATGATATTCTACTCCGGATCCAAAAAATTACAGACCTAAGCATATTAATTTCTATTACTTTCTCTGCATAGCAATTATGGGATGCTGTGAAAATTATAATTTCAAAACTTTTCGATAAGTTCCTCAGCAATTCCTTGGCATAAGGACGAATATTTATTCCAGCTTTTACGACCTGATTCTTTGAGACGTTTATATCCAAGATCACATCGCAAGGTATGGACGGATTCTCATTGCAATGTACTAAAGTTTCATCCAAATCAAAGAATAGTGTTATTTGCTCTATAATATTAAACTTAAATTTACATTAACACTTTTTAGTCAGCTTATTTGATCTATTGTAATCATTGTTATTTTGGGGAAAAAATCTATTATTTAATCCTTAATAGGTTTGGTGGAAATGTTCTCGATAAATTCGAGAAAAATAATCTGATCCGTTGTTGTCAAATGCTTTTTACAACTTACTTAAATAATAAATTTCTATTCTTTTGTTTTGGCTTGATGATCGGGGCTTCGAAGTAGGACTTTAGATTTAGAAGGTTGAAGTTCGAGACTATGGAGTAAGGGAATATGGCTTTAGTTGAGAAGGAATTTCAATCGTTGGATTGATTGCCATCATCTTCTTTTTAAAGGGAGATTAACCAATTTTAGATTCTACTCTTGTAACCAATTTATTCAATAACACTTCCGTATCAATAGATTTTGGGATTCTCTTTTCTTTGATCTTGTTTTTGAGAGCCTCATTATTTAACAAATGCGCTTATCCATAATCTGGGGCTTTGGATTAACTCAAAAATATTCCAGTTGGCGAATCGGAATGTTTACTGGATTGAGGAAATATTTTTGTCTTCTTCAAATCTAAAATTTGAGAATTTGTAAATCTTCCATGTCTTGACATTTTAGACCCATTTCGTGTTAAACTCATTTAATTATATAAATAATTCAGTAATTAATATTTTTATTTACTAAAATAAATATATATTTGATCTTCAATCCCTTATTCTGCATTTTTAAATTAGATATGAACTATTCATTCACTCTCTAAAATATTCTGAATATTATTATTGTATTAATTTATATTTTATAATTTTAGAATTATTTTAGAATAATTATCAAATAATTATTACTTATCTCTAACCAATCAATTAAAAAATAATACTGTTTTCCTCCCTTCCATTTTTATGGGAGGAAAACAAAATATTAGATATATTTGACACACCACTTTCACAAAAGGTGCCAGGTCAATTACATCATTGATTACATGATGGAGAATTATATGTAACTTATGTGCATTGTTTTAAGATATACATGTAAATTAAGTTTGAAATAATAAAATGTTAAACTTTTCATTAGTTTTGTTTTTATATTAAATAATTGAATACGATTAAAATGGGATGTGTAACAAACAAAGAATAAGACATTAAGCAATTTAATATCGAAATACCAAACTCATGTACTTTAGGAAAATATTTAAGATAATCATACGACAATATAAACAGAAGCAGATCTGTCTGATTTTTAGGACTAATTCTTATAAATTGGGATGAATGTATGTGGTTTGGGCGAATTTCTTCCCAAAGTTTAGGAAGTGTATGATTAGCTTGGGGAATTATTCTAAAATATTTAAGGCCAGTATTTGCTTATGCCAGACCAAAGCATATATTTTGGATAAGTAATCAATGGAAAACGATAAGGTATTGGAAAATAGCATTGGCCAAAGGAGGGGAACTTATTAGAAGGGTATTGATATAAATTTTCAATCTTTAGGACTTGGGTTGATAATTAATTGACTGGAAGAGCTCGGATGATATATCCAAATGGAGATTAGTAAATAATAAATATACATATAGTTTTGTTGGTAACTTTCTCAATAATATTGCTAATGGATTGGGAAGATTTGTAAACTCTAAAAAATAAGTGTGTGGATTTTGGTTGAATAATAAATTAACTGGAGAGGGAACTGAAATTAGGAAAAATGGAACGATATATAAAGGACAGTTTAATGAAGGGAAAATTTAAGGTTATGGCCAATTTGAGTATGCAAATAAGTGCATTTACAAAGGAAGTGTGCTTAAAGGAAAGATGCACGGAAAAGGGGAATTAATTTTTAATGATAATACAAGATACGTAGGGGAATTCAAAGCCAATTGCATTTAAGGAAGTGGAAATTATGAAGCTGGTATTTCAATAACAGGATGGGTAACCTATTTTAACATTCTTATAGTTTCATTCCAAATTTGAAAACTAAACCCTATATATATACTTTTTTCGATCCGAGACTCCTGTACTTATTGATAGCCAATATTGTACTCTAATCGAAAAATAGTTAGAACAATTTTTTGATTGATTTAAATTATAACTTTTCTATTAAAGATTATTATTAATCATTTCTATTATAAACCATAAATCTTAATAAAATTAGTATTTGAATATAGAATGCTTAAGTAACTATGGGATTATAATCAATATTATCGAAAGGAAATAAACAAATAATATCTGCGTAAAATAATTAGGTAGTCGATTTCATGATTACCTCAGGTTTAGATATGATTGATATTAGAATAATAAAGTAATTAAAGTATTTTACAGAAATGAAAAGATAAACAAATAATGTCTGATTGTATTGATTTTCTTCAATTTAATAAGCTATAGTAAAGTTCAAAAAGATTATCTGAGCAATTTAACGTAAAATATGTAAAGTTAGAAAAGTTTAATTTTCTAAAATTAAATTTACATATTATCTCTAATTAATGAATTTCGTACAAGAAATCTTTAAGAATTTATTACAATTTAAAAAAAAGTCACTTATCCTCTGTCCATTATTAAAGTAACAAAATTAGTATTTAAAAAATTTTACAAATCAACTTCTGAATATTGACTAAACAAAATTTGATAATAATAAAATAATATTTTGAAATTTATTTTCGTATGGAACTTAGACAAGGTATTTGCATATCGTCATGCTAGATATACATTAAGTGTTGGAGAAACTCAAATCAGATAAGGATATTAGAGGTGAATATTGTTATTTACATTAGAATGGGATTTAGGATGGATGATTAATTTAAAAAAGCAAGAAAAGTAGAAGTTGAGAATATAACTTCATGATAACATTTCTAAATTCTTTTTAATAATATTCTTTGGTATTAAATTTAAATTCTAAGATTAATAAATAAATTATGTTAACATTTGATTTTTACTGAAATCATATGTATAAATAATCAGTTTGATTCTTGATGTCTGTTTCATTTGAATCCATCTAAGAATTTTCTTCTTTCTATTCAGATGATAATATTTTGATATTAAACTAAAGTTATTCTGAATTTATGGTGTTTGACACTTCTAATGAGCCTATTTAATTCAATAGATTGCCTCCTGTATTATCAACAATCAACTTTTATTATAAGTTTACATTGTAATGTTTTATATAAAACATATTTGATTCAAACTTTGAGCTGACTCCCAAAATAGCAACCTAAATAGATTAAATTATTTACATTATTTTATACTGTGCAGGATACTCTATCTGAATCAGTAAAATCATGGTATTCAGATATTCCGCCGTAAGAATATACCATCCTCTTATCGACTACGGAATTATCAGGTAGTTCAAAAAATAGAAATATTTTTTTATCATTTTATCTGTAAGGAATTATAGCAATTTGAGAATAGTTATCAATCCACATTCCAGGTAATGTTTAAGCATCATAATATCGACTTAATGCATAATGATAGGTGAATGAAGCAAGTTTGTAATTATAAGTGTCATAAACCAATCTAAATTTGTAATTCAAAGATTATGATGTAAATATCATATGCGCGTATGTGGTCTGTTTTGTATATGTTGGAACATCAGTAAAATAAAAATCATTGAATTCCTTCTAAATTATTTCTCCTCCTGCATTGAGAATTTCCTAATAGACATTTAAACTCACTTTATAGGTCAACGCAGAATTAAAGATTCTTAACACTCCATTTGACATTAATCCAAGAATATATGTATAACATGGGTTAGTACTACTGGAATGATAATGCAATAATGTTTTCACGACATATTCACCATAAGATTAAACCGTATTTATCTAATGAGTATAAGTATAACTAGCTGTGTGTTTACTATCATCGAAGGAAGCATCGAATACCCGAATAAAAGTATCCATACTTTTAAGAACTTTTGGGTGAGCATCAACTATAACTAAGTATTTATAATAATAGCTCATCTAATATATATAGCGGAGGCTTGTTGTTAAATCTGAATATTTTATTATATTCCCACATGTTGATTCGTTATCACACCAAATAGTTACTATTTAGTAGTTTTTTGAATTACGACATGCTACCATCAAATGGTTATTATATTTCTACACTTTCTCACATTTATAATCAGTTGATGTTGAAATTACTATGGACTTAAAAAATGAATTTGTGCTGTTATATATTCTAATTGCCTGCAAATTTGATGTAGATACTAATAATATTCTAAGATTATCTGATCCACGTTCTATTTAATCAACTATATTTAAGTCGTCTCCGTATTCCTATTTAAATAAACTTAATGGTTAGATAGCATTGATATTTTTCCCCTAACCACATTATTAACATTAGATTAAATAGTTAATTATTGTTCCTACCATACTTAAAGTAATTTCATCTTTTGTCCACTTTTAATTTGAAATGTTCACATTGGTCTAAAGGAACTTGATTTAAGATTTTGTCTGATACAAAACAATAGCTTAACTGAATTACACACTTGGGTTATTTTTTAGATTTGATACAGTTAAATTTAATCTGAATTTATTAACCCATTGATCTGTTTAATATTCTGGAGCCACTTAATAATAATAAGTTTAGTCAATCCATTCGACATTATGGTTTTCTCCATCATTTAAATAGAAAATATAATGATTAAAACCTGCGGCAGCCAGTTAAGTATCAGAAATAAAGAAACTCTGTTTTTTTGGTGTCAGTACTTTTATCAAGGAATCTCTTAAAGGCTACAATGGCTTGTAGATCAAAATGACTGATGAATTATTATTGTCTGGATCATATGCTGCAATATATAACAATCCAGAATCGCTACTACTTACCATTGTCATAGAATCTTAAATTTAGTATCTATATGTAGGTAGCTCTTTCATTTTGAAGATATTACAATAATTTGAAAAATCATATTCTGTTAAGTAAGTTATTGTGCTTGTATGAACTACTGAAATAAATGAATCCTCACCGATGGCTACGTCAATAATAGATTTTCCATAAGTTAAAACATTGACGATTGCTAGTTCTTTGTGATAATCTGCAATTAGAATATTATCATCATTAATTATGAAGAGGATAGTAGGATGATATTTAGAACTACCTACTACTTTTCTAATTTTCCAACTACCATAAAATCCTAATGAGTTTACTATGCTCTAAGTCACAGAGTAATTTTATTTAGTATCAATATTCCAGATGTCCACTTATAGATTATTTAGGATTATATATAATCTGTTTGCAACAACACTAATAGATGTTATTGTATTTGAGAATTAATTATATTTGAAGTTATATTGACTCTAGACATCTTTTTAGGAGATTGAGTACATTCCAACTGTATAAGTATTTTCAACTATAAAAACATAGAAAATCTCTGTTTTAACATAACATTAGAAATTTGAGTTACTCAATTCTATTTTTGCTGAAAAGTCACATAATTAACGCAAAAAGATTTACTTTTTGATCATGATATAGTCTGTTGAAAGATGTAGTGAGAATTTCTAGTTGATGATTCTAAGGGATAATGCGATTTTTAGTCATCCTAACGAACGATCAATTGAAAAAGTTGAGATTTGCTAAGGAATGAGAAAAATGATCGCATA